AGACTTTAATCTGTTAATGGACCCAGTGCTTGATCACAGTGGGGCAATGTTGCGTAAAATGCCAAAAGCCGCTTTGACACTACAAAGAATTTGCAAATCTTTAGGACTGATAGATATCTGGAGGCTCATGAACCCGTCAGGGAGGGATTATACTTTTTACTCATCAGTACATAAGATTTATAGCCGAATAGATTTTTTCCTAATATCCAAAGAGCTCAGTCCCTGTGCAGTGAGATGTGAAATAGGGTCTATTTTGATCTCTGATCATGCTACTGTCAGTTTGGACTTGTTACCGCAAGATGAGAGAAGAAGGTCTTATAGATGGCGTCTAAAATCGTCACTTTTACAGGACCCAGCAAATACAGAATGGTTGAGGACCGAACTTAAAAGTTATTTAGAGATCAACTGGCAGTCTGTATCATCAGCTGGCGTGGCATAGGAGGCCCTAAAGGCAGTGGTTAGAGGACGTATAATCCAACACACATCATACAATAAGAAAAATAAAACACGGGAGCTGCTAGAATTAGAAAATAAAATAAAACAGGTTGAAACAGAGCTGAAGCAACAATTAACACAAAATGGCATGAAAAAATTGACAAAACTAAAATATCAATACAATAACTTAATAACCCATAAGATTGAATTTAACTTATTCAGGGCAAGACAAACCTATTTCGAGTCAGGAGATAAAGCAGGAAAGCTACTTGCCAGTTATATAAAACAGAGGGAGTTGGCTTCCACTATTCCTGCTATTAGATTGCAGTCTGGAGACCTGCTTACTGCAACGGTAGACATTAATCAGGCTTTTAAGGAATTTTATAGTAATTTAAATAGTTCAAACTGTACCTCTGATGAAGAAGAAATTCATAGCTTTATAGAACAGTTAGGACTCCCAAAACTGACGGATGAACAGAGGGATTTTCTTGATTCAGATATTACTATTGAGGAAATTAAAGGGGTAATTAAGGCATTGCCAACAGGCAAGGCACCGGGGCCGGATGGCTTCACGGGGGAATTCTTTAAGTGCTTTGCCTCGGAACTAGCTTCACCTTTACTGGAGGTATATAGGGAGGCGCTGGGGAGAGGGGTGTTGCCACCCACTTTGAGACAGGCCCTCATTAGTCTAATTCCTAAGAAAGGTAAAGATTGGAAGGAATGTAAGAACTATCGTCCGATATCATTAATGCAAATCGATGTTAAGATAATTTCTAAAATTTTAGCAAACCGTTTAGACAGCATAATTACATCATTGATCCATAGTGATCAGGTAGGATTCATTCGTGGTCGTAGCTCCTCCGATAATATAAGACGCCTCATTGATGTCATGTGGTCGCTGGCTGACACCCAGTCCCCAGTTGCTGCAATCTCGTTGGACGCCGAAAAAGCGTTCGACATGGTAGAATGGGGGTTTCTATTTAAAATCTTAGAAGAATTTGGATTTGGTATTACATTTATAAAATGGATTCGTATGTTATATAAACATCCAGAAGCAGCAGTTCAGACTAATGGGCTCTTATCAGACTACTTTATGTTGGGCAGAGGAACTAGACAGGGGTCACCCCTCTCTCCTTTGCTTTTTTGTTTAGCTATTGAGCCACTAGCAGCAGCCATACGTAAAGCAAATGATTTCCCAGGGGTCACCATAGGCGGGAAGGTCCACAAGTTGATGTTATATGCGGACGATATTTTATTACTGGTTTCCGAACCCAGAAGATCTGTGCCATGCTTGCTTGGAATCATAAATACCTTCTCAAAACTGTCCGGCTATATTTTTTATTTTTCTTTTTTTTTTGGTCTAACTTGCTCTCAAAGGTTGGAAAAGAGTTCCTACAAAGGTTTTGGACATTGATTTTAACCCTAACGCCAAAAACCTTAAACATTACCCTAGCCCAGAAACCTAATATTACCTTCAGGAAGGCCGAACACCCAAAAAAATTTTTTTTTCATTTTACATTTTTTTTGGTGTAACTAACTCCAAAAGGTCTGAAACATGTTCCTTAAAAAATATTGGACAGTGATTTTAACCCTTACGCCAAAAACCTTAAACCTAATCCTAGCCCCATAACCTAATACTTAAACCTGAAGGGTATTACCTTCAGGAAGCCAAAACACCCCAAATATTTTTTTTTTCATTTTACATTTTTTTTGGTGTAACCAACTCCAAAAGGTCTGAATCTTGTTCCTTAAAAGGTTTTGGACAGTGATTTTAACCCTAACGCCAAAAACCTTAAACCTTACCCTAGCCCCAAAACCTAATACCCGGGTATTACCTTCAGGAAGCTTGAACACCCCAAAAATATATTTTTTCTTTTTCTTTTTGTTTTGGTCTAACTTGCTCTCAAAGGTTGGAAAAGAGTTCCTACAAAGGTTTTGGACATTGATTTAAACCCTAACGCCAAAAACCTTAAACCTTACCCTAGCCCCATAACCTCATACCCAGGTATTTCCTTCAGGAAGCCCGAAGACCCCAAATATATTTTTTTTTTTCTTTTTTCTTTTTTTTGGTCTAACTAACTCCAAAAGGTCGGAAAAGAGTTCCTACAAGGGTTTTGGACGGTGATTTTAACCCTAACACCAAAAACCTTAAACCTTACCCTAGCCCCAAAACCTAATACCCGGGTATTACCTTCAGGAAGCCTGAACACCCCAAATATTTTTTTTTTCATTTTACATTTTTTTTGGTGTAACCAACTCCAAAAGGTCTTAAACATGTTCCTAAAAAGGTTTTGGACACTGATTTTAACTCTAACGCCAAAAACCTTAAACCTTACCCTAGCCCCAAAACCTAATACCCGGGTATTACCTTCAGGAAGCCCGAACACCCCAAATATATATTTTTTTCATTTTACATTTTTTTTGGTGTAACCAACTCCAAAAGGTCTTAAACATGTTCCTAAAAAGGTTTTGGACACTGATTTTAACTCTAACGCCAAAAACCTTAAACCTTACCCTAGCCCCATAACCTAATACCCGGGTATTACCTTCAGGAAGCCCGAACACCCCAAATTTTTTTTTCTTTTTTTTTTTTTTTTTTTTGTCTAACTAACTCCCGTATTACCTTCAGGAAGCCCGAACACCCCAAATATTTTTTTTTTCATTTTTCGTTTTTTTTTTGGTCTAACTAACTCCAAAAGGTTGGAAAATAGTTCCTACAAAGGTTTTGGACAGTGATTTTAACCCTAATGCCAAAAACCTTAAACCTTACCCTAGCCCCAAAACCTAATACCCGGGTATTACCTTCAGGAAGCCCGAACACCCCAAATATTTTTTTTTCATTTTACATTTTTTTTGGTGTTACCAACTCCAAAAGGTCTGAAACATGTTCCTAAAAAGGTTTTGGACAGTGATTTTAACCCTAACGCCAAAAACCTTAAACCTTACCCTAGCCCCAAAACCTAATACCCGGGTATTACCTTCAGGAAGCCCGAAGACCCCAAATATATTTTTTTCTTTTTTCTTTTTTTTTGGTCTAACTAACTCCAAAAGGTCGGAAAAGAGTTCCCACAAAGGTTTTGGACAGTTATTTTAACCCTAACACCAAAAACCTTAAACCTTACCCTAGCCCCAAAACCTAATACCCGGGTATTACCTTCAGGAAGCCCGAACACCCCAAATATTTTTTTTTCATTTTTTTTTTTTTTGGTCTAACTAACTCCAAAAGGTCTGAAACATGTTCCTAAAAAATTTTGGACAGTGATTTTAACCCTAACGCCAAAAACCTTAAACCTAACCCTAGCCCCAAAACCTAATACCCGGGTATTACCTTCAGGAAGCCCGAAAACCCCAAATATTTTTTTTTCATTTTTCGTTTTTTTTTTTGTCTAACTAACTCCAAAAGGTTGGAAAATAGTTCCTACAAAGGTTTTGGACAGTGATTTTAACCCTAACGCCAAAAACCTTAAACCTTACCCTAGCCCCAAAACCTAATACCCGGGTATTACCTTCAGGAAGCCCGAACACCCCAAAAATTTTTTTTTTCATTTTACATTTTTTTTGGTGTAACTAGCTCCAAAAGGTCTGAAACATGTTCCTTAAAAAATATTGGACAGTGATTTTAACCCTTACGCCAAAAACCTTAAACCTAATCCTAGCCCCATAACCTAATACCCGGGTATTACCTTCAGGAAGCTTGAACACCCCAAATATATTTTTTTCTTTTTTCATTTTTTTTGGTGTTAACCAACTCCAAAAGGTCTGAAACATGTTCCTAAAAAGGTTTTGGACACTGATTTTAACTCTAACGCCAAAAACCTTAAACCTTACCCTAGCCCCAAAACCTAATACCCGGGTATTACCTTCAGGAAGCCCGAACACCCCAAATATTTTTTTTTTTTTTACATTTTTTTTTGTGTAACCAACTCCAAAAGGTCTGAAACATGTTCCTAAAAAGGTTTTGGACAGTGATTTTAACCCTAACGCCAAAAACCTTAAACCTTACCCTAGCCCCATAACCTAATACCCGGGTATTACCTTCAGGAAGCCCGAAGACCCCAAATATATTTTTTTCTTTTTCTTTTTTTTTTTGTCTAACTAACTCCAAAAGGTCTGAAACATGTTCCTTAAAAAGGTTTTGGACAGTGATTTTAACCCTAACGCCAAAAACCTTAAACCTTACCCTAGCCCCAAACCTAATACCCGGGTATTACCTTCAGGAAGCCCGAACACCCCAAATATTTTTTTTTCATTTTCTTTTTTTTTTTTGTCTAACTAACTCCCAAAGGTTGGAAAAGAGTTCCTACAAAGGTTTTGGACAGTGATTTTTACCCTCACGCCAAAAACCTTAAACCTTACCCTAGCCCCATAACCTAATACCCGGGTATTACCTTCAGGAAGCCCGAACACCCCAAATATATTTTTTTTCTTTTTTCTTTTTTTTTGGTCTAACTAACTCCAAAAGGTCGGAAAAGAGTTCCTACAAAGGTTTTGGACAGTGATTTTAACCCTAACGCCAAAAACCTTAAACCTTACCCTAGCCCCATAACCTAATACCCGGGTATTACCTTCAGGAAGCCCGAACACCCCAAATATTTTTTTTTTTCATTTTACATTTTTTTTGGTGTAACCAACTCCAAAAGGTCTGAAACATGTTCCTAAAAAGGTTTTGGACACTGATTTTAACTCTAACCCCAAAAACCTTAAACCTTACCCTAGCCCCATAACCTAATACCCGGGTATTACCTTCAGGAAGCCCGAACACCCCAAATTTTTTTTTTTTTTTTTTTTTTTTTTTTGTCTAACTAACTCCAAAAGGTCTGAAACATGTTCCTTAAAAAATATTGGACAGTGATTTTAACCCTAACGCCAAAAACCTTAAACCTTACCCTAGCCCCATAACCTAATACCCGGGTATTACCTTCAGGAAGCCCGAACACCCCAAATATATTTTTTTCATTTTACATTTTTTTTGGTGTAACCAACTCCAAAAGGTCTGAAACATGTTCCTACAAAGGTTTTGGACAGTGATTTTAACTCTAACGCCAAAAACCTTAAACCTTACCCTAGCCCCATAACCTAATACCCGGGTATTACCTTCAGGAAGCCCGAACACCCCAAATATTTTTTTTCTTTTTTTTTTTTTTTTGTCTAACTAACTCCAAAAGGTCTGAAACATGTTCCTTAAAAAATATTGGACAGTGATTTTAACCCTAACGCCAAAAACCTTAAACCTTACCCTAGCCCCATAACCTAATACCCGGGTATTACCTTCAGGAAGCCCGAACACCCCAAATATTTTTTTTTCATTTTTCTTTTTTTTTGGTCTAACTAACTCCAAAAGGTTGAAAATAGTTCCTACAAAGGTTTTGGACAGTGATTTTAACCCTAACGCCAAAAACCTTAAACCTTACCCTAGCCCCAAAACCTAATACCCGGGTATTACCTTCAGGAAGCCCGAACACCCCAAATATTTTTTTTTCATTTTACATTTTTTTTGGTGTAACCAACTCCAAAAGGTCTGAAACATGTTCCTAAAAAGGTTTTGGACAGTGATTTTAACCCTACGCCAAAAACCTTAAACCTTACCCTAGCCCCATAACCTAATACCCGGGTATTACCTTCAGGAAGCCCGAACACCCCAAATATTTTTTTTTCATTTTCTTTTTTTTTTGTCTAACAACTCCAAAAGGTTGGAAAAGATTCCTACAAAGGTTTTGGACAGTGATTTTAACCCTCACGCCAAAAACCTTAAACCTTAACCTAGCCCCATAACCTAATACCCGGGTATTACCTTCAGGAAGCCCGAACACCCCAAATATATTTTTTTCTTTTTCTTTTTTTTTTGGTCAACTAACTCCAAAAGGTCTGAAACATGTTCCTTAAAAATATTGGACAGTGATTTTAACCCTTACGCCAAAAACCTTAAACCTAATCCTAGCCCCATAACCTAATACTTAAACCTGAAGGGTATTACCTTCAGGAAGCCCGAACACCCCAAATATTTTTTTTTCATTTTACATTTTTTTTGGTGTAACCAACTCCAAAAGGTCTGAATCTTGTTCCTTAAAAGGTTTTGGACAGTGATTTTAACCCTAACGCCAAAAACCTTAAACCTTACCCTAGCCCCAAAACCTAATACCTTCAGGAAGCCCGAAAACCCCAAATATTTTTTTTTCATTTTACATTTTTTTTGGTCTAACTAACTCCAAAAGGTCTGAAACATGTTCCTTAAAAAATATTGGACAGTGATTTTAACCCTAACGCCAAAAACCTTAAACCTAATCCTAGCCCCAAAACCTAATACCCGGGTATTACCTTCAGGAAGCCCGAACACCCCAAATATTTTTTTTTCATTTTTCTTTTTTTTGTGGTCTAACTAACTCCAAAAGGTTGGAAAAGAGTTCCTACAAAGGTTTTGGACAGTGATTTTAACCCTAACGCCAAAAACCTTAAACCTTACCCTAGCCCCATAACCTCATACCCGGGTATTTCCTTCAGGAAGCCCGAAGACCCCAAATATATTTTTTTCTTTTTTCTTTTTTTTTGGTCTAACTAACTCCAAAAGGTCGAAAAAGAGTTCCTACAAAGGTTTTGGACAGTGATTTTAACCCTAACGCCAAAAACCTTAAACCTTACCCTAGCCCCAAAACCTAATACCCGGGTATTACCTTCAGGAAGCTTGAACACCCCAAATATATTTTTTTTCATTTTACATTTTTTTTTGGTGTTACCAACTCCAAAAGGTCTGAAACATTTTCCTACAAAGGTTTTGGACAGTGATTTTAACCCTAACGCCAAAAACCTTTAACCTTACTATAGCCCCATGACCTAATACCTGGGTATTTTCTTCAGGAAGCCTGAAGACCTCAAATATTTTTTTTTTTCATTTTACATTTTTTTTGGTCTAACTAACTCCAAAAGGTCTGAAACATGTTCCTACAAAGGTTTTGGACAGTGATTTTAACCCTAACGCCAAAAACCTTTAACCTTACCCTAGCCCCAAAACCTAATACCCGGGTATTACCTTCAGGAAGCCCAAGAACCCCAAATATTTTTTTTCATTTTTCGTTTTTTTTTTGGTCTTACTAACTCCAAAAGGTTGGAAAAAAGTTCCTACAAAGGTTTTGGACAGTGATTTTAACCCTAACGCCAAAAACCTTAAACCTTACCCTAGCCCCATAACCTCATACCCGGGTATTACCTTCAGGAAGCCCGAAGACCCCAAATATTTTTTTTTTCTTTTTTCTTTTTTTTTGGTCTAACTAACTCCAAAAGGTCGGAAAAGAGTTCCTACAAAGGTTTTGGACAGTGATTTTAACCCTAACACCAAAAACCTTAAACCTTACCCTAGCCCCAAAACCTAATACCCGGGTATTACCTTCAGGAAGCCTGAACACCCCAAATATTTTTTTTTTCATTTTACATTTTTTTTGGTGTAACCATCTCCAAAAGGTCTTAAACATGTTCCTAAAAAGGTTTTGGACACTGATTTTAACTCTAACGCCAAAAACCTTAAACCTTACCCTAGCCCCAAAACCTAATACCCGGGTATTACCTTCAGGAAGCCCGAACACCCCAAATATATATTTTTTTCATTTTACATTTTTTTTTGGTGTAACCAACTCCAAAAGGTCTTAAACATGTTCCTAAAAAGGTTTTGGACACTGATTTTAACTCTAACGCCAAAAACCTTAAACCTTACCCTAGCCCCATAACCTAATACCCGGGTATTACCTTCAGGAAGCCCGAACACCCCAAATTTTTTTTTCTTTTTTTTTTTTTTTTTTTTGTCTAACTAACTCCCGTATTACCTTCAGGAAGCCCGAAAATCCCAAATATTTTTTTTCATTTTTCGTTTTTTTTTTGGTCTAACTAACTCCAAAAGGTTGGAAAATAGTTCCTACAAAGGTTTTGGACAGTGATTTTAACCCTAACGCCTAAAACCTTAAACCTTACCCTAGCCCCAAAACCTAATACCCGGGTATTACCTTCAGGAAGCTTGAACACCCCAAATATTTTTTTTTCATTTTACATTTTTTTTTGGTGTTACCAACTCCAAAAGGTCTGAAACATGTTCCTAAAAAGGTTTTGGACAGTGATTTTAACTCTAACGCCAAAAACCTTAAACCTTACCCTAGCCCCATAACCTCATACCCGGGTATTACCTTCAGGAAGCCCGAAGACCCCAAATATATTTTTTTCTTTTTTCTTTTTTTTTGGTCTAACTAACTCCAAAAGGTCGGAAAAGAGTTCCCACAAGGGTTTTGGACGGTGATTTTAACCCTAACACCAAAAACCTTAAACCTTACCCTAGCCCCAAAACCTAATACCCGGGTATTACCTTCAGGAAGCCCGAACACCCCAAATTTTTTTTTCTTTTTTTTTTTTTTGTCTAACTAACTCCCAAAGGTCTGAAACATGTTCCTTAAAAAATATTGGACAGTGATTTTAACCCTAACGCCAAAAACCTTAAACCTAACACTAGCCCCAAAACCTAATACCCGGGTATTACCTTCAGGAAGCCCGAAAACCCCAAATATTTTTTTTCATTTTTCGTTTTTTTTTTTGTCTAACTAACTCCAAAAGGTTGGAAAATAGTTCCTACAAAGGTTTTGGACAGTGATTTTAACCCTAACGCCAAAAACCTTAAACATTACCCTAGCCCAGAAACCTAATATTACCTTCAGGAAGGCCGAACACCCAAAAAAATTTTTTTTTCATTTTACATTTTTTTTGGTGTAACTAACTCCAAAAGGTCTGAAACATGTTCCTTAAAAAATATTGGACAGTGATTTTAACCCTTACCCCAAAAACCTTAAACCTAATCCTAGCCCCATAACCTAATACTTAAACCTGAAGGGTATTACCTTCAGGAAGCTTGAACACCCCAAATATTTTTTTTTCATTTTACATTTTTTTTTGGTGTTACCAACTCCAAAAGGTCTGAAACATGTTCCTAAAAAGGTTTTGGACAGTGATTTTAACTCTAACGCCAAAAACCTTAAACCTTACCCTAGCCCCAAAACCTAATACCCGGGTATTACCTTCAGGAAGCCCGAACACCCCAAATATTTTTTTTTTCATTTTACTTTTTTTTTTGATGTAACCAACTCCAAAAGGTCTTAGACATGTTCCTAAAAAGGTTTTGGACATTGATTTTAACTCTAACGCCAAAAACCTTAAACCTTACCCTAGCCCCATAACCTAATACCCGGGTATTACCTTCAGGAAACCCGAAGACCCCAAATATATTTTTTTTCTTTTTCTTTTTTTTTTTGTCTAACTAACTCCCAAAGGTCTGAAACATGTTCCTTAAAAAATATTGTACAGTTATTTTAACCCTAACGCCAAAAACCTTAAACCTAACCCTAGCCCCTTTACCTAATACCCGGGTATTACCTTCAGGAAGCCCGAACACCCCAAATATTTTTTTTTCATTTATCTTTTTTTTTTGTCTAACTAATTCCCAAAGGTTGGAAAAGAGTTCCTACAAAGGTTTTGGACAGTGATTTTTACCCTCACGCCGAAAAACCTTAAACCTTACCCTAGCCCCATAACCTCATACCCGGGTATTTCCTTCAGGAAGCCCGAAGACCCCAAATATATTTTTTTCTTTTTTCTTTTTTTTTGGTCTAACTAACTCCAAAAGGTCGGAAAAGAGTTCCTACAAAGGTTTTGGACGGTGATTTTAACCCTAACACCAAAAACCTTAAACCTTACCCTAGCCCCAAAACCTAATACCCGGGTATTACCTTCAGGAAGCCCGAACACCCCAAATATTTTTTTTTTCATTTTACATTTTTTTTGGTGTAACCAACTCCAAAAGGTCTTAAACATGTTCCTAAAAAGGTTTTGGACACTGATTTTAACTCTAACCCCAAAAACCTTAAACCTTACCCTATCCCCATAACCTAATACCCGGGTATTACCTTCAGGAAGCCCGAACACCCCAAATTTTGTTTTCTTTTTTTTTTTTTTTTGTCTAACTAACTCCCAAAGGTCTGAAACATGTTCCTTAAAAAATATTGGACAGTGATTTTAACCCTAACGCCAAAAACCTTAAACCTTACCCTAGCCCCATAACCTCATACCCGGGTATTTCCTTCAGGAAGCCCGAACACCCCAAATATATTTTTTTTCATTTTACATTTTTTTTGGTGTAACCAACTCCAAAAGGTCTGAAACATGTTCCTAAAAAGGTTTTGGACACTGATTTTAACTCTAACCCCAAAAACCTTAAACCTTACCCTAGCCCCATAACCTAATACCCGGGTATTACCTTCAGGAAGCCCGAACACCCCAAATTTTTTTTTCTTTTTTTTTTTTTTTTGTCTAACTAACTCCCAAAGGTCTGAAACATGTTCCTTAAAAAATATTGGACAGTGATTTTAACCCTAACGCCAAAAACCTTAAACCTAACCCTAGCCCCAAAACCTAATACCCGGGTATTACCTTCAGGAAGCCCGAAAACCCCAAATATTTTTTTTCATTTTTCGTTTTTTTTTTGGTCTAACTAACTCCAAAAGGTTTGTAAAATAGTTCCTACAAAGGTTTTGGACAGTGATTTTAACCCTAACGCCAAAAACCTTAAACCTTACCCTAGCCCCAAAAACTAATACCCGTGTATTACCTTCAGGAAGCTTGAACACCCCAAATATTTTTTTTTCATTTTACATTTTTTTTGGTGTAACCAACTCCAAAAGGTCTGAAACATGTTCCTAAAAAGGTTTTGGACAGTGATTTTAACCCTTACGCCAAAAACCTTAAACCTTACCCTAGCCCCATAACCTAATACCCGGGTATTACCTTCAGGAAGCCCGAACACCCCAAATATTTTTTTTTCATTTATCTTTTTTTTTTTTGTCTAACGAACTCCAAAAGGTTGGAAAAGACTTCCTACAAAGGTTTTGGACAGTGATTTTAACCCTCACGCCAAAAACCTTAAACCTTAACCTAGCCCCATAACCTAATACCCGGGTATTACCTTCAGGAAGCCCGAACACCCCAAATATATATTTTTTCTTTTTCTTTTTTTTTTGGTCAAACTAGCTCCAAAAGGTCTGAAACATGTTCCTTAAAAAATATTGGACAGTGATTTTAACCCTTACGCCAAAAACCTTAAACCAAATCCTAGCCCCATAACCTAATACTTAAACCTGAAGGGTATTACCTTCAGGAAGCCCGAACACCCCAAATATATTTTTTTTCATTTTACATTTTTTTTGGTGTAACCAACTCCAAAAGGTCTGAATCTTGTTCCTTAAAAGGTTTTGGACAGTGATTTTAACCCTAACGCCAAAAACCTTAAACCTTACCCTAGCCCCAAAACCTAATACCTTCAGGAAGCCCGAAAACCCCAAATATTTTTTTTGTCATTTTACATTTTTTTTGGTGTAACTAACTCCAAAAGGTCTGAAACATGTTCCTTAAAAAATATTGGACAGTGATTTTAACCCTAATGCCAAAAACCTTAAACCTAATCCTAGCCCCAAAACCTAATACCCGGGTATTACCTTCAGGAAGCCCGAACACCCCAAATATTTTTTTTTCATTTTTCTTTTTTTTTTGGTCTAACTAACTCCAAAAGGTTGGAAAAGAGTTCCTACAAAGGTTTTGGACAGTGATTTTAACCCTAACGCCAAAAACCTTAAACCTTACCCTAGCCCCATAACCTCATACCCGGGTATTTCCTTCAGGAAGCCCGAAGACCCCAAATATATTTTTTTCTTTTTTCTTTTTTTTTGGTCTAACTAACTCCAAAAGGTCGAAAAAGAGTTCCTACAAAGGTTTTGGACGGTGATTTTAACCCTAACACCAAAAACCTTAAACCTTACCCTAGCCCCAAAACCTAATACCCGGGTATTACCTTCAGGAAGCTTGAACACCCCAAATATATTTTTTTTCATTTTACATTTTTTTTTGGTGTTACCAACTCCAAAAGGTCTGAAACATGTTCCTACAAAGGTTTTGGACAGTGATTTTAACCCTAACGCCAAAAACCTTTAACCTTACTATAGCCCCATGACCTAATACCTGGGTATTTTCTTCAGGAAGCCTGAAGACCTCAAATATTTTTTTTTTCATTTTACATTTTTTTTGGTGTAACCAACTCCAAAAGGTCTTAAACATGTTCCTAAAAAGGTTTTGGACACTGATTTTAACTCTAACGCCAAAAACCTTAAACCTTACCCTAGCCCCATGACCTAATACCCGGGTATTACCTTCAGGAAGCCCAAGAACCCCAAATACTTTTTTTTCATTTTTCGTTTTTTTGTTGGTCTTAATAACTCCAAAAGGTTGGAAAAAAGTTCCTACAAAGGTTTTGGACAGTGATTTTAACCCTGACGCCAAAAACCTTAAACCTTACCCTAGCCCCATAACCTCATACCCAGGTATTTCCTTCAGGAAGCCCGAAGACCCCAAATATATTTTTTTCTTTTTTCTTTTTTTTTGGTCTAACTAACTCCAAAAGGTCGGAAAAGAGTTCCTACAAAGGTTTTGGACGGTGATTTTAACCCTAACACCAAAAACCTTAAACCTTACCCTAGCCCCAAAACCTAATACCCGGGTATTACCTTCAGGAAGCTTGAACACCCCAAATATTTTTTTTTTCATTTTACATTTTTTTTTGGTGTTACCAACTCCAAAAGGTCATAAACATGTTCCTTAAAAGGTTTTGGACAGTGATTTTAACCCTAACGCCAAAAACCTTAAACCTTACCCTAGCCCCATAACCTAATACCCGGGTATTACCTTCAGGAAACCCGAAGACCCCAAATATTTTTTTTTTCTTTTTCTTTTTTTTTGTCTAACTAACTCCCAAAGGTCTGAAACATGTTCATTAAAAAATTTTGGACAGTTATTTTAACCCTAACGCCAGAAACCTTAAACCTAACCCTAGCCCCAAAACCTAATACCCGGGTATTACCTTCAGGAAGCCCGAACACCCCAAATATATTTTTTTTATTTTTCTTTATTTTTGGTCTAACTTGCTCTCAAAGGTTGGAAAAGAGTTCCTACAAAGGTTTTGGACATTGATTTTAACCCTAACGCCAAAAACCTTAAACATTTCCCTAGCCCAGAAACCTAGTATTACCTTCAGGAAGCCCGAACACCCAAAAAAAATTTTTTTTCACTTTACATTTTTTTTGGTGTAACCAACTCCAAAAGGTTGGAAACATGTTCCTACAAAGGTTTTGGACAGTGATTTTAACCCTAACGCCAAAAACCTTTAACCTTACTATAGCCCAATAACCTAATACCCGGGTATTACCTTCAGGAAGCCCGAACACCCCAAATATTTTTTTTTCATTTATCTTTTTTTTTTTGTCTAACTAACTCCAAAAGGTTGGAAAAGACTTCCTACAAAGGTTTTGGACAGTGATTTTTACCCTCACACCGAAAAACCTTAAACCTTACTCTAGCCCCATAACCTAATACCCGGGTATTACCTTCAGGAAGCCCGAACACCCCAAATATATATTTTTTATTTTTACATTTTTTTTGGTGAAACCAACTCCAAAAGGTCTGAAACATGTTCCTAAAAAGGTTTTGGACAGTGATTTTAAACCTAAAGCCAAAAACCTTTAACCTTACCCTAGCCCCATAACCTAATACCCGGGTAATACCTTCAGGAAGCCCAAAAACCCCAAATATTTTTTTTTCATTTTTTGTTTTTTTTTGGTCTAACTAACTCCAAAAGGTTGGAAAAGAGTTCCTACAAAGGTTTTGGACAGTGATTTTAACCCTAACGCCAAAAACCTCAAACCTTACCCTAGCCCCATAACCTCATACCCAGGTATTTCCTTCAGGAAGCCCGAAGACCCCAAATATATTTTTTTCTTTTTTCTTTTTTTTTGGTCTAACTAACTCCAAAAGGTCGGAAAAGAGTTCCTACAAAGGTTTTGGACAGTGATTTTAACCCTAACACCAAAAACCTTAAACCTTACCCTAGCCCCAAAACCTAATACCCGGGTATTACCTTCAGGAAGCTTGAACACCCCGAATATATTTTATTTCATTTTACATTTTTTTTTGGTGTTACCAACTCCAAAAGGTCTGAAACATGTTCCTACAAAGGTTTTGGACAGTGATTTTAACCCTAACGCCAAAAACCTTTAAACCTTACTATAGCCCCATAACCTAATACCCGGGTATTACCTTCAGGAAGCCCGAACACCCCAAATATATTTTTTTTCATTTTACATTTTTTTTGGTGTAACCAACTCCAAAAGGTCTGAAACATGTTCCTAAAAAGGTTTTGGACAGTGATTTTAACCCTAACGCCAAAAACCTTAAACCTTACCCTAGCCCCATAACCTAATACCCGGGTATTACCTTCAGGAAGCCCGAACACCCCAAATATTTTTTTTTCATTTATCTTTTTTTTTTTGTCTAACTAATTCCCAAAGGTTGGAAAAGAGTTCCTACAAAGGTTTTGGACAGTGATTTTAACCCTCACGCCAAAAACCTTAAACCTTACCCTAGCCCCATAACCTAATACCCGGGTATTACCTTCAGGAAGCCCGAACACCCCAAATATATATATTTTATTTTTCTTTTTTTTTTGGTCTAACTTGCTCTCAAAGGTTGGAAAAGAGTTCCTATAAAAGTTTTGGACATTGATTTTAACCCTAACGCCAAAAACCTTAAACATTTCCCTAGCCCAGAAACATAGTATTACCTTCAGGAAGCCCGAACACCCAAAAAAAATTTTTTTTCATTTTACATTTTTTTTGGTGTAACCAACTCCAAAAGGTCTGAAACATGTTCCTAAAAAGGTTTTGGACAGTGATTTTAACCCTTACGCCAAAAACCTTAAACCTTACCCTAGCCCCATAACCTCATACCCGGGTATTACCTTCAGGAAGCCCGAACACCCCAAATATTTTTTTTTCATTTATCTTTTTTTTTTTCTCTAACTAACTCCAAAAGGTTGGAAAAGACTTCCTACAAAGCTTTTGGACATTGATTTTAACCCCAATGCCAAAAACCTTAAACAGTACCCTAGCCCAGAAACCTAGTATTACCTTCAGGAAGCCCGAACACCCAAAAAAAATTTTTTTTCATTTTACATTTTTTTTGGTGTAACCAACTCCAAAAGGTCTGAAACATGTTCCAAAAAAGGTTTTGGACAGTGATTTTAACCCTTACGCCAAAAACCTTAAACCTTACCCTAGCCCCATAACCTCATACCTGGGTATTACCTTCAGGAAGCCCGAACACCCCAAATATATTTTTTTTCATTCATCTTTTTTTTTTTGTCTAACTAACTCCAAAAGGTTGGAAAAGACTTCCTACAAAGGTTTTGGACAGTGATTTTTACCCTCACACCGAAAAACCTTAAACCTTACCCTAGCCCCATAACCTAATACCCGGGTATTACCTTCAGGAAGCCCGAACACCCCAAATATATATTTTTTATTTTTACATTTTTTTTGGTGAAACCAACTCCAAAAGGTCTGAAACATGTTCCTAAAAAGGTTTTGGACAGTGATTTTAAACCTAAAGCCAAAAACCTTTAACCTTACCCTAGCCCCATAACCTAATACCCGGGTAATACCTTCAGGAAGCCCAAAAACCCCAAATATTTTTTTTTCATTTTTTGTTTTTTTTTGGTCTAACTAACTCCAAAAGGTTGGAAAAGAGTTCCTACAAAGGTTTTGGACAGTGATTTTAACCCTAACGCCAAAAACCTCAAACCTTACCCTAGCCCCATAACCTCATACCCAGGTATTTCCTTCAGGAAGCCCGAAGACCCCAAATAAATTTTTTTCTTTTTTCTTTTTTTTTGGTCTAACTAACTCCAAAAGGTCGGAAAAGAGTTCCTACAAAGGTTTTGGACAGTGATTTTAACCCTAACACCAAAAACCTTAAACCTTACCCTAGCCCCAAAACCTAATACCCGGGTATTACCTTCAGGAAGCTTGAACACCCCGAATATATTTTATTTCATTTTACATTTTTTTTTGGTGTTACCAACTCCAAAAGGTCTGAAACATGTTCCTACAAAGGTTTTGGACAGTGATTTTAACCCTAACGCCAAAAACCTTTAACCTTACTATGGCCCAATAACCTAATACCCGGGTATTACCTTCAGGAAGGCCGAACACCCCAAATATATTTTTTTTTCATTTTACATTTTTTTTTTGGTGTAACCAACTCCAAAAGGTCTGAAACATGTTCCTAAAAAGGTTTTGGACAGTGATTTTAAACCTAACGCCAAAAACCTTAAACCTTACCCTAGCCCCAAAACCTAATACCCGGGTATTACCTTCAGGAAGCTTGAACACCCCAAATATTTTTTTTTCATTTATCTTTTTTTTTTTGTCTAACTAATTCCCAAAGGTTGGAAAAGAGTTCCTACAAAGGTTTTGGACAGTGATTTTTACCCTCACGCCGAAAAACCTTAAACCTTACCCTAGCCCCATAACCTAATACCCGGGTATTACCTTCAGGAAGCCCGAACACCCCAAATATATATATTTTATTTTTCTTTTTGTTTTGGTCTAACTTGCTCTCAAAGGTTGGAAAAGAGTTCCTATAAAAGTTTTGGACATTGATTTTAACCCTAACGCCAAAAACCTTAAACATTTCCCTAGCCCAGAAACCTAGTATTACCTTCAGGAAGCCCGAACACCCAAAAAAAATTTTTTTTCATTTTACATTTTTTTTGGTGTAACCAACTCCAAAAGGTCTGAAACATGTTCCTAAAAAGGTTTTGGACAGTGATTTTAACCCTTACGCCAAAAACCTTAAACCTTACCCTAGCCCCATAACCTCATACCCGGGTATTACCTTCAGGAAGCCCGAACACCCCAAATATTTTTTTTTCATTTATCTTTTTTTTTTTCTCTAACTAACTCCAAAAGGTTGGAAAAGACTTCCTACAAAGCTTTTGGACATTGATTTTAACCCTAATGCCAAAAACCTTAAACAGTACCCTAGCCCAGAAACCTAGTATTACCTTCAGGAAGCCCGAACACCCAAAAAAAATTTTTTTTCATTTTACATTTTTTTTGGTGTAACCAACTCCAAAAGGTCTGAAACATGTTCCAAAAAAGGTTTTGGACAGTGATTTTAACCCTTACGCCAAAAACCTTAAACCTTACCCTAGCCCCATAACCTCATACCTGGGTATTACCTTCAGGAAGCCCGAACACCCCAAATATTTTTTTTTCATTCATCTTTTTTTTTTTCTCTAACTAACTCCTAAAGGTTGGAAAAGACTTCCTACAAAGGTTTTGGACAGTGATTTTAACCCTCACGCCAAAAACCTTAAACCTTAACCTAGCCCCATAACCTAATACCCGGGTATTACCTTCAGGAAGCCCGAACACCCCAAATATATATTTTTTCTTTTTACATTTTTTTTGGTGTAACCAACTCCAAAAGGTCTTAAACATGTTCCTAAAAAGGTTTTGGACAGTGATTTTAAACCTAACGCCAAAAACCTTAAACCTTACCCTAGCCCCATAACCTAATACCCGGGTATTACCTTCAGGAAGCCCAAAAACCCCAAATATTTTTTTTTCTTTTTTCTTTTTTTTGGTCTAACTAACTCCAAAAGGTTGGAAAAGAGTTCCTACAAAGGTTTTGGACGGTGATTTTAACCCTAACACCAAAAACCTTAAACCTTACCCTAGCCCCAAAACCTAATACCCGGGTATTACCTTCAGGAAGCTTGAACACCCCAAATATTTTTTTTTTCATTTTACATTTTTTTTTCGTGTTACCAACTCCAAAAGGTCTGAAACATGTTCCTACAAAGGTTTTGGACAGTGATTTTAACCCTAACGCCAAAAACCTTTAACCTTACTATAGCCCCATAAGCTAATACCTGGGTATTTCCTTCAGGAAGCCCGAAGACCCCAAATATATTTTTTTTCATTTTACATCTTTTTTGGTGTAACCAACTCCAAAAGGTCTGAAACATGTTCCTAAAAAGGTTTTGGACAGTGATTTTAACCCTTACGCCAAAAACCTTAAACCTTACCCTAGCCCCATAACCTAATACCTGGGTATTACCTTCAGGAAGCCCGAACACCCCAAATATTTTTTTTTTCATTTATCTTTGTTTTTTTGTCTAACTAACTCCAAAAGGTTGGAAAAGACTTCCTACAAAGGTTTTGGACAGTGATTTTAACCCTCACGACAAAAACCTTAAACCTTAACCTAGCCCCATAACCTAATACCCGGGTATTGCCTTCAGGAAGCCCGAACACCCCAAATATATATTTTTTCTTTTTCTTTTTTTTTTTTTGGTCAAACTAGCTCCAAAAGGTCTGAAACATGTTCCTTAAAAAATATTGGACAGTGATTTTAACCCTTACGCCAAAAACCTTAAACCTAATCCTAGCCCCATAACCTAATACTTAAACCTGAAGGGTATTACCTTCAGGAAGCCCGAACACCCCAAATATTTTTTTTTTCATTTTACATTTTTTTTGGTGTAACCAACTCCAAAAGATCTAAATCTTGTTCCTTAAAAGGTTTTGGACAGTGATTTTAACCCTAACGCCAAAAACCTTAAACCTTACCCTAGCCCCATAACCTAATACCCGGGTATTACCTTCAGGAAGCCCAAAAACCCCAAACATTTTTTTTTCATTTTTCTTTTTTTTTTGGTCTAACTAACTCCAAAAGGTTGGAAAAGAGTTCCTACAAAGGTTTTGGACAGTGATTTTAACCCTAACACCAAAAACCTTAAACCTTACCCTAGCCCCAAAACCTAATACCCGGGTATTACCTTCAGGAAGCTTGAACACCCCAAATATTTTTTTTTTCATTTTACATTTTTTTTTGGTGTTACCAACTCCAAAAGGTCTGAAACATGTTCCTACAAAGGTTTTGGACAGTGATTTTAACCCTAACGCCAAAAACCTTTAACCTTACTATAGCCCCATAACCTAATACCCGGGTATTACCTTCAGGAAGCCCGAAGACCCCAAACATTTTTTTTTTCATTTTAAATTTTTTTTGGTGTAACCAACTCCAAAAGGTCTTAAACATGTTCCTAAAAAGGCTGTGGACACTGATTTTAACTCTAACGCCAAAAACCTTAAACCTTACCCTAGCCCCATAACCTAATACCCGGGTATTACCTTCAGGAAGCCCGAAAACCCCAAATATTTTTTTTTCATTCATTTCTTTTTTTTGGTCTAACTAACTCCAAAAGGTTGGAAAATAGTTCCTACAAAGGTTTTGGACAGTGATTTTAACCCTAACGCCAAAAACCTTTAACCTTACTATAGCCCCATAACCTAATACCTGGGTATTTCCTTCAGGAAGCCCGAAGACCCCAAATATTTTTTTTTTCATTTTACATTTTTTTTGGTGTAACCAACTCCAAAAGGTCTTAAACATGTTCCTAAAAAGGTTTTGGACACTGATTTTAACTCTAACGCCAAAAACCTTAAACCTTACCCTAGCCCCATAACCTAATACCCGGGTATTACCTTCAGGAAGCCCAAAAACCCCAAATATTTTTTTTCATTTTTCGTTTTTTTTTTTGGTCTAACTAACTCCAAAAGGTTGGAAAATAGTTCCTACAAAGGTTTTGGACAGTGATTTTAACTCTAACGCCAAAAACCTTAAACCTTACCCTAGCCCCATAACCTAATACCCGGGTATTACCTTCAGGAAGCCCGAACACCCCAAATATATATTTTTTTCATTTTACATTTTTTTTTGGTGTAACCAACTCCAAAAGGTCTTAAACATGTTCCTAAAAAGGTTTTGGACAGTGATTTTAACCCTAACGCCAAAAACCTTAAACCTTACCCTAGCCCCAAAACCTAATACCTTCAGGAAGCCCGAAAACCCCAAATATTTTTTTTTCATTTTTCATTTTTTTATTGGTCTAACTAACTCCAAAAGGTTGGAAAAGACTTCCTACAAAGGTTTTGAACACTGATTTTAACCCTCACGCCAAAAACCTTAAACCTTACCCTAGCCCCATAACCTAATACCCGGGTATTACCTTCAGGAAGATTGAACACCCCAAATATATTTTTTTTTCATTTTACATTTTTTTTTTGGTGTTACCAACTCCAAAAGGTCTGAAACATGTTCCTAAAAAGGTTTTGGACAGTGATTTTAACCCTAACGCCAAAAACCTTAAACCTTACCCTAGCCCCATAACCTCATACCCGGGTATTACCTTCAGGAAGCCCGAACACCCCAAATATTTTTTTTTCATTTATCTTTTTTTTTTTGTCTAACTAACTCCAAAAGGTTGGAAAAGAGTTCCTACAAAGGTTTTGGACAGTGATTTTAACCCTATCGCCAAAAACCTTAAAAGTTACCCTAGCCCCAAAACCTAATACCCGGGTATTACCTTCAGGAAGCCCGAACACCCCAAATAATTTTTTTTTATTTTTCATTTTTTGTGGTCTAACTAACTCCAAAAGGTTGGAAAAGAGTTCCTACAAAGGTTTTGGACAGTGATTTTAACTCTAACGCCAAAAACCTTAAACCTTACCCTAGCCCCATAACCTAATACCCGGGTATTACCTTCAGGAAGCCCGAAAACCCAAAATATTGTTTTTTCATTTTTCGTTTTTTTTCTGGTCTAACTAACTCCATAAGAATGGTAAAGAGTTCCTACAAAGGTTTTGGACAGTGATTTTAACCCTCACGCCAAAAACCTTAAACCTTACCTTAGCCCCAAAACCTAATACCCGGGTATTACCTTCAGGAAGCCCGAACACCCGAAATATATATTTTTATTTTTCTTTATTTTTGGTCTAACTTGCTCTCAAAGGTTGGAAAAGAGTTCCTACAAAGGTTTTGGACATTGATTTTAACCCTAACGCCAAAAACCTTAAACCTTACCCTAGCCCCATAACCTAGTACCCGGGTATTACCTTCAGGAAGCCCGAACACCCCAAATATTTTTTTTTCATTTATCTTTTTTTTTTTTGTCTAACTCCAAAAGGTTGGAAAAGACTTCCTACAAAAGACTAACTCCAAAAGGTTGGAAAAGACTTCCTACAAAGGTTATACAATGTATTACCTTCAGGAAGCCCGAACACCAAAAAAAAATTTTTTTTCATTTTACATTTTTTTTGGTGTAACCAACTCCAAAAGGTCTGAAACATGTTCCTAAAAAGGTTTTGGACAGTGATTTTAACCCTTACACCGTAAACCTTAAAGCTTACCCTAGCCCCATAACCTAATACCCGGGTATTACCTTCAGGAAGCCCGAACACCAAAAAAAATTTTTTTCATTTTACATTTTTTTTGGTGTAACCAACTCCAAAAGGTCTGAAACATGTTCCTAAAAAGGTTTTGGACAGTGATTTTAACCCTTACACCGTAAACCTTAAAGCTTACCCTAGCCCCATAACCTAATACCCGGGTATTACCTTCAGGAAGCCCGAACACCCCAAATATTTTTTTTTCATTTTCTTTTTTTTTTGTCTAACTAACTCCAAAAGGTTGGAAAAGACTTCCTACAAAGGTTTTGGACAGTGATTTTAACCCTAACGCCAAAAACCTTAAACCTTACCTAGCCCCATAACCTAATACCCGGGTATTACCTTCAGGAAGCCCGAACACCCCAAATTATATATTTTTTTTTCTTTTTTTTTTTTTTGTCAAACTAGCTCCAAAAAGTCTGAAACATGTTCCTTAAAAATATTGGACAGTGATTTTAACCCTAACGCCAAAAACATTAAACCTAATCCTAGCCCCATAACCTAATACTTAAACCTGAAGGGTATTACCTTCAGGAAGCCCGAACACCCCAAATATTTTTTTTTTCATTTTACATTTTTTTTTGGTGTAACCAACTCCAAAAGGTCTGAATCTTGTTCCTTAAAAGGTTTTGGACAGTGATTTTAACCCTAACGCCAAAAACCTTAAACCTTACCCTAGCCCCAAAACCTAATACCTTCAGGAAGCCCGAAAACCCCAAATATTTTTTTTTCTTTTTTCTTTTTTTTTTGGTCTAACTAACTCCAAAAGGTCTGAAACATGTTCCTTAAAAAATATTGGACAGTGATTTTAACCCTAACGCCAAAAACCTTAAACCTAATCCTAGCCCCAAAACCTAATACCCGGGTATTACCTTCAGGAAGCCCGAACACCCCAAATATTTTTTTTTCATTTTTCATTTTTTTATTGGTCTAACTAACTCCAAAAGGTTGGAAAAGACTTCCTACAAAGGTTTTGAACACTGATTTTAACCCTCACGCCAAAAACCTTAAACCTTACCCTAGCCCCATAACCTAATACCCGGGTATTACCTTCAGGAAGCTTGAACAACCCAAATATTTTTTTTTTTCATTTTACATTTTTTTTTGGTGTTACCAACTCCAAAAGGTCTGAAACATGTTCCTAAAAAGGTTTTGGACAGTGATTTTAACCCTGACGCCAAAAACCTTAAACCTTACCCTAGCCCAATAACCTCATACCCGGGTATTACCTTCAGGAAGCCCGAACACCCCAAATATTTTTTTTTTCATTTTACATTTTTTTTTGGTGTAACCAACTCCAAAAGGTCTGAATCTTGTTCCTTAAAAGGTTTTGGACAGTGATTTTAACCCTAACGCCAAAAACCTTAAACCTTACCCTAGCCCCAAAACCTAATACCTTCAGGAAGCCCGAAAACCCCAAATATTTTTTTTCTTTTTTCTTTTTTTTTGGTCTAACTAACTCCAAAAGGTCTGAAACATGTTCCTTAAAATATTTTGGACAGTGATTTTAACCCTTACGCCAAAAACCTTAAACCTAATCCTAGCCCCAAAACCTAATACCCGGGTATTACCTTCAGGAAGCCCGAACACCCCAAATATTTTTTTTTCATTTTTCATTTTTTTATTGGTCTAACTAACTCCAAAAGGTTGGAAAAGACTTCCTACAAAGGTTTTGAACACTGATTTTAACCCTCACGCCAAAAACCTTAAACCTTACCCTAGCCCCATAACCTAATACCCGGGTATTACCTTCAGGAAGATTGAACACCCCAAATATATTTTTTTTTCATTTTACATTTTTTTTTTGGTGTTACCAACTCCAAAAGGTCTGAAACATGTTCCTAAAAAGGTTTTGGACAGTGATTTTAACCCTAACGCCAAAAACCTTAAACATTACCCTAGCCCCATAACCTCATACCCGGGTATTACCTTCAGGAAGCCCGAACACCCCAAATATTTTTTTTTCATTTATCTTTTTTTTTTTGTATAACTAACTCCAAAAGGTTGGAAAAGAGTTCCTACAAAGGTTTTGGACAGTGATTTTAACCCTATCGCCAAAAACCTTAAACCTTACCCTAGCCCCAAAACCTAATACCCGGGTATAACCTTCAGGAAGCCCGAAGACCCCAAACAATTTTTTTTTATTTTTCATTTTTTGTGGTCTAACTAACTCCAAAAGGTTGGAAAAGAGTTCCTACAAAGGTTTTGGACAGTGATTTTAACTCTAACGCCAAAAACCTTAAACCTTACCCTAGCCCCATAACCTAATACCCGGGTATTACCTTCAGGAAGCCCGAAAAGCCCAAATATTGTTTTTTCATTTTTCGTTTTTTTTTTGGTCTAACTAACTCCAAAAGGATGGTAAAGTGTTCCTACAAAGGTTTTGGACAGTGATTTTTACCCTCACGCCAAAAACCTTAAACCTTACCCTAGCCCCATAACCTAATACCCGGGTATTACCTTCAGGAAGCCCGAACACCCCAAATATATATTTTTTTTTTTCTTTTTTTTTTGGTCTAACTTGCTCTCCAAAAGGTTGGAAAAGAGTTCCTACAAAGGTTTTGGACATTGATTTTAACCCTAACGCCAAAAACCTTAAACATTACCCTAGCCCAGAAACCTAGTATTACCTTCAGGAAGCCCGAACACCCAAAAAAAAATTTTTTTCATTTTACATTTTTTTTGGTGTAACCAACTCCAAAAGGTCTGAAACATGTTCCTAAAAAGGTTTTGGACACTGATTTTAACCCTGACGCCAAAAACCTTAAACCTTACCCTAGCCCAATAACCTCATACCCGGGTATTACCTTCAGGAAGCCCGAACACCCCAAATATATTTTTTTTTCATTTTACATTTTTTTTTGGTGTAACCAACTCCAAAAGGTCTGAATCTTGTTCCTTAAAAGGTTTTGGACAGTGATTTTAACCCTAACGCCAAAAACCTTAAACCTTACCCTAGCCCCAAAACCTAATACCTTCAAGGAAGCCCGAAAACCCCAAATATTTTTTTTTTTCTTTTTTCTTTTTTTTTGGTCTAACTAACTCCAAAAGGTCTGAAACATGTTCCTTAAAAAATATTGGACAGTGATTTTAACCCTTACGCCAAAAACCTTAAACCTAATCCTAGCCCCAAAACCTAATACCCGGGTATTACCTTCAGGAAGCCCGAACACCCCAAATATTTTTTTTTCATTTTTCATTTTTTTATTGGTCTAACTAACTCCAAAAGGTTGGAAAAGACTTCCTACAAAGGTTTTGAACACTGATTTTAACCCTCACGCCAAAAACCTTAAACCTTACCCTAGCCCCATAACCTAATACCCGGGTATTACCTTCAGGAAGCTTGAACACCCCAAATATATTTTTTTTTCATTTTACATTTTTTTTTGGTGTTACCAACTCCAAAAGGTCTGAAACATGTTCCTAAAAAGGTTTTGGACAGTGATTTTAACCCTAACGCCAAAAACCTTAAACCTTACCCTAGCCCCATAACCTCATACCCGGGTATTACCTTCAGGAAGCCCGAACACCCCAAATATTTTTTTTTCATTTATCTTTTTTTTTTTGTCTAACTAACTCCAAAAGGTTGGAAAAGAGTTCCTACAAAGGTTTTGGACAGTGATTTTAACCCTATCGCCAAAAACCTTAAAAGTTACCCTAGCCCCAAAACCTAATACCCGGGTATAACCTTCAGGAAGCCCGAAGACCCCAAACAATTTTTTTTTATTTTTCATTTTTTGTGGTCTAACTAACTCCAAAAGGTTGGAAAAGAGTTCCTACAAAGGTTTTGGACAGTGGTTTTAACTCTAACGCCAAAAACCTTAAACCTTACCCTAGCCCCATAACCTAATACCCGGGTATTACCTTCAGGAAGCCCGAAAAGCCCAAATATTGTTTTTTCATTTTTCGTTTTTTTTTTCGGTCTAACTAACTCCAAAAGGATGGTAAAGTGTTCCTACAAAGGTTTTGGACAGTGATTTTTACCCTCACGCCGAAAAACCTTAAACCTTACCCTAGCCCCATAACCTATTACCTTCAGGAAGCCCGAAAAGCCCAAATATATATTTTTTATTTTTCTTTTTGTTTTGGTCTAACTTGCTCTCAAAGGTTGGAAGAGTTCCTACAAAGGTTTTGGACATTGATTTTAACCCTAACGCCAAAAACCTTAAACATTACCCTAGCCCAGAAACCTAGTATTACCTTCAGGAAGCCCGAACACCCAAAAAAAAATTTTTTTCATTTTACATTTTTTTTGGTGTAACCAACTCCAAAAGGTCTGAAACATGTTCCTAAAAAGGTTTTGGACACTGATTTTAACCCTAACGCCAAAAACCTTAAACCTTACCCTAGCCCCATAACCTAATACCCGGGTATTACCTTCAGGAAGCCCGAAAAGCCCAAATATTGTTTTTTCATTTTTCGTTTTTTTTTTCGGTCTAACTAACTCCAAAGGTTGGAAAAGAGTTCCTACAAAGGTTTTGGACAGTGATTTTTACCCTCACGCCAAAAACCTTAAACCTTACCCTAGCCCCATAACCTATTACCTTCAGGAAGCCCGAAAAGCCCAAATATATATTTTTTATTTTTCTTTTTTTTTGGTCTAACTTGCTCTCAAAGGTTGGAAAAGAGTTCCTACAAAGGTTTTGGACATTGATTTTAACCCTAACGCCAAAAACCTTAAACATTACCCTAGCCCAGAAACCTAGTATTACCTTCAGGAAGCCCGAACACCCAAAAAAAAATTTTTTTCATTTTACATTTTTTTTGGTGTAACCAACTCCAAAAGGTCTGAAACATGTTCCTAAAAAGGTTTTGGACAGTGATTTTAACCCTAACGCCAAAAACCTTAAACCTTACCCTAGCCCCATAACCTAATACCCGGGTATTACCTTCAGGAAGCCCGAACACCCCAAATATTTTTTTTTTCATTTATCTTTTTTTTTTTGTCTAACTAACTCCAAAAGGTTGGAAAAGACTTCCTACAAAGGTTTTGGACAGTGATTTTAACCCTCACGCCAAAAACCTTAAACCTTAACCTAGCCCCATAACCTAATACCCGGGTATTACCTTCAGGAAGCCCGAACACCCCAAATATATATTTTTTCTTTTTCTTTTTTTTTTGGTCAAACTAGCTCCAAAAGGTCTGAAACATGTTCCTTAAAAAATATTGGACAGTGATTTTAACCCTTACGCCAAAAACCTTAAACCTAATCCTAGCCCCATAACCTAATACTTAAACCTGAAGGGTATTACCTTCAGGAAGCCCGAACACCCCAAATATATTTTTTTTCATTTTACATTTTTTTTGGTGTAACCAACTCCAAAAGGTCTGAATCTTGTTCCTTAAAAGGTTTTGGACAGTGATTTTAACCCTAACGCCAAAAACCTTAAACCTTTCCCTAGCCCCAAAACCTAATACCTTCAGGAAGCCCGAAAAGCCCAAATATTTTTTTTTCTTTTTTCTTTTTTTTGGTCTAACTAACTCCAAAAGGTCTGAAACATGTTCCTTAAAAAATATTGGACAGTGATTTTAACCCTAACGCCAAAAAACTTAAACCTAATCCTAGCCCCAAAACCTAATACCCGGGTATTACCTTCAGGAAGCCCAAACACCCCAAATATTTTTTTTTCATTTTTCATTTTTTTATTGGTCTAACTAACTCCAAAAGGTTGGAAAAGAGTTCCTACAAAGGTTTTGGACAGTGATTTTAACCCTTACGCCAAAAACCTTAAACCTTACCCTAGCCCCATAACCTAATACCCGGGTATTACCTTCAGGAAGCCCTAACACCCCAAATTTTTTTTTTTCATTTTTCATTTTTTTATTGGTCTAACTAACTCCAAAAGGTTGGAAAAGACTTCCTACAAAGGTTTTGGACAGTGATTTTAACCCTCACGCCAAAAACCTTAAACCTTTCCAAAGCCCCATAACCTAATACCCGGGTATTACCTTCAGGAAGCCCAAAAACCCCAAATATTTGTTTTTCAATTTTCGTTTTTTTTTTGGTCTAACTTACACCAAAAGGTTGGAAAAGAGGTCCTACAAAGGTTTTGGACAGTGATTTTAACCCTCACGCCAAAAACCTTAAACCTTACCCTAGCACCATAACCTAATACCCGGGTATTACCTTCAGGAAGCCCGAACACCCCAAATATTTTTTTTTTTCATTTTACATTTTTTTTTGGTGTAACCAACTCCAAAAGGTCTTAAACATGTTCCTAAAAAGGTTTTGGACACTGATTTTAACCCTAACGCCAAAAACCTTAAACCTTACCCTAGCCCCATAACCTAATACCCGGGTATTACCTTCAGGAAACCCGAACACCCCAAATATTTTTTTTTCTTTTTTTTTGTCTAACTAACTCCCAAAGGTCTGAAACATGTTCCTTAAAAAATATTGGACAGTGATTTTAACCCTAACGCCAAAAACCTTAAACCTTACCCTAGCCCCATAACCTAATACCCGGGTATTACCTTCAGGAAGCCCGAAAAGCCCAAATATTGTTTTTTCATTTTTCGTTTTTTTTTTGGTCTAACTAATTCCAAAAGGATGGTAAAGTGTTCCTACAAAGGTTTTGGACAGTGATTTTTACCCTCACGCCAAAAACCTTAAACCTTACCCTAGCCCCATAACCTATTACCTTCAGGAAGCCCGAAAAGCCCAAATATATATTTTTTATTTTTCTTTTTGTTTTGGTCTAACTTGCTCTCAAAGGTTGGAAGAGTTCCTACAAAGGTTTTGGACATTGATTTTAACCCTAACGCCAAAAACCTTAAACATTACCCTAGCCCAGAAACCTAGTATTACCTTCAGGAAGCCCGAACACCCAAAAAAAATTTTTTTTCATTTTACATTTTTTTTGGTGTAACCAACTCTAAAAGGTCTGAAACATGTTCCTAAAAAGGTTTTGGACAGTGATTTTAACCCTTACGCCAAAAACCTTAAACCTTACCCTAGCCCCATAACCTAATACCCGGGTATTACCTTCAGGAAGCCCGAACACCCCAAATATTTTTTTGTTTTTTTATTTTCTTTTTTTGTCTAACTAACTCCAAAAGGTTGGAAAAGACTTCCTACAAAGGTTTTGGACAGTGATTTTAACCCTCACGCCAAAAACCTTAAACCTTAACCTAGCCCCATAACCTAATACCCGGGTATTACCTTCAGGAAGCCCGAACACCCCAAATATATATTTTTTCTTTTTCTTTTTTTTTTTGGTCAAACTAGCTCCAAAAGGTCTGAAACATGTTCCTTAAAAAATATTGGACAGTGATTTTAACCCTCACGCCAAAAACCTTAAACCTAATCCTAGCCCCATAACCTAATACTTAAACCTGAAGGGTATTACCTTCAGGAAGCCCGAACACCCCAAATATATTTTTTTTCATTTTACATTTTTTTTGGTGTAACCAACTCCAAAAGGTCTGAATCTTGTTCCTTAAAAGGTTTTGGACAGTGATTTTAACCCTAACGCCAAAAACCTTAAACCTTTCCCTAGCCCCAAAACCTAATACCTTCAGGAAGCCCGAAAAGCCCAAATATTTTTTTTTCTTTTTTTTTTTTTTTTGGTCTAACTAACTCCAAAAGGTCTGAAACATGTTCCTTAAAAAATATTGGACAGTGATTTTAACCCTAACGCCAAAAACCTTAAACCTAATCCTAGCCCCAAAACCTAATACTTAAACCTGAAGGGTATTACCTTCAGGAAGCCCGAACACCCCAAATATATTTTTTTTCATTTTACATTTTTTTTGGTGTAACCAACTCCAAAAGGTCTGAATCTTGTTCCTTAAAAGGTTTTGGACAGTGATTTTAACCCTAACGCCAAAAACCTTAAACCTTTCCCTAGCCCCAAAACCTAATACCTTCAGGAAGCCCGAAAAGCCCAAATAATTTTTTTTCTTTTTTTTTTTTTTTTGGTCTAACTAACTCCAAAAGGTCTGAAACATGTTCCTTAAAAAATATTGGACAGTGATTTTAACCCTAACGCCAAAAACCTTAAACCTAATCCTAGCCCCAAAACCTAATACCGGGGTATTACCTTCAGGAAGCCCGAACACCCCAAATTTTTTTTTTTCATTTTTCATTTTTTTATTGGTCTAACTAACTCCAAAAGGTTGGAAAAGACTTCCTACAAAGGTTTTGGACAGTGATTTTAACCCTCACGCCAAAAACCTTAAACCTTTCCAAAGCCCCATAACCTAATACCCGGTTATTACCTTCAGGAAACCCGAACACCCCAAATATTTTTTTTTCTTTTTCTTTTTTTTTGTCTAACTAACTCCCAAAGGTCTGAAACATGTTCCTTAAAAAATTTTGGACAGTTATTTTAACCCTAACGCCAAAAACCTTAAACCTAACCCTAGCCCCAAAACCTAATACCCGGGTATTACCTTCAGGAAGCCCGAACACCCCAAATATATATATATTTTTTTTCTTTTTTTTTTGGTCTAACTTGCTCTCAAAGGTTGGAAAAGAGTTCCTACAAAGGTTTTGGACATTGATTTTAACCCTAACGCCAAAAACCCTAAACATTACCCTAGCCCAGAAACCGAGTATTACCTTCAGGAAGCCCGAACACCCCAAAAAATTTTTTTTTCATTTTAAATTTTTTTTGGTGTAACCAACTCCAAAAGGTCTGAAACATGTTCCTAAAAAGGTTTTGGACAGTGATTTTAACCCTTACGCCAAAAACCTTTAACCTTACCCTAGCCCCATAACCTAATACCCGGGTATTACCTTCAGGAAGCCCGAACACCCCAAATATTTTTTTTTTTCATTTTACATTTTTTTTTGGTGTAACCAACTCCAAAAGGTCTGAATCTTGTTCCTTAAAACGTTTTGGACAGTGATTTTAACCCTAACGCCAAAAACCTTAAACCTTTCCCTAGCCCCAAAACCTAATACCTTCAGGAAGCCCGAAAACCCAAAAAATTTTTTTTTCTTTTTTCTTTTTTTTTGGTCTAACTAACTCCAAAAGGTCTGAAACATGTTCCTTAAAAAATATTGGATAGTGATTTTAACCCTAACGCCAAAAACCTTAAACCTAATCCTAGCCCCAAAACCTAATACCCGGGTATTACCTTCAGGAAGCCCGAACACCCCAAATATTTTTTTTTCATTTTTCATTTTTTTATTGGTCTAACTAACTCCAAAAGGTTGGAAAAGAGTTCCTACAAAGGTTTTGGACAGTGATTTTAACCCTTACGCCAAAAACCTTAAACCTTACCCTAGCCCCATAACCTAATACCCGGGTATTACCTTCAGGAAGCCCTAACACCCCAAATATTTTTTTTTCATTTATCTTTTTTTTTTTGTCTAACTAACTCCAAAAGGTTGGAAAAGAGTTCCTACAAAGGTTTTGGACAGTGATTTTAACCCTATCGCCAAAAACCTTTAAAGTTACCCTAGCCCCAAAACCTAATACCCGGGTATTACCTTCAGGAAGCCCGAACACCCCAAATAATTTTTTTTTATTTTTCTTTTTTTCTATTACCTTCAGGAAGCCCTAACACCCCAAATATTTTTTTTTCATTTATCTTTTTTTTTTTGTCTAACTAACTCCAAAAGGTTGGAAAAGAGTTCCTACAAAGGTTTTGGACAGTGATTTTAACCCTATCGCCAAAAACCTTTAAAGTTACCCTAGCCCCAAAACCTAATACCGGGTATTACCTTCAGGAAGCCCGAAAACTATCACTCGAATCCCTGCATGAGCAGAATGGTGCCAGATGGACCACCTGCTCCCACCACAATCCTCTGTGACTTTTTGACTCTATCCACTTTTAGAACTTAAAATAGTAATCAATAATCAACTGACCAACTCAGCTCAAACCAAACCCAAAACTCTGCCTAGAGAACTCTCACTTCCACGTTTACATATCTCTTTGTATCTTGTGAGGACCGTGAGGAGAGCAGAGCCTAGACCTAGTCGGGTCAGGTGACTATGTCCCTTGCTCACTCTCCTCACATGGATGGTGAGAGCTGGGGAGCTATGGGATGTTTCATCCGCCACCAAATCCCCCTCACCAATCTTTATTTTCCACCATCTCCACCTCTCCCTTAAACCCCCCTCTCCCTCTTCCCTCTCTCTCTCTCTCTCTCTCTCTCTCTCTCTCCCCCCCCCCCCTCTCTCTCTCTCTCCCTCATCTCTCTCCCTCATCTCTCCCCCTCTCTCTAACACCCCCCCTCTTTCTTATTCCCTCCCCTGCCCCTTTATTTTCACCTTCACAGAGGACAAATAGGTGATCTTCAGCCTCGGCCTACCCCGGCCGGGGGGTAACCCCTGTTGGGTCACCTATATTGAGGATTAAGAGAGACCTGAAGGGGAACCGCCGTGCCACCTAAATCCTCCCCCTCTAACATCTTTTTTAACACTCTAAAATTAGCCAGCTAACCCCACTACAAACAACTTCATCAAAAATTTAAATAATAAATACTTATTGATAACTGACCATCAGTGACACCAGACTAAGCTAGTAAAAAAGGACACACATACATGTGCAGATTTTCCCTTAGGACATTGATCAAATTTACATTTCTGTCTGTCTTTTAGGGAACTGTTCTCTGTTTTTAAGCTCACTTCTGTTTTTTGCTATTTGCTCTTGACACTTCTTTTTTTCCTTTTTTATTCTCCTTTCCCTTTTGCAATCCACTTTTGTTCTTCTTTTATTTTTTATTTTTTCATTGTTTTATATTATTTTATTTTATTTTATTTTATTTCATTTTAGGGTTCCTGTGCTTTTGTTTGTCTTCCCCCCTCCCCTCTTTTTTCTTAGGAAGGACTGACTCCTGAGGTTCTCATGCCAGGAAAAATGTACCTCCCTCACTCACGGTTTTACCCACAATCCTTTGCTGCAACAGGGAGATTGATTCCCAAGGCTCTCATGGCAGAAAGGAAGTACCTCACTCACTCACGGTTTTACCCACAATCCTTTGCTGTAACAGGAAGATTGATTCCTTGGGCTCTCATCCCTCAGAACTAAAATACCCACAATCCCTTACGATTGCATACAAATTTAATGTAGCAAAACTAAATTTAAAACAAATAAACTACATTAAAATTAACTTAAAACAACTTGAAAGTTTAAAATACAACCAAGAGACATCCATTCTGGAATACAAACATCGAGAAGAGAACACAACCATGTCTGAGAGGAACAGCACAAACCATTAATCGAGCCCAACTCTGGGGATGTCTTCTCCTGTCAAAAGCACATTTAAGTGCTGTGCACTAAAGGGCAATTCCTGTTGCTGTAATTGAGACAAAGCACTGACCACCGCCTCGAGGAAGACGTTGCGCCGCCACCTGAAAGAAGACGCCGCACCTCCATCACTCCAAGCCGCCCACCACCGAGCTTCGACCCGCCGACGGCACCGAGTCCCAGCAAACCTTACCGCGGAGCGCCTATCTTCTTTCCCCCGCCGAGGACCCCGGACTTCAGACACACCGCTGCCGCCGCGGCTGGACAGCTGGAACCTTTTCCCCCCTCCAACAGATTTTAGACTACTGGAAAAGAAACGCCTCACATCAACAACAACATAGGACCACTAGGGTAAGTCTACAAAGAACCTCTCAAACACCTCAAAATTACTCTAAATAGTTAGTTTTGTTTTTGAACTTGAGTTTGTGTCGTGTTTGAAGTTTGTGACAACTTATGAACTTGAGTTTGTTTCGCTTGATTTTTTGGCAATTGTTGAACTTGAGTCTTTGGTTTTTAGTGAACTTTAGTTGGTGGCAATTGTTGAACTTGAGTTTGTGGCGTTTGTTGAACTTGAGTTTGTGTTGTTTTTTAACTTGAGGTTTTGGCAATTGTTAATCTTTAGATTTGGGTGTTGGTTGAACTTAAAACTTTGACATTTGTTGAACTTGACTTTGTGGTGTTCATTTAACTTGAGTTTGTGGTGTTTTTGAACTTGAATTTTTGTGTTTTTTTTAACTTGAGTTTGGGGTTTTTTTGAACTTAAATGTGTGTGTTTTTTGAACTTGAGGTTGTTGCAATTTTTGAACTTGAGTTTGAAGAACTTGAGTTTTTGGCAATTGTTAAATGTGAGTTTAGGTCATTTGTTGAATTTGAAATTTTGGCATTTTTTGAACTTAAGATTGTGGTGTTTGTTGAACTTGAGTTTGTGGCAATTGTTGAACTTGAGTCTGTATTTTTCCCTGAACTTTAGTTTGAATTTTTGTGTGTTTTTTGAATTTAAGTTTGTGGCAATTGTTAAACTTGAGATTTGGGTGTTTTTGAACTTGAGTTTGTGGTGTTTTTGAACTTGAGTTTGTGTGTTTGTTTAACTTGAGTTTGTGGCGTGTTTTGACTTGAGTTTCTGTTGTTTTTGAACTTGAGGTTGTGGCAATTGTCAAACTTGAGATTTGGGATTTGGTTGAACTTGAGTTTGTGTCATGTTTGAACTTTGGTTTGTGGTGCTTTTTAACTTGAGTTTGTGGCGGTGTTGAGCTTGAGTTTGTGGCGTGTTTTAACCTGAATTTTTGTTGTTTTTCTTACTTGAGGCTTCGGCAATTGTTAAACTTTAGATTTGGGTGTTGGTTGAACTTAAAACTTTGACATTTGTTGAACTTATGTATGTGGTGTTCATTGAACTTCAGTTTGTGTCTTGTTTGAACTTGACTTTGTGGTGTTTTTGAACTTGAGTTGGTGGAAATTGTTGAACTTGAGAATTGGGTGTTGGTTGAACTTGAGTTTCTGGTGTTTTTGAACTTGAGTTTGAGTTTGTTTGTTTGTTGAACTTGAGTTCGTGGCGCGTTTGAACTTGAGTTTGTGTTCTTTTTGAACTTGAGGTTGTGGAAATTGTTAAACTCGCCCTCCTCGAGCCATCATGAAGGCGGAGGTGGCGGGGGTAGAGCAGCAATGAACAAAACCCCCCTGGAACAGGAGCGCTTTAAGGACAGCGGAGCAATTAGCTGGCACGAGGGTGGAGCTGGTGTGGCAGTGTGTTGCTGGTTTGCTGTCAGAGCAGAGGAAGAGGCTGGGTTAGTGCAGTTTTAAATAAGGCACTCTATAGGCAAAGAACCAATAGGATCTAGGTGTGAATCAGCTGATTATCATCTGGTTGAGGTGGCTACTAGCCATTGGCTGTGGATCAGCGCTTGACGTTGTGTCCTGACAGAACTAACGCTATGCTTCATTTCAGTCAGGTACACTTTGTCCAAATTTTTAGCTTTATTGTGCAAGTTAGATTTGGCGGCATGATTCTGTTCCGGGTCCCTGCCCTTCCACGCGCTTGTGTGGAAGCCCAAGGCAGGAAGAGCCCCTTCCTGCCTTTCACGAGCCATCATGAAAGGCGATAGCAGGGAGCGCACGCGAGGTTCTGTTCAGGGCCCCCGTTCTCCACGTTGGCAGGGGTGAAAGGCCAGCGGCAGGAAGAGCACCTTCCCGCCCTCCACGTGCCATCATGAAGGCGGAGGAGGCAGGGGTAGAGCAGCAATGAACAGAACCCCCCCAAAACAACCATGCCGTGCAGTCTAGGAGCTAGCAGGGGAGGTGAGCGCTGCTGAAAGAAAGACGGGTTAGAGAGACCCGTTGCCCAAGCATGGATATTTATCTGCAGGTTGTTTATATATTTCATTTAATTAGCATCTATGTGCCAAAGTTATGGGTACTCATAGTTTTTGGGCTTCGAGAATGTCCCGAGCCTCGGGGCGCAGATAGCGTTTGTACGCAGCTGACGACTATTGGCCCATGGCTTTGAGGGTCGACACAGGAGCCGTCATAGCTCCGGTTGTAGCTACACCTATGTGAAAGGAATGAGCCGTGTAGCGATCTGAAGGATGTGTGGAGGGCGATCAGCTAAGCTGTCATCTGACTGAGGGCTAGCTTAAGATCAGCTGGCTTTAACCTTTAGCTTGACTGTACCTTGTGTCCTGCCTGAACTACAGCCATGCTTAATTTCAGTCAGGACTACTTTAGTTAGAATCAATTATTTATTACTAGCAAAAATTTTTTTAACATTGTCGGTATGGCTCTGTTCTGAGAGTTCCCTGCTCTCTCATGCGCTTGCATAGAATCCCAAGGCAATGAGAGGGAATGCCCTCCCCTCCCTTTCATGTGCATATATGAAAAGCCAAGGCAGAAAAAGCAGCAGCCATACTGGCAACCCTCCCCAGCTTTCATGAGCTACATGAAGGCACCTACAGGGGAGGGAGGGCAGCCAGCAGCGAGAAACTATGAAGCAACCTACCCACCTACAAAGCTTGCATAGTATTGGTTACCCTCACAACATGATCATGGATCAGGATTAATTTAATCCATACACAAATTTATAGTTGGGAATATGCGTAATGCAATAGATATGGGAAAGAATTAAGGAGCAGCAGCAATTTTTTTTTTGTAGCTAATCGAGCATAGGAATATTCTAATAATAATAATATATTAGCCTTGGGCCTGAGGTATCATTCAAAGGCTGATCGGGACCATTGACCCGTAGCCTTGAGCGTCGAGACGGGGACGATGGAAGATGCAGTTGTAGCTGTGCCTATGCGTGGTGAATGCGTAGAGTTGTACTCAGGTAGGAGCCAACAGGATTGGCAGAGCAGGCAGAGGTGAGCAGAAAGCTGCAATCTGGATATAGGTTTCCCTTCTTCAGTGGCAAAGAGAGACTCTTGCTGGCTGGCCAGTGGCCGGCCTCTCAGGCAGCGGGACATGGAGGATAAAGAACAAAGACAGAGTTAGTTTTGGAAATATTAGAAAAAAAAAGAAAAGTGCGAGATTCAAAACTGTGGACTATTAAAGCACATACAATGGATATATTTAGGGCGTTGGGGCTACAGAGAAGGTGGTACAAAAGAGGTAAAGTGAGACCATGCAGAATCGTATAAACTTTAATGCTGATTTTGCTTAACCAGCTCTCAAGTAGCTGTCAACAGAGAGCACTAAGGATTGCAAGGCTGCACTCAGACTAACACAGTCTGAATGAATGGCTTCACGAACAGCCGTTGGGATGCTTTGCCAGTGCCTTCCCCGGCTCAAGGACATTTGACAGAGTAGACAGCTTTGTTCTTTCCCGTTTTACCAGGTGGGTGCGTCATGGGCATGCTGATTTCAGATGCCCGTCCCTGGAGTAACTTGGCTTCTCCGAGTAGTAGGCTTAGAGAGGCTTGGGTGGTTGGCATGTAGCCACAGTTTTAGGGCACCGATTAGAGGTGTGGGCAGGGGTGGACAAGGTAGGATAAGGTTCCTCCAGGTACTGTACCCGTAGACTTTGTACAAGAGGAGCACACCCAAGTTAAGCGAGTTGCTGACTCCGATGCCACAGTATCATCATCTGCTGTATCTCTCTCTTAAACATAAAATTATTATTATTATTATTATTATTATTATTATTTTCCTCTGCATTTTGTCTTATTTCTGCATTAAGATTGAAGCAGCTGACTCTTTAAAAGTTCCCTCCTTCTGCAAAAGGCGGAAGGCGGGCCCCTGCACCTAGGCAACCAGCGTCCAATCAAAAGTGCGCACTGGTGCTCCCACTTGGAGTTTATTTGTAAGCAAATACCACTCACTCTCAAGCGGCATGGTCCTATTGGATTACTTCGGTTATAACGCAGAGTGCAGACTGATGTGCAGCAACAGACTAAGCCTAGATACATGACAGGGGTGAAAACTTTAAACAGCTGATTATGTCTTCCCGAAATGGCGTACTGCTGCGTAATGGCTTACTTTCACCTCCAGGTGAGAGAAAGACCCGCAGATTAAGCAGGAAAAAGCTTGATGCTCGGTGAATTGTTAACTGATTAGAGCCAGGTCGACTACGGACTGATCAAGTCTTTGGCTGAATCTTTGAATGTACTTAGCAGCTTTGCTGAAAATGATTTGTAATGTTCCTAGAATAATGATCCTCCCTATGTCATGGCTGAATCAGAAATAATGGCGAGATATGTGTCCAGTTCAGTTCTGCGTGCTGAAAACACTTTACATATGACATCTACAAATACGCTGAAAGCTATGAATTCAGCCAAGGTCGGAGATTTAAACAGCCGGGCATCACGATATTTAAGCATCACAGGCTCATCTCCGCAATCCACAATGCGTCTATCATTGTAGTCTGAGCACAGCAAGACTAATGTCAGTACCTGCAAGGATTTGGCTCCGCGGATTAGGTGTAATTGCAGCCGCGACCAGGTCGCGTCGCGTGGTGCTCTGGTGTGTTCACACCGGGTCCAAAGCTGCGGTCGCAGGACACGGCTGGTCGCTGCTGACCCGCTTCTCCTACCTTCCATCTCCCTCCTTTTCTCCCTCATATATACATCCCGCAGCCCAGTTCAAATATTTGAACTTTGGTAGCGACGAGACTTGGCGTCCTGCGAACGCGGAAACGCAACTTCGGCAACGCAACTTCGGCAACGCGACGCAGGTAGCCAGCGGTCGCCAAGTCGCGTCAGGTCGCGGCTGTCCATAGACTTTGCATTGGGAGCCATCGCCGACGTCACCGAAGTCGCGTTTGGTCTGAACACCCCTTAACGCTAAGCTTCATATTTGGGTATTGGTTGACTTGAGTTTCTGTGTTTGTTGAACTTGAGTTTGTGACATGTTTGAACTTGAATTTGTGGTGTTTTTGAACTTGAGTTTGTGTGTTTGTTGAACTTGAGTTTTAGGCGTGTTTGAACTTGAGTTTGTGTTGTTTTTGAACTTGAGGTTTTGGCAAATGTTAAACTTGAGATTTGGGTGTTGGTTGAACTTGAGTTTGTGTCGTAATTGAACTTGATTTTTTTGCAATTTTTGAACTTGAGTTTGTTGAACTTGAGGTTGTGGAAATTGTTAAACTTGAGAATTGGGTATTGATTGAACTTGAGTTTGTGTGTTTGTTGAACTTCAGTTTGTCTCGTGTTTGAACTTGAGTTTCTGTTGTTTTTGAACTTGAGGTTGTGGCAATTGTTAAACTTGAGATTTGGGTGTTGGTTGAACTTGAGTTTGTGTCATGTTTGAACTTGAGTTTGTGGTGTTTTTGAACTTGAGTATGTGTGGTTTTTTAACTTAGTTTTGTGGCAATTGTTAAACTTGAGATTTGGGTGTTGGTTGAACTTGGGTTTGTGGTGTTTTTGAACTTGAGTTTGTGTCTTTGTTGAACTTGAGTTTGTGGCGTGTTTTAACTTGAGTTTCTGTTGTTTTTGAACTTGAGGTTGTGGCAATTGTTGAACTTGAGATTTGGGTGTTGGTTGAACTTGAGTTTGTGTGGTTTTTTAACTTAGTTTTGTGGCAATTGTTAAACTTGAGATTTGGGTGTTGGTTGAACTTGGGTTTGTGGTGTTTTTGAACTTGAGGGTGTGGAATATGTTATATTGAGAAATTGGTATTGGTTGAACTTGAGTTTTTGGTGTTTTTGAACTTGAGTTTTTGGAAATTGTTAAACTTGAGAATCAGGTGTTTGATGAACTTGAGTTAGTGTTTGTTGAACTTGAGTTTGTGTCGTGTTGGAACTTTGTCTCGTGTTGTTTTTTGAATTGAGTTTGTGTGTTTTTTGAACTTGAGGTTGTGAAAATTTTTAAACTTGAGAATCAGGTAATGGTTGAACTTGAGTTTGTGGTTTTTGTTGAACATGAGTTTGTCTCGTTTTTGAACTTGATTTTTGGTGTTTTTGAACTTGAGCATGTGTTGTTTTTGAACTTGAGATTGTGGAAATTGTTAAACTTGAGAATTGGGTATTGGTTGAACTTGATTTTTTTGTGTTTTGAACTTGAGTTTGTGTCGTGTTTGAACTTGAGTTTGTAGCGTGTTTGACCATGAGTTTGTGTTGTTTTTGAACTTGAGTTTTTGTGTTCGTTGAACTTGAGTGTGTTTCATGTTTGAGCTTGAGATTGTGGTGTTTTTGAACTTGAGTTAGTGTGTTTGTTGAACTTGATTTTGTGTTGTGTTTGAACTTTAGTTTGTGGCGTTTTTTGAGCTTGATTTTGTGTCGTGTTTGAACTTGAGTTTGTTGGTTTTTTTGAACTTGAGTTTGTGTCGTGTTTGAACTTGAGATTGTGTGTGTTTTGAACTTGAGTTTGTGTGGTTTTTGAACTTGAGTTTGTTTCGTGTTTGAACTTGAGTTTGTGGCGTTTGTTGAATTTGAGTTTGTGTCATGTTTGAACTTGAGTTTGTGGTGTTTTTGAACTTGAATTTGCCTGTTTGGTTAACTTGAGTTTCTGTTGTTTTTGAACTTGAGGTTGTGGAAATTGTTAAACTTGAGAATCAGGTGTTGGTTGAACTTGAGTTTGTGTGTTTGTTGAACTTGAGTTTTTGGTGTTTTTGAACTTGAGGTTGTTGAAATTGTTAAACTTGAGAATTGGGTATTGGTTGAACTTGAGTTTGTGATTTTGTTGAACTTGAGTTTGGTTCGTGTTTTAACTTGAGTTTGTGATGTTTTTGAATTTGAGTTTGTGGTGTTTTTGAACTTGAGTTTGTGTTGTGTTTGAACTTGAGTTTGTGGTGTTTTTGAACTTGAGTTTGTGTGTTGGTTGAACTTGAGTTGCGTGTTTGGTGAACTTGAGTTTTTGTGTTTTTTGAACTTGAATTTCTGTTGTTTTTGTACTTGAGGTTCTGGAAAAAATTTAAACTTGAGAATCAGGTGTTGGTTGAACTTGAGTTAGTGTGTTTGTAGAACTTGAGTTTTTTGTCGTGTTTGAACTTGAGTTTGTGGTGTTTTTGAACTTGAGGTTTTGTGTTTGTTGAACTTGAGTTTGTTTTGTGTTTGAACTTGAGATTGTGGTGTTTTTGAACTTGAGTTAGTGTGTTTGTTGAACTTGAGTTTGTTTTTTGTTTGATCTTTCGTTTGTGGCGTTTGTTGAGCTTTATTTTGTGTCGTGTTGGAACTAGAGTTTGTGGTTTTTGTTGAACTTGAGTTTGTGTCGTGTTTGAACTTGAGTTTGTTTCGTGTTTGAACTTGAGTTTGTGGCGTTTGTTGAATTTGAGTTTTTGTCATGTTTGAACTTGAGTTTGTGGTGTTTTTGAACTTGAATTTGGGTGTTTGGTTAACTTGGGTTTTTGTGTTTTTTGAACTTAGGTTTCTGTTGTTTTTGAACTTGAGGTTGTGGAAATTGTTAAACTTGAGATCAGGTGTTGGTTGAACTTGAGATTTGTGTTTTTTTGAACTTGAGTTTGTGGTTTGTTAAACTTGAGATTGGTGTTGGTTGAACTTGAGATTGTGCGTTTTTTGAACTTCAGTTTGTATCGTGTTTTAACTTGAGTTTGTGTGTTTGTTGAACTTGAGAATTGGGTATTGGTTGAACTTTAGTTTTTGATTTTTTTGAACTTCAGTTTGTATCGTGTTTTAACTTGAGTTTGTGTGTTTGTTGAACTTGAGTTTGTGTGTTTATTGAACTTGAGTTTGTGTTGTGTTTGAACTTGAGTTTGTGGTGTTTTTGAATTTAACGTTGTGGCAATTTTTAAACTTCAGATTTGGGAATTGGTTGAACTTGAGTTATGTGTTTGTTGAACTTGAGTTTGTGTCGTGTTTGAACGTGAGTTTGTTGTGTTTTTTAACTTGAGGTGGTTTCATGTTTGAACTTGAGTTTGTTGCGTTTGTTGAACTTGAGTTTGTGGTGTTTGTTGAACTTGAGTTTGTGGTTTTTGTTGAACTTGAGTTTGTGTCGTGTTTGAACTTGAGTTTGTGTGTTTTTTAACTTGAGTTGTTTGTTTCGTGTTTGAACTTGAGTTTGTGGTGTTTGTTGAACTTGAGTTTGTGTGGTGTTTGAACTTGAGTTTGTGGTGTTTTACCACTTGAGTTTGTGGTGTTTTTGAACTTGAGTTTTTGTGTTTTGAACTTGAGTTTGTTTTGTGTTTGAACTTGAGATTGTGGTGTTTTTGAACTTGAGTTAGTGTGTTTGTTGAACTTGAGTTTGTGTTGTTTGAACTTTAGTTTGTGGCATTTGTTGAGCTTGATTTTGTGTCGTGTTTGAACTTGAGTTTGTGGTTTTTGTTGAACTTGAGTTTGTGTCGGTTTGAACTAGAGTTTGTGTGTTTTTTGAACTTGAGTTTGTGTGGTTTTTGAACTTGAGTTTGTTTCGTGTTTGAACTTGAGTTTGTGGTGTTTTTGAACTTGAATTTGCTTGTTTGGTTAACTTGAGTTTGTGTTTTTTGAACTTAGGTTTCTGTTGTTTTTGAACTTGAGGTTGTGGAAATTGTTAAATTTGAGAATCAGGTGTTGGTTGAACTTGAGTTTGTGTCGTGTTTTTGAACTTGAGTTTTTGTCGTGTTTTTGAACTTGAGGGTGTGGAATTTGTTAAACTTGAGAATTGGGTATTGGTTGAACTTAAGTTTGTGTGTTTGTTGAACTTGAGTTTGTGTCATGTTTGAACTTGAGTTTGTGGTCTTTTTGAACTTGAGTTTGTGTGTTTGTTGAACTTGAGTTGTGGCGTTTGTTGAACTTAGGTTGTGGCAATTGTTAAACTTAAGATTTGGTTGTTGGTTGAACTTGAGTTTGTGTCGTGTTTGAACTTGAGTTCGTGTTGTTTGTTGAACTTGAATTTGTGTGTTTTTTGAACTTAATTTTTTTGAACTTGAGTTTGTGGCAATTGTTGAACTTGAGTCTGTGGTTTTTGGTGAACTTTAATTGGTGGCAATTGTTGAACTTGAGTTTGTGGTGTATTTGAACTTGAGTTTGTTTCGTGTTTGAACTTTGTTTGTGGTGTTTTTGAACTTGAGTTTTTGGTGTTTTTGAACTTGAGGGTGTGTTGTGTTTTTGAACTTGAGTTTGTGGTGTTTTTGAACTTGAGGTTGTTTCGTGTTTGAACTTGAGTTTGTGGCGTTTGTTGAACTCTAGGTTGTGGCAATTGTTGAACTTGAGATTTGGGTGTTGGTTCAACTTAAAAGTTTGGCATTTGTTGAACTTGAGTTTGTGTGTTTGTTGAACTTAAGTTTGTGTCTTGTTTGAACTTGAGTTTGTGGTGTTTTCAAACTTGAGTTTGTGTGTTTTTTGAACTTTAGTTTTTGGTGTCTTTGAACTTGAGTTTGTGGTGTTTTTGAACTTGAGTTTGAATCGTGGTTGAACTTGAGTTTGTGGTGTTTTTGAACTTAAGTTTGTGGTTTTTTTGAACTTGAGGTGTTGGAAATTGTGAAACTTGAGAATTGGGTATTGGTTGAACTTGAGTTTGTGTGTTTGTTGAACAAGAGATTGTGTTGTGTTTTAACTTCAGTTTGTGGAGTTTTTAAGCTTGAGGTTGTGCTGTTTTTGAACTTGATTTTGTTGTGTTTTGTACTTGAGTTTGTGTTATTTTTCAACTTGAGGTTGTGGAACTTGTTAAACTTGAGAATCAGGTGTTGATTGAACTTGAGTATTTTTTTTTTAACTTGAGTTTGTGTCGTGTTTGAGCTCGAGTTTGTGGTGTTTTTGAATTTGAGTTTGCGTGTTTGTTAAACTTGAGTTTGTGTTTTTTTTTAACTTGAGTTTGTTGTTTCTGAACTTGAGTTTGTGGCAATTGTTGAACTTGAGTTTGACATTTGTTGAACTTGGGTTTGTGGTTTTTGTTGAACTTGAGTTTGTGGTGTTTTTGAACTTGAGGTTGTGGAATTTGTTAAACTTGAGAATTTGGTATTGGTTGAACTTGAGTTTGTGTGTTTGTTGAACTTGAGTTTGTGTCGTGTTTGAACTTTGGTTTGTGGTGTTTTTTTGAGCCTGAGGTTGTGGTGTTTTTGAACTTGAGTTTGTGTTGCTTTTGAACTTTAGGTTGTGGCAATTTCTAAAATTGAGATTTGGGTGTTGGTTGAACTTAAAAGTTTTTCATTTGTTGAACTTGAGTTTGTGGTTTTTGTTGAACTTGAGTTTGTTTCGTGTTTGAACTTGAGGTTGTGGTGTTTTTGAACTTGAGGTTTCTTGTTTGTTTAACTTGAGTTTGTGTGTTTTTTGAACTTGAGTTTGTTGTTTCTGAACTTGAGGTTTTGGCAATTGTTGAACTTGAGTCTGTGGTTTTTAGTGAACTTTAGTTGGTTGCAATTGTTGAACATGAGTTTATGGCGTTTGTTGAACTTGAGTTTGTGACGTGTTTGAACTTGAGGTTGTGGTGTTTTTGAACTCGAGTTTTTGTGTTTGTTGAACTTCAGTTTTTGGCGTGTTTGAACTTGAGTTTGTGGTTTTTTTAACTTGAGGTTGTGGTTTTTTGAACTTAAGTTTGTGGAAATTTTTAAACTTGAGGATTGGGTGGTGGTTGAACTTGAGTTTGTGGTGTTTTTTGAACTTGAGGTTGTGGTGTTTTTGACTTGAGTTCGTAGCGTGTTTGAACTTGAGGTTGTTGCAATTGTTAAACTTGAGATTTGGGTGTTGGTTGAACTTAAAACTTTGCCATTTGTTGAACTTGAGTTTGTGGTGTATGTTGAACTCCAGCTTGTGTTGTGTTTGAACTTGAGGTTGTGGTATTTTTTAATTGAGTTTGTGGCAGTTTTTGAACTTGAGGTTGTGAAAATTGTTAAAACTTGAGAATCAGGTGTTGGTTGAACTTGAGTTTGTGGTTTTTTTGAACTTGAGTTTGTGGTTTTTGTTGAACTTGAGTTTATGTCGTTTTTGAGCTTGAGGTTGTGGTGTTTTTAAACTTGAGTTTGCGTGTTTGTTGATCTTGAGTTTGTGTGTTTTTTGAACTTGAGTTTCTTGTTTCTGAACTTGAGGTTTTGGCAATTATTGAACTTGAGTCTGTTGTTTTTAGTGAACTTTAGTTGGTGGCAATTGTTGAACTTGAGTTTGTGGCATTTGTTAAACTTGAGTTTGTGACGTGTTTAAACATGATTTTGTGGTGTTTTTGAACTCGAGTTGTTGGTGTTTTTGAACTTGAGGTTGTGGAAATTGTTAAACTTGAGAATTGGGTATTGGTTGAACTTGAGTTTGTGTGTTTGTTGAACTTGAGTTTTTGTCGTGTTTGAACTTGAGTTTGTGGTGTTTTTGAACTTGAGTTTGGTGTTTTTGAACTTGAGTTTGTGGCGGTTTTTGAACTTGAGGTTGTGGCAATTGTTGAACTTGAGTTTGTGACGTGTTTGAACTTGATTTTGTGGTGTTTTTGAACTTGAGTTCGTGGTGTTTGTGGAATTTGAGTTTGTGTCGTGTTTGAACTTGAGGTTGTGGTGTTTTTGAACTCGAGTTTTTGTGTTTGTTGAACTTCAGTTTGTGTCCAGTTTTAACTTGAGTTTGTGGCATTTGTTAAACTTGAGTTTGTGACGTGTTTAAACATGATTTTGTGGTGTTTTTGAACTCGAGTTTGTGGTGTTTTTGAACTTGAGGTTGTGGAAAAACGTAAACTTGAGATTTGGGTGTTGATTGAACTTGAGTTTGTTTCGTGTTTGATCTTGAGGTTGTGGTGTTTTTGAACTTGAGGTTTCTTGTTTGTTTAACTTGAGTTTGTGTGTTTTTTGAACTTGAGTTTGTTGTTTCTGAACTTGAGGTTTTGGCAATTGTTGAACTTGATAATTGGGTATTGGTTGAACTTGAGTTTGTGTGTTTGTTGAACTTGAGTTTGTGTCGTGTTTGAACTTCAGTTTGTGGTGTTTTTTGAACTTGAGGTTGTGGTGTTTTTGAACTTGAGTTTTTGGTGTTTTTGAACTTGAGGTTGTGGCAATTGTTGAACTTGAGTGTGTGACGTGTTTGAACTTGATTTTGTGGTGTTTTTGAACTCGAGTTTGTGTTGTTTTTGAACTTGAGTTTGTGGTGTTTGTTGAACTTGAGTTTGTGGTGTTTTTGAACTCGAGTTTTTGTGTTTGTTGAACTTCAGTTTGTGTCGTGTTTGAACTTGAGTTTGTGGTGTTTTTTGAACTTGAGGTTGTGGTGTTTTTGAACTTGAGTTTGTGGCGGTTTTTGAACTTGAGGTTGTTGCAATTGTTGAACTTGAAATAAAAACCCAAATATGAACCCAAATATATATTTTTTCTTTTTACATTTTTTTTGGTGTAACCAACTCCAAAAGGTCTTAAACATGTTCCTAAAAATGTTTTGGACAGTGATATTAAACCTAACGCCAAAAACCTTAAACCTTACCCTAGCCCCATAACCTAATACACGGGTATTACCTTCAGGAAGCCCAAAAACCCCAAATATTTTTTTTTCATTTTTCATTTTTTTTTGGTCTAACTAACTCCAAAAGGTTGGAAAAGAGGTCCTACAAAGGTTTTGGACAGTGATTTTAACCCTCACGCCAAAAACCTTAAACCTTACTATAGCCCCATAAACTAATACCCGGGTATTACCTTCAGAAGCCCAAAAACCCCAAATATTTTTTTTTTATTTTTCGTTAGTTTTTGCTCTAACTAACTCCAAAAGGTTGGAAAAGAGTTCCTACAAAGGTCTTGGACAGTGATTTTAACCCTAACGCCAAAAACCTTAAACCTTACCCTAGCCCCAAAACCTAATACCCGGGTATTACCTTCAGAAGCCCAAAAACCCCAAATATTTTTTTTTTATTTTTCGTTAGTTTTTGCTCTAACTAACTCCAAAAGGTTGGAAAAGAGTTCCTACAAAGGTTTTGGACAGTGATTTTAACCCTAACACCAAAAACCTTAAACCTTACCCTAGCCCCATAACCTTCAGGAAGCCCGAACACCCCAAATATTTTTTTTTTCATTTTACATTTTTTTTTGGTGTAACCAACTCCAAAAGGTCTTAAACATGTTCCTAAAAAGGTTTTGGACACTGATTTTAACTCTAACGCCAAAAACCTTAAACCTTACCCTAGCCCCATAACCTAATACCCAGGTATTACCTTCAGGAAACCCGAACACCCCAAATATATTTTTTTTCTTTTTCTTTTTTTTTTTGTCTTACTAACTCCCAAAGGTCTGAAACATGTTCCTTAAAAAATATTGGACAGTTATTTTAACCCTAACGCCAAAAACCTTAAACCTTACCCCCAGCCCCATAACCTAATACCCGGGTATTACCTTCAGGAAGCCCGAACACCCCAAATATATATTTTTTATTTTTCTTTTTGTTTTGGTTTAACTTGCTCTCAAAGGTTGGAAAAGAGTTCCTACAAAGGTTTGGGACATTGATTTTAACCCTAACGCCAAAAACCTTAAACCTTACCTTAGCCCCATAACCTAATACCCAGGTATTACCTTCAGGAAACCCGAACACCCCAAATATATTTTTTTTCTTTTTCTTTTTTTTTTGTCTTACTAACTCCCAAAGGTCTGAAACATGTTCCTTAAAAAATATTGGACAGTTATTTTAACCCTAACGCCAAAAACCTTAAACCTAACCCTAGCCCCTTAACCTCATACCCGGGTATTACCTTCAGGAAGCCCGAACACCCCAAATATTTTTTTTTCATTTATCTAATTTTTTTTGTCTAACTTATTCCCAAAGGTTGGAAAAGAGTTCCTACAAAGGTTTTGGACAGTGATTTTTACCCTCACGCCGAAAAACCTTAAACCTTTCCCTAGCCCCATAACCTAATACCCGGGTATTACCTTCAGGAAGCCCGAACAACCCAAATATATATTTTTTACTTTTCTTTTTGTTTTGGTCTAACTTGCTCTCAAAGGTTGGAAAAGAGTTCCTACAAAGGTTTTGGACATTGATTGTAACCCTAACGCCAAAAACCTTAAACATTACCCTAGCCCAGAAACCTAGTATTACCTTCAGGAAGCCCGAAGACCCCAAATATATTTTTTTCTTTTTTCTTTTTTTTTGGTCTAACTAACTCCAAAAGGTTGGAAAAGAGTTCCTACAAGGGTTTTGGACGGTGATTTTAACCCTAACACCAAAAACCTTAAACCTTACCCTAGCCCCAAAACCTAATACCCGGGTATTACCTTCAGGAAGCCCGAACACCCCAAATATTTTTTTTTTCATTTTACATTTTTTTTGGTGTAACCAACTCCAAAAGGTCTTAAACATGTTCCTAAAAAGGTTTTGGACACTGATTTTAACTCTAACGCCAAAAACCTTAAACCTTACCCTAGCCCCATAACCTAATACCCGGGTATTACCTTCAGGAAGCCCGAACACCCCAAATTTTTTTTTCTTTTTTTTTTTTTTTTTGTCTAACTAACTCCCAAAGGTCTGAAACATGTTCCTTAAAAAATATTGGACAGTGATTTTAACCCTAACACCAAAAACCTTAAACCTAACCCTAGCCCCAAAACCTAATACCCGGGTATTACCTTCAGGAAGCCCGAAAACCCCAAATATTTTTTTTCATTTTTCGTTTTTTTTTTGGTCTAACTAACTCCAAAAGGTTGGAAAATAGTTCCTACAAAGGTTTTGGACAGTGATTTTAACCCTAACGCCAAAAACCTTAAACCTTACCCTAGCCCCAAAACCTAATACCCGGGTATTACCTTCAGGAAGCCCGAAGACCCCAAATATATTTTTTTCTTTTTTCTTTTTTTTTAGTCTAACTAACTCCAAAAGGTCGGAAAAGAGTTCCTACAAAGGTTTTGGACAGTGATTCTAACCCTAACACCAAAAACCTTAAACCTTACCCTAGCCCCATAACCTAATACCCGGGTATTACCTTCAGGAAACCCGAACACCCCAAATATATTTTTTTTCTTTTTCTTTTTTTTTTGTCTAACTAACTCCCAAAGGTCTGAAACATGTTCCTTAAAAAATATTGTACAGTTATTTTAACCCTAACGCCAAAAACCTTAAACCTAACCCTAGCCCCATAACCTCATACCCGGGTATTACCTTCAGGAAGCCCGAACACCCCAAATATCTTTTTTTCATTTATCTTTTTTTTTTGTCTAACTAATTCCCAAAGGTTGGAAAAGAGTTCCTACAAAGGTTTTGGACAGTGATTTTTACCCTCACGCCGAAAAACCTTAAACCTTACCCTAGCCCCATAACCTAATACTAGTGATGCACGATATGAAAAATTTCAACCGATACCGATAACCGATAATTTTCTTCTTCTCATGGCCGATACCGATACCGATACCGATACCGATAACCGATAAATTCATATTTTTACATTTATTATAATCTTCATATAATCTGCAGTTTGTGCAGGATGCAGCGATTGAAAACTGATCTTTTTGTTGCTCTGGCCTATCTAGAACAACAAACAAAAGTTTTTGGCTCTTCAAATGTGGTCATTTGCTATAAATAACAATAACAGAGCAAAAAGCAGAACTTCATTTGATCCCCTGAACGGTTCAACAGAACTGTAAACTGTAAAGGAGCTATTATGAGACGTTAGGCTTAGCATGCTGACCTGACTAACATCTGACGTCCATATGTCTGTGGTAAAACTCACGTGTAGTCCATTCTTGTCGATCAGGTTGTGAATGTATGTGGCGACAATATCATAGAGTGCAGGAAGAGACACATCCGAGAAGAAGCGGCGGCTTGGGAGAGTGTAACGTGGCTCCAAGTGTGCTATGAACTTACGAAAACCCGGGTTCTCAACGACGGAAAAAGGCTGGTCGTCGACCGCTATGAACTCCATCACTTTGTCATTAATGGCTTTAGCCTTTTCGCTGTCTCTTGAGAAGCTTTTGCAGTTTTTAAACGCCCGCTGAATGGGGACATCGATCCTCCGTAGTGTTGTTGTCTTAGCTTTAGTACCGCTAGCAGCTTCGGCGGCTGTCTCATATTCTTTTATTACCGCTTCGCCGCGATGGCGACTTTTCAGATGAGCTATCAGATTCGCTGTGTTAATACTTGACGTCTTCTTTCCTCCTCTCGGAATCCTCGCTGAACAGGTTTTGCATATAGCAATGCTGTTGTCATCTTCTGCCACTGAGAGAAACGACCATGCTGGTGAAGACATTTTATTATCTGTCAGGTAGTGACGGGGTCAGGCTTGGGACCTGCGAGTAAGGCGCGATAGATGACGTAACCAGCGCGTCTCGGACGGGCGGCTACTCCGCCTGCAAATGTTACTCGTAATTTCATTAATATATCGGATCTTTCTATCGGAAAAATGCACCTATCGGACCGATAAAAAATGACGTAATTTCCCCCCAAATCGGCCGATATTTTATCGGTCCGATAAATATCGTGCATCCCTACCTAATACCCGGGTATTACCTTCAGGAAGCCCGAACACCCCAAATATATATTTTTTCATTTTACATTTTTTTTGGTGTAACCAACTCCAAAAGGTTGGAAAAGAGTTCCTACAAAGGTTTTGGACAGTGATTTTAACCCTAACGCCAAAAACCTTAAACCTTACCCTAGCCCCAAAACCTAGTATTACCTTCAGGAAGCCCGAAACCCCAAATATTTTTTTTTTCATTTTTCATTTTTTTTTGGTCTAACTAACTCCAAAAGGTCTGAAACATGTTCCTAAAAAGGTTTTGGACAGTGATTTTAACCCTAACGCCAAAAACCTTAAACCTTACCCTAGCCCCATAACCTAATACCCGGGTATTACCTTCAGGAAGCCCGAACACCCCAAATATTTTTTTTTTATTTTTTTTTTTTTTGTCTAACTAACTCCAAAAGGTTGGAAAAGACTTCCTACAAAGGTTTTGGACAGTGATTTTAACCCTCACGCCAAAAACCTTAAACCTTACCCTAGCCCCATAACCTAATACCCGGGTATTACCTTCAGGAAGCCCGAACACCCCAAATATATATTTTTTCTTTTTACATTTTTTTTGGTGTAACCAACTCCAAAAGGTCTTAAACATGTTCCTAAAAAGGTTTTGGACAGTGATTTTAACCCTAACGCCAAAAACCTTAAACCTTACCCTAGCCCCATAACCTAATACCCGGGTATTACCTTCAGGAAGCCCAAAAACCCCAAATATTTTTTTTTCATTTTTCGTTTTTTTTTGGTCTAACTAACTCCAAAAGGTTGGAAAAGAGTTCCTACAAAGGTTTTGGACAGTGATTTTAACCCTAACGCCAAAAACCTTAAACCTTACCCTAGCCCCATAACCTAATACCCGGGTATTACCTTCAGGAAGCCCGAAGACCCCAAATATATTTTTTTCATTTTTCTTTTTTTTGTGGTCTAACTAACTCCAAAAGGTTGGAAAAGAGTTCCTACAAAGGTTTTGGACAGTGATTTTAACCCTAACGCCAAAAACCTTAAACCTTACCCTAGCCCCATAACCTCATACCCGGGTATTTCCTTCAGGAAGCCCGAAGACCCCAAATATATTTTTTTCTTTTTTCTTTTTTTTTGGTCTAACTAACTCCAAAAGGTCGGAAAAGAGTTCCTACAAAGGTTTTGGACGGTGATTTTAACCCTAACGCCAAAAACCTTAAACCTTACCCTAGCCCCAAAACCTAATACCCGGGTATTACCTTCAGGAAGCCCGAACACCCCAAATATTTTTTTTTTCATTTTACATTTTTTTTGGTGTAACCAACTCCAAAAGGTCTTAAACATGTTCCTAAAAAGGTTTTGGACACTGATTTTAACTCTAACGCCAAAAACCTTAAACCTTACCCTAGCCCCATAACCTAATACCCGGGTATTACCTTCAGGAAGCCCGAACACCCCAAATATTTTTTTTTCTTTTTTTTTTTTTTTTTTTGTCTAACTAACTCCCAAAGGTCTGAAACATGTTCCTTAAAAAATATTGGACAGTGATTTTAACCCTAACGCCAAAAACCTTAAACCTAACCCTAGCCCCAAAACCTAATACCCGGGTATTACCTTCAGGAAGCCCGAACACCCCAAATATTTTTTTCATTTTTTCATTTTTTTTTTGGTCTAACTAACTCCAAAAGGTTGGAAAATAGTTCCTACAAAGGTTTTGGACAGTGATTTTAACCCTAACGCCAAAAACCTTAAACCTTACCCTAGCCCCATAACCTAATACCCGGGTATTACCTTCAGGAAGCCCGAACACCCCAAATATTTTTTTTTCTTTTTCTTTTTTTTTGTCTAACTAACTCCCAAAGGTCTGAAACATGTTCCTTAAAAAATATTGGACAGTTATTTTAACCCTAACGCCAAAAACCTTAAACCTAACCCTAGCCCCTTAACCTCATACCCGGGTATTACCTTCAGGAAGCCCGAACACCCCAAATATTTTTTTTTCATTTATCTTTTTTTTTTGTCTAACTAATTCCCAAAGGTTGGAAAAGAGTTCCTACAAAGGTTTTGGACAGTGATTTTTACCCTCACGCCGAAAAACCTTAAACCTTACCCTAGCCCCATAACCTAATACTAGTGATGCACGATATGAAAAATTTCAACCGATACCGATAACCGATAATTTTCTTCTTCTCATGGCCGATACCGATACCGATACCGATAACCGATAAATTCATATTTTTACATTTATTATAATCTTCATATAATCTGCAGTTTGTGCAGGATGCAGCGATTGAAAACTGATCTTTTTGTTGCTCTGGCCTATCTAGAACAACAAACAAAAGTTTTTGGCTCTTCAAATGTGGTCATTTGCTATAAATAACAATAACAGAGCAAAAAGCAGAACTTCATTTGATCCCCTGAACGGTTCAACAGAACTGTAAACTGTAAAGGAGCTATTATGAGACGTTAGGCTTAGCATGCTGACCTGACTAACATCTGACGTCCATATGTCTGTGGTAAAACTCACGTGTAGTCCATTCTTGTCGATCAGGTTGTGAATGTATGTGGCGACAATATCATAGAGTGCAGGAAGAGACACATCCGAGAAGAAGCGGCGGCTTGGGAGAGTGTAACGTGGCTCCAAGTGTGCTATGAACTTACGAAAACCCGGGTTCTCAACGACGGAAAAAGGCTGGTCGTCGACCGCTATGAACTCCATCACTTTGTCATTAATGGCTTTAGCCTTTTCGCTGTCTCTTGAGAAGCTTTTGCAGTTTTTAAACGCCCGCTGAATGGGGACATCGATCCTCCGTAGTGTTGTTGTCTTAGCTTTAGTACCGCTAGCAGCTTCGGCGGCTGTCTCATATTCTTTTATTACCGCTTCGCCGCGATGGCGACTTTTCAGATGAGCTATCAGATTCGCTGTGTTAATACTTGACGTCTTCTTTCCTCCTCTCGGAATCCTCGCTGAACAGGTTTTGCATATAGCAATGCTGTTGTCATCTTCTGCCACTGAGAGAAACGACCATGCTGGTGAAGACATTTTATTATCTGTCAGGTAGTGACGGGGTCAGGCTTGGGACCTGCGAGTAAGGCGCGATAGATGACGTAACCAGCGCGTCTCGGACGGGCGGCTACTCCGCCTGCAAATGTTACTCGTAATTTCATTAATATATCGGATCTTTCTATCGGAAAAATGCACCTATCGGACCGATAAAAAATGACGTAATTTCCCCCCAAATCGGCCGATATTTTATCGGTCCGATAAATATCGTGCATCCCTACCTAATACCCGGGTATTACCTTCAGGAAGCCCGAACACCCCAAATATATATTTTTTATTTTTCTTTTTGTTTTGGTCTAACTTGCTCTCAAAGGTTGGAAAAGAGTTCCTACAAAGGTTTTGGACATTGATTTTAACCCTAACGCCAAAAACCTTAAACCTTACCCTAGCCCAGAAACCTAGTATTACCTTCAGGAAGCCCGAACACCCCAAAAAAATTTTTTTTCATTTTACATTTTTTTTGGTGTAACCAACTCCAAAAGGTCTGAAACATGTTCCTAAAAAGGTTTTGGACAGTGATTTTAACCCTTACGCCAAAAACCTTAAACCTTACCCTAGCCCCATAACCTAATACCCGGGTATTACCTTCAGGAAGCCCGAACACCCCAAATATTTTTTTTTCATTTTTCTTTTTTTTTTTGTCTAACTAACTCCAAAAGGTTGGAAAAGACTTCCTACAAAGGTTTTGGACAGTGATTTTAACCCTCACGCCAAAAACCTTAAACCTTAACCTAGCCCCATAACCTAATACCCGGGTATTACCTTCAGGAAGCCCGAACACCCCAAATATATATTTTTTCTTTTTACATTTTTTTTGGTGTAACCAACTCCAAAAGGTCTTAAACATGTTCCTAAAAAGGTTTTGGACAGTGATTTTAAACCTAACGCCAAAAACCTTAAACCTTACCCTAGCCCCATAACCTAATACCCGGGTATTACCTTCAGGAAGCCCAAAAACCCCAAATATTTTTTTTTCATTTTTCGTTTTTTTTTGGTCTAACTAACTCCAAAAGGTTGGAAAAGAGTTCCTACAAAGGTTTTGGACAGTGATTTTAACCCTAACGCCAAAAACCTTAAACCTTACCCTAGCCCCATAACCTAATACCCGGGTATTACCTTCAGGAAGCCCGAAGACCCCAAATATATTTTTTTCTTTTTTCTTTTTTTTTGGTCTAACTAACTCCAAAAGGTTGGAAAAGAGTTCCTACAAAGGTTTTGGACAGTGATTTTAACCCTAACGCCAAAAACCTTAAACCTTACCCTAGCCCCATAACCTCATACCCGGGTATTTCCTTCAGGAAGCCCGAAGACCCCAAATATATTTTTTTCTTTTTTCTTTTTTTTTGGTCTAACTAACTCCAAAAGGTCGGAAAAGAGTTCCTACAAAGGTTTTGGACAGTGATTTTAACCCTAACTCCAAAAACCTTAAACCTTACCCTAGCCCCAAAACCTAATACCCGGGTATTACCTTCAGGAAGCCCGAAGACCCCAAATATATTTTTTTTTCATTTTACTCTAACGCCAAAAACCTTAAACCTTACCCTAGCCCCATAACCTAATACCCGGGTATTACCTTCAGGAAACCCGAACACCCCAAATATATTTTTTTTCTTTTTCTTTTTTTTGTCTAACTAACTCCCAAAGGTCTGAAACATGTTCCTTAAAAAAATATTGGACAGTTATTTTAACCCTAACGCCAAAAACCTTAAACCTAACCCTTGCCCCGAAACCTAATACCCGGGTATTACCTTCAGGAAGCCCGAACACCCCAAATATATATTTTTTCTTTTTACATTTTTTTTGCTGTAACCAACTCCAAAAGGTCTTAAACATGTTCCTAAAAAGGTTTTGGACAGTGATTTTAAACCTAACGCCAAAAACCTTAAACCTTACCCTAGCCCCATAACCTAATACCCGGGTATTACCTTCAGGAAGCCCAAAAACCCCAAATATTTTTTTTTCATTTTTCTTTTTTTTGTGGTCTAACTAACTCCAAAAGGTTGGAAAAGAGTTCCTACAAAGGTTTTGGACAGTGATTTTAACCCTTACGCCAAAAACCTTTAACCTTACTATAGCCCCATAACCTATACCTGGGTATTTCCTTCAGGAAGCCCTAAGACCCCAAATATATATATATATATATTTTGTTTTTTTTGGTCTAACTAACTCCCAAAGGTCTGAAACATGTTCCTGAAAAAATATTGGACAGTGATTTTAACCCTTATGCCAAAAACCTTAAACCTAATCCTAGCCCCATAACCTAATACTGAAACCTGAAGGGTATTACCTTCAGGAAGCCTGAACACCCCAAATATTTTTTTTGTCATTTTACATTTTTTTTGGTGTAACCAACTCCAAAAGGTCTGAATCTTGTTCCTTAAAAGGTTTTGGACAGTGATTTTAACCCTAACGCCAAAAACCTTAAACCTTACCCTAGCCCCAAAACCTAATTCCTTCAGGAAACCCGAAGACCCCAAATATTTTTTTTTTCATTTATCTTTTTTTTTTGGTCTAACTAACTCCAAAAGGTTGGAAAAGAGTTCCTACAAAGGTTTTGGACAGTGATTTTAACCCTACCGCCAAAAACCTTAAACCTTACCCTAGCCCCAAAACCTAATACCCGGGTATTACCTTCAGGAAGCCCGAACACCCCAAATATATTTTTTTTCATTTTACATTTTTTTTGGTGTAACCAACTCCAAAAGGTCTGAAACATGTTCCTAAAAAGGTTTTGGACACTGATTTTAACTCTAACGCCAAAAACCTTAAACCTTACCCTAGCCCCATAACCTAATACCCGGGTATTACCTTCAGGAAGCCCGAACACCCCAAATATTTTTTTTCATTTTTCTTTTTTTTTTGTCTAACTAACTCCAAAAGGTCTGAAACATGTTCCTAAAAAATTTTGGACAGTGATTTTAACCCTTACGCCAAAAACCTTAAACCTTACCCTAGCCCCATAACCTAATACCCGGGTATTACCTTCAGGAAGCCCGAACACCCCAAATATTTTTTTTGTCATGTTAAATTTTTTTTGGTGTAACCAACTCCAAAAGGTCTGAATCTTGTTCCTTAAAAGGTTTTGGACAGTGATTTTAACCCTAACGCCAAAAACCTTAAACCTTACCCTAGCCCCAAAACCTAATACCCGGGTATTACCTTCAGGAAACCCGAACACCCCAAATATTTTTTTTTTCTTTTTCTTTTTTTTTTGTCTAACTAACTCCCAAAGGTCTGAAACATGTTCCTAAAAAGGTTTTGGACAGTGATTTTAACCCTAACGCCAAAAACCTTAAACCTTACCCTAGCCCCATAACCTAATACCCGGGTATTACCTTCAGGAAGCCCGAACACCCCAAATATATATTTTTTCTTTTTACATTTTTTTTGGTGTAACCAACTCCAAAAGGTCTTAAACATGTTCCTAAAAAGGTTTTGGACAGTGATTTTAACCCTAACGCCAAAAACCTTAAACCTTACCCTAGCCCCATAACCTAATACCCGGGTATTACCTTCAGGAAGCCCAAAAACCCCAAATATTTTTTTTTTCATTTTTCGTTTTTTTGGTCTAACTAACTCCAAAAGGTTGGAAAAGAGTTCCTACAAAGGTTTTGGACAGTGATTTTAACCCTAACGCCAAAAACCTTAAACCTTACCCTAGCCCCATAACCTAATACCCGGGTATTACCTTCAGGAAGCCCGAACACCCCAAATATATTTTTTTTCATTTTTCATTTTTTTTTGGTCTAACTAACTCCAAAAGGTCTGAAAAGAGTTCCTACAAAGGTTTTGGACAGTGATTTTAACCCTAACACCAAAAACCTTAAACCTTACCCTAGCCCCAAAACCTAATACCCGGGTAATACCTTCAGGAAGCCCGAACACCCCAAATATTTTTTTTTTCATTTTACATTTTTTTTGGTGTAACCAACTCCAAAAGGTCTGAAACATGTTCCTACAAAGGTTTTGGACAGTGATTTTAACCCTCACACCAAAAACCTTAAACCTTACCCTAGCCCCATAACCTAATACCCGGGTATTACCTTCAGGAAGCCCGAACACCCCAAATATATTTTTTTTCATTTTTCATTTTTTTTTGGTGTAACCAACTCCCAAAGGTCTGAAACATGTTCCTTAAAAGGTTTTGGACAGTGATTTTAACCCTAACGCCAAAAACCTTAAACCTTAACCTAGCCCCAAAACCTAATACCCGGGTATTACCTTCAGGAAGCCCGAAAACCCCAAATATTTTTTTTTCTTTTTTCTTTTTTTTGGTCTAACTAACTCCAAAAGGTCTGAAACATGTTCCTTAAAAAATATTGGACAGTGATTTTAACCCTAACGCCAAAAACCTTAAACCTAATCCTAGTCCCAAAACCTAATACTATTATTACCTATTATTACCTTCAGGAAGCCCGAACACCCCAAATTTTTTTTTTTCATTTTTCATTTTTTTATTGGTCTAACTAACTCCAAAAGGTTGGAAAAGACTTCCTACAAAGGTTTTGGACAGTGATTTTAACTCTCACGCCAAAAACCTTAAACCTTTCCAAAGCCCCATAACCTAATACCCGGTTTTACCTTCCGGAAGCCAAAAAACCCCAAATATTTTCTTTTCATTTATCTTTTTTTTTTTGTCTAACTAACTCCAAAAGGTTGGCAAAGACTTCCTACAAAGGTTTTGGACAGTGATTTTAACCCTCACGCCAAAAACCTTAAACCTTACCCTAGCCCCATAACCTATAGCCCAGGTATTACCTTCAGGAAGCCCGAAGACCCCGAATATATATTTTTTCATTTATCTTTTTTTTTTTGTCTAACTAACTCCAAAAGGTCTGAAACATGTTCCTTAAAAAATATTGGACAGTGATTTTAACCCTTACGCCAAAAACCTTAAACCTTATCCTAGCCCCATAACCTAATACCCGGGTATTACCTTCAGGAAGCCCGAACACCCCAAATATTTTTTTTTCATTTTACATTTTTTTTGGTGTAACCAACTCCAAAAGGTCATAAACATGTTCCTTAAAAGGTTTTGGACAGTGATTTTAACCCTAACGCCAAAAACCTTAAACCTTACCCTAGCCCCAAAACCTAATACCCGGTATTACCTTCAGGAAGCCCGAACACCCCAAATATTTTTTTTTCATTTTACATTTTTTTTTGGTCTAACTAACTCCAAAAGGTCTGAAACATGTTCCTTAAAAGGTTTTGGACAGTGATTTTAACCCTAACACCAAAAACCTTAAACCTAATCCTAGCCCCAAAACCTAATACCCGGGTATTACCTTCAGGAAGCCCGAACACCCCAAATTTTTTTTTTCATATTTCATTTTTTTTTTTGTCTAACTAACACCAAAAGGTTTGAAACATGTTCCTACAAAGGTTTTGGACAGTGATTTTAACCCTAACGCCAAAAACCTTAAACCTTACCCTAGCCCCAAAACCTAATTCCTTCAGGAAACCCGAACACCCCAAATATTTTTTTTTTCTTTTTCTTTTTTTTGTCTAACTAACTCCAAAAGGTCTGAAACATGTTCCTTAAAAAAATATTGGACAGTTATTTTAACCCTAACGCCAAAAACCTTAAACCTAACCCTAGCCCCAAAACCTAATACCCGGGTATTACCTTCAGGAAGCCCGAACACCCCAAATATATATTTTTTCTTTTTACATTTTTTTTGGTGTAACCAACTCCAAAAGGTCTTAAACATGTTCCTAAAAAGGTTTTGGACAGTGATTTTAACCCTAACGCCAAAAACCTTAAACCTTACCCTAGCCCCATAACCTAATACCCGGGTATTACCTTCAGGAAGCCCGAAAACCCCAAATATTTTTTTTTCATTTTTCGTTTTTTTTTTGGTCTAACTAACTCCAAAAGGTTGGAAAAGAGTTCCTACAAAGGTTTTGGACAGTGATTTTAACCCTAACGCCAAAAACCTTAAACCTTACCCTAGCCCCATAACCTAATACCCGGGTATTACCTTCAGGAAGCCCGAACACCCCAAATATATTTTTTTCTTTTTTTTTTTTTTTGGTCTAACTAACTCCAAAAGGTCGGAAAAGAGTTCCTACAAAGGTTTTGGACAGTGATTTTAACCCTAACGCCAAAAACCTTAAACCTTACCCTAGCCCCAAACCTAATACCCGGGTATTACCTTCAGGAAGCCCGAACACCCCAAATATATTTTTTTTCATTTTACATTTTTTTTTGGTGTTACCAACTCCAAAAGGTCTGAAACATGTTCCTAAAAGGTTTTGGACAGTGATTTTAACCCTAACGCCAAAAACCTTTAACCTTACTATAGCCCCATAACCTAATACCCGGGTATTACCTTCAGGAAGCCTGAACACCCCAAATATTTTTTTTTTTCATTTTACATTTTTTTTGGTGTAACCAACTCCAAAAGGTCTTAAACATGTTCCTAAAAAGGTTTTGGACACTGATTTTAACTCTAACGCCAAAAACCTTAAACCTTACCCTAGCCCCATGACCTAATACCCGGGTATTACCTTCAGGAAGCCCAAAAACCCCAAATATTTTTTTTTCATTTTTCTTTTTTTGTGGTCTAACTAACTCCAAAAGGTTGGAAAAGAGTTCCTACAAAGGTTTTGGACAGTGATTTTAACCCTAACGCCAAAAACCTTAAACCTTACCCTAGCCCCATAACCTCATACCCGGGTATTTCCTTCAGGAAGCCCGAAGACCCCAAATATATTTTTTTCTTTTTTCTTTTTTTTTGGTCTAACTAACTCCAAAAGGTCGGAAAAGAGTTCCTACAAAGGTTTTGGACAGTGATTTTAACCCTAACGCCAAAAACCTTAAACCTTACCCTAGCCCCATAACCTAATACCCGGGTATTACCTTCAGGAAGCTTGAACACCCCAAATATTTTTTTTTTCATTTTTCGTTTTTTTTTTGGTCTAACTAACTCCAAAAGGTTGGAAAATAGTTCCTACAAAGGTTTTGGACAGTGATTTTAACCCTAACGCCAAAAACCTTAAACCTTACCCTAGCCCCATAACCTCATACCCGGGTATTTCCTTCAGGAAGCCCGAAGACCCCAAATATATATATATATATTTTTTGTTTTTTTTTGGTCTAACTAACTCCAAAAGGTTGGAAAAGAGTTCCTACAAAGGTTTTGGACAGTGATTTTAACCCTACCACCAAAAACCTTAAACCTTACCCTAGCCCCAAAACCTAATACCCGGGTATTACCTTCAGGAAGCCCGAACACCCCAAATATATTTTTTTTCATTTTACATTTTTTTTGGTGTAACCAACTCCAAAAGGTCTTAAACATGTTCCTAAAAAGGTTTTGGACAGTGATTTTAACCCTAACGCCAAAAACCTTAAACCTTACCCTAGCCCCATGACCTAAAACCCGGGTATTACCTTCAGGAAGCCCAAAAACCCCAAATATTTTTTTTTCATTTTTCTTTTTTTTGTGGTCTAACTAACTCCAAAAGGTTGGAAAAGAGTTCCTACAAAGGTTTTGGACAGTGATTTTAACCCTAACGCCAAAAACCTTAAACCTTACCCTAGCCCCATAACCTCATACCCGGGTATTTCCTTCAGGAAGCCCGAAGACCCCAAATATATATTTTTCTTTTTTCTTTTTTTTTGGTCTAACTAACTCCAAAAGGTCGGAAAAGAGTTCCTACAAAGGTTTTGGACGGTGATTTTAACCCTAACACCAAAAACCTTAAACCTTACCCTAGCCCCATAACCTAATACCCGGTATTACCTTCAGGAAGCTTGAACACCCCAATTTTTTTTTTTTCATTTTTTGTTTTTTTTTTGGTCTAACTAACTCCAAAAGGTTGGAAAATAGTTCCTACAAAGGTTTTGGACAGTGATTTTAACCCTAACGCCAAAAACCTTTAACCTTACTATAGCCCCATAACCTAATACCTGGGTATTTCCTTCAGGAAGCCCGAAGACCCCAAATATATATATATATATTTTTTGTTTTTTTTGGTCTAACTAACTCCAAAAGGTTGGAAAAGAGTTCCTACAAAGGTTTTGGACAGTGATTTTAACCCTACCACCAAAAACCTTAAACCTTACCCTAGCCCCAAAACCTAATACCCGGGTATTACCTTCAGGAAGCTTGAACACCCCAAATATATTTTTTTTTCATTTTACATTTTTTTTTGGTGTAACCAACTCCAAAAGGTCTTAAACATGTTCCTAAAAAGGTTTTGGACAGTGATTTTAACTCTAACGCCAAAAACCTTAAACCTTACCCTAGCCCCATAACCTAATACCCGGGTATTACCTTCAGGAAGCCCGAACACCCCAAATATTTTTTTTTCTTTTTCTTTTTTTTTTGTCTAACTAACTCCCAAAGGTCTGAAACATGTTCCTGAAAAAATATTGGACAGTGATTTTAACCCTTACGCCAAAAACCTTAAACCTAATCCTAGCCCCATAACCTAATACTTAAACCTGAAGGGTATTACCTTCAGGAAGCCCGAACACCCCAAATATTTTTTTTTTCATTTTACATTTTTTTTGGTGTAACCAACTCCAAAAGGTCTGAATCTTGTTCCTTAAAAGGTTTTGGACAGTGATTTTAACCCTAACGCCAAAAACCTTAAACCTTACCCTAGCCCCAAAACCTAATACCCGGGTATTACCTTCAGGAAGCTTGAACACCCCAAATATTTTTTTTTTCATTTATCTATTTTTTTTTGTCTAACTAATTCCCAAAGGTTGGAAAAGAGTTCCTCAAAGGTTTTGGACAGTGATTTTTACCCTCACACCGAAAAACCTTAAACCTTACCCTAGCCCCATAACCTAATACCCGGGTATTACCTTCAGGAAGCCCGAACACCCCAAATATATATTTTTTATTTTTACATTTTTTTTGGTGTAACCAACTCCAAAAGGTCATAAACATGTTCCTTAAAAGGTTTTGGACAGTGATTTTAACCCTAACGCCAAAAACCTTAAACCTTACCCTAGCCCCAAAACCTAATACCTTCAGGAAGCCCGAAAACCCCAAATATTTTTTTTTCTTTTTTCTTTTTTTTGGTCTAACTAACTCCAAAAGGTCTGAAACATGTTCCTTAAAAAATATTGGACAGTGATTTTAACCCTAACGCCAAAAACCTTAAACCTAATCCTAGTCCCAAAACCTAATACCCGGGTATTACCTTCAGGAAGCCCGAACACCCCAAATTTTTTTTTTTCATTTTTCATTTTTTTATTGGTCTAACTAACTCCAAAAGGTTGGAAAAGACTTCCTACAAAGGTTTTGGACAGTGATTTTAACTCTCACGCCAAAAACCTTAAACCTTTCCAAAGCCCCATAACCTAATACCTGGGTTTTACCTTCCGGAAGCCAAAAAACCCCAAATATTTTTTTTTCATTTATCTTTTTTTTTTTGTCTAACTAACTCCAAAAGGTTGGAAAAGACTTCCTACAAAGGTTTTGGACAGTGATTTTAACCCTCACGCCAAAAACCTTAAACCTTAACCTAGCCCCATAACCTAATACCCGGTATTACCTTCAGGAAGCCCGAACACCCCAAATATATATTTTTTCATTTATCTTTTTTTTTTTGTCTAACTAACTCCAAAAGGTCTGAAACATGTTCCTTAAAAAATATTGGACAGTGATTTTAACCCTTACGCCAAAAACCTTAAACCTAATCCTAGCCCCATAACCTAATACTTAAACCTGAAGGGTATTACCTTCAGGAAGCCCGAACACCCCAAATATTTTTTTTGTCATTTTACATTTTTTTTGGTGTAACCAACTCCAAAAGGTCTGAATCTTGTTCCTTAAAAGGTTTTGGACAGTGATTTTAACCCTAACGCCAAAAACCTTAAACCTTACCCTAGCCCCAAAACCTAATACCTTCAGGAAGCCCGAAAACCCCAAATATTTTTTTTTCATTTTACATTTTTTTTGGTCTAACTAACTCCAAAAGGTCTGAAACATGTTCCTTAAAAAATATTGGACAGTGATTTTAACCCTAACGCCAAAAACCTTAAACCTAATCCTAGCCCCAAAACCTAATACCCGGGTATTACCTTCAGGAAGCCCGAACACCCCAAATTTTTTTTTTTCATTTTTCATTTTTTTATTGGTCTAACTAACACCAAAAGGTTTGAAAAGAGGTCCTACAAAGGTTTTGGACAGTGATTTTAACCCTCACGCCAAAAACCTTAAACCTTACCCTAGCCCCATAACCTAATACCCGGGTATTACCTTCAGGAAGCCCGAACACCCCAAATATTTTTTTTTCATTTATCTTTTTTTTTTTGTCTAACTAACTCCAAAAGGTTGGAAAAGACTTCCTACAAAAGACTAACTCCAAAAGGTTGGAAAAGACTTCCTACAAAGGTAATACAAATTATTACCTTCAGGAAGCTCGAACACCCCAAATTTATACATTTTTTTTTCTTTTTTTTTTGTCAAACTAGCTCCAAAAAGTCTGAAACATGTTCCTTAAAAATATTGGACAGTGATTTTAACCCTAACGCCAAAAACATTAAACCTAATCCTAGCCCCATAACCTAATACTTAAACCTGAAGGGTATTACCTTCAGGAAGCCCGAACACCCCAAATATTTTTTTTTTCATTTTACATTTTTTTTTGGTGTAACCAACTCCAAAAGGTCTTAAACATGTTCCTAAAAAGGTTTTGGACACTGATTTTAACTCTAACGCCAAAAACCTTAAACCTTACCCTAGCCCCATAACCTAATACCCGGGTATTACCTTCAGGAAACCCGAACACCCCAAATATTTTTTTTTCTTTTTCTTTTTTTTTGTCTAACTAACTCCCAAAGGTCTGAAACATGTTCCTTAAAAAATATTGGACAGTTATTTTAACCCTAACGCCAAAAACCTTAAACCTTACCCTAGCCCCATAACCTAATACCCGGGTATTACCTTCAGGAAGCCCGAAAAGCCCAAATATTGTTTTTTCATTTTTCGTTTTTTTTTTGGTCTAACTAATTCCAAAAGGATGGTAAAGTGTTCCTACAAAGGTTTTGGACAGTGATTTTTACCCTCACGCCGAAAAACCTTAAACCTTACCCTAGCCCCATAACCTATTACCTTCAGGAAGCCCGAAAAGCCCAAATATATATTTTTTATTTTTCTTTTTGTTTTGGTCTAACTTGCTCTCAAAGGTTGGAAGAGTTCCTACAAAGGTTTTGGACATTGATTTTAACCCTAACGCCAAAAACCTTAAACATTACCCTAGCCCAGAAACCTAGTATTACCTTCAGGAAGCCCGAACACCCAAAAAAAATTTTTTTTCATTTTACATTTTTTTTGGTGTAACCAACTCTAAAAGGTCTGAAACATGTTCCTAAAAAGGTTTTGGACAGTGATTTTAACCCTTACGCCAAAAACCTTAAACCTTACCCTAGCCCCATAACCTAATACCCGGGTATTACCTTCAGGAAGCCCGAACACCCCAAATATTTTTTGGGGTGTTTATCTTTTTTTTTTTGTCTAACTAACTCCAAAAGGTTGGAAAAGACTTCCTACAAAGGTTTTGGACAGTGATTTTAACCCTCACGCCAAAAACCTTAAACCTTACCCTAGCCCCATAACCTAATACCCGGGTATTACCTTCAGGAAGCCCGAACACCCCAAATATATATTTTTTCTTTTTCTTTTTTTTTTTGGTCAAACTAGCTCCAAAAGGTCTGAAACATGTTCCTTAAAAAATATTGGACAGTGATTTTAACCCTTACGCCAAAAACCTTAAACCTAATCCTAGCCCCATAACCTAATACTTAAACCTGAAGGGTATTACCTTCAGGAAGCCCGAACACCCCAAATATATTTTTTTTCATTTTACATTTTTTTTGGTGTAACCAACTCCAAAAGGTCTGAATCTTGTTCCTTAAAAGGTTTTGGACAGTGATTTTAACCCTAACGCCAAAAACCTTAAACCTTTCCCTAGCCTCAAAACCTAATACCTTCAGGAAGCCCGAAAAGCCCAAATATTTTTTTTTCTTTTTTCTTTTTTTTGGTCTACCTAACTCCAAAAGGTCTGAAACATGTTCCTTAAAAAATATTGGACAGTGATTTTAACCCTAACGCCAAAAACCTTAAACCTAATCCTAGCCCCATAACCTAATACTTAAACCTGAAGGGTATTACCTTCAGGAAGCCCGAACACCCCAAATATTTTTTTTTCATTTTTCATTTTTTTATTGGTCTAACTAACTCCAAAAGGTTGGAAAAGACTCCCTACAAAGGTTTTGAACACTGATTTTAACCCTCACGCCAAAAACCTTAAACCTTACCCTAGCCCCATAACCTAATACCCGGGTATTACCTTCAGGAAGCTTGAACAACCCAAATATTTTTTTTTTTTCATTTTACATTTTTTTTTGGTGTTACCAACTCCAAAAGGTCTGAAACATGTTCCTAAAAAGGTTTTGGACAGTGATTTTAACCCTGACGCCAAAAACCTTAAACCTTACCCTAGCCCCATAACCTAATACCCGGGTATTACCTTCAGGAAGCCCGAACACCCCAAATATTTTTTTTTCATTTATCTTTTTTTTTTTTGTCTAACTAACTCCAAAAGGTTGGAAAAGAGTTCCTACAAAGGTTTTGGACAGTGATTTTAACCCTAACGCCAAAAACCTTAAACCTTAACCTAGCCCCAAAACCTAATACCTTCAGGAAGCCCGAAAACCCCAAATATTTTTTTTTTCTTTTTTCTTTTTTTTTGGTCTAACTAACTCCAAAAGGTCTGAAACATGTTCCTTAAAAAATATTGGACAGTGATTTTAACCCTAACGCCAAAAACCTTAAACCTAATCCTAGCCCCAAAACCTAATACCCGGGTATTACCTTCAGGAAGCCCGAAAACCCCAAATATTTTTTTTTCATTTTTCATTTTTTTATTGGTCTAACTAACTCCAAAAGGTTGGAAAAGACTCCCTACAAAGGTTTTGAACACTGATTTTAACCCTCACGCCAAAAACCTTAAACCTTTCCAAAGCCCCATAACCTAATACCCGGGTATTACCTTCAGGAAGCCCAAAAACCCCAAATATTTGTTTTTCAATTTTCGTTTTTTTTTTTGGTCTAACTTACACCAAAAGGTTGGAAAAGAGGTCCTACAAAGGTTTTGGACAGTGATTTTAACCCTCACGCCAAAAACCTTAAACCTTACCCTAGCACCATAACCTAATACCCGGGTATTACCTTCAGGAAGCCCGAACACCCCAAATATTTTTTTTTTTCATTTTACATTTTTTTTTGGTGTAACCAACTCCAAAAGGTCTTAAACATGTTCCTAAAAAGGTTTTGGACACTGATTTTAACTCTAACGCCAAAAACCTTAAACCTTACCCTAGCCCCATAACCTAATACCCGGGTATTACCTTCAGGAAACCCGAACACCCCAAATATTTTTTTTTCTTTTTCTTTTTTTTTGTCTAACTAACTCCCAAAGGTCTGAAACATGTTCCTTAAAAAATATTGGACAGTTATTTTAACCCTAACGCCAAAAACCTTAAACCTTACCCTAGCCCCATAACCTAATACCCGGGTATTACCTTCAGGAAGCCCGAAAAGCCCAAATATTGTTTTTTCATTTTTCGTTTTTTTTTTGGTCTAACTAATTCCAAAAGGATGGTAAAGTGTTCCTACAAAGGTTTTGGACAGTGATTTTTACCCTCACGCCGAAAAACCTTAAACCTTACCCTAGCCCCATAACCTATTACCTTCAGGAAGCCCGAAAAGCCCAAATATATATTTTTTATTTTTCTTTTTGTTTTGGTCTAACTTGCTCTCAAAGGTTGGAAGAGTTCCTACAAAGGTTTTGGACATTGATTTTAACCCTAACGCCAAAAACCTTAAACATTACCCTAGCCCAGAAACCTAGTATTACCTTCAGGAAGCCCGAACACCCAAAAAAAATTTTTTTTCATTTTACATTTTTTTTGGTGTAACCAACTCTAAAAGGTCTGAAACATGTTCCTAAAAAGGTTTTGGACAGTGATTTTAACCCTTACGCCAAAAACCTTAAACCTTACCCTAGCCCCATAACCTAATACCCGGGTATTACCTTCAGGAAGCCCGAACACCCCAAATATTTTTTGGGGTGTTTATCTTTTTTTTTTTGTCTAACTAACTCCAAAAGGTTGGAAAAGACTTCCTACAAAGGTTTTGGACAGTGATTTTAACCCTCACGCCAAAAACCTTAAACCTTAACCTAGCCCCATAACCTAATACCCGGGTATTACCTTCAGGAAGCCCGAACACCCCAAATATATATTTTTTCTTTTTCTTTTTTTTTTTTGGTCAAACTAGCTCCAAAAGGTCTGAAACATGTTCCTTAAAAAATATTGGACAGTGATTTTAACCCTTACGCCAAAAACCTTAAACCTAATCCTAGCCCCATAACCTAATACTTAAACCTGAAGGGTATTACCTTCAGGAAGCCCGAACACCCCAAATATATTTTTTTTCATTTTACATTTTTTTTGGTGTAACCAACTCCAAAAGGTCTGAATCTTGTTCCTTAAAAGGTTTTGGACAGTGATTTTAACCCTAACGCCAAAAACCTTAAACCTTTCCCTAGCCCCAAAACCTAATACCTTCAGGAAGCCCGAAAAGCCCAAATATTTTTTTTTCTTTTTTCTTTTTTTTGGTCTACCTAACTCCAAAAGGTCTGAAACATGTTCCTTAAAAAATATTGGACAGTGATTTTAACCCTAACGCCAAAAACCTTAAACCTAATCCTAGCCCCAAAACCTAATACCCGGGTATTACCTTCAGGAAGCCCGAACACCCCAAATATTTTTTTTTCATTTTTCATTTTTTTATTGGTCTAACTAACTCCAAAAGGTTGGAAAAGACTCCCTACAAAGGTTTTGAACACTGATTTTAACCCTCACGCCAAAAACCTTAAACCTTACCCTAGCCCCATAACCTAATACCCGGGTATTACCTTCAGGAAGCTTGAACAACCCAAATATTTTTTTTTTTCATTTTACATTTTTTTTTGGTGTTACCAACTCCAAAAGGTCTGAAACATGTTCCTAAAAAGGTTTTGGACAGTGATTTTAACCCTGACGCCAAAAACCTTAAACCTTACCCTAGCCCCATAACCTCATACCCGGGTATTACCTTCAGGAAGCCCGAACACCCCAAATATTTTTTTTTCATTTATCTTTTTTTTTTTGTCTAACTAACTCCAAAAGGTTGGAAAAGACTTCCTACAAAGGTTTTGGACAGTGATTTTAACCCTCACGCCAAAAACCTTAAACCTTAAACTAGCCCCATAACCTATTACCCGGGTATTACCTTCAGGAAGCCCGAACACCCCAAATATATATTTTTTCTTTTTCTTTTTTTTTTTGGTCAAACTAGCTCCAAAAGGTCTGAAACATGTTCCTTAAAAAATATTGGACAGTGATTTTAACCCTTACGCCAAAAACCTTAAACCTTACCCTAGCCCCATAACCTAATACCCGGGTATTACCTTCAGGAAGCTTGAACAACCCAAATATTTTTTTTTTTCATTTTACATTTTTTTTTGGTGTTACCAACTCCAAAAGGTCTGAAACATGTTCCTAAAAAGGTTTTGGACAGTGATTTTAACCCTGACGCCAAAAACCTTAAACCTTACCCTAGCCCCATAACCTCATACCCGGGTATTACCTTCAGGAAGTCCGAACACCCCAAATATTTTTTTTTCATTTATCTTTTTTTTTTTGTCTAACTAACTCCAAAAGGTTGGAAAAGAGTTCCTACAAAGGTTTTGGACAGTGATTTTAACCCTAACGCCAAAAACCTTAAACCTTAACCTAGCCCCAAAACCTAATACCTTCAGGAAGCCCGAAAACCCCAAAAAATTTTTTTTCTTTTTTCTTTTTTTTTGGTCTAACTAACTCCAAAAGGTCTGAAACATGTTCCTTAAAAAATATTGGACAGTGATTTTAACCCTTACGCCAAAAACCTTAAACCTATTCCTAGCCCCATAACCTAATACTTAAACCTGAAGGGTATTACCTTCAGGAAGCTTGAACAACCCAAATATATTTTTTTTCATTTTACATTTTTTTTGGTGTAACCAACTCCAAAAGGTCTGAATCTTGTTCCTTAAAACGTTTTGGACAGTGATTTTAACCCTAACGCCAAAAACCTTAAACCTTTCCCTAGCCCCAAAACCTAATACCTTCAGGAAGCCCGAAAACCCCCCAAAATTTTTTTTCTTTTTTCTTTTTTTTTGGTCTAACTAACTCCAAAAGGTCTGAAACATGTTCCTTAAAAAATATTGGACAGTGATTTTAACCCTATCGCCAAAAACCTTTAAAGTTACCCTAGCCCCAAAACCTAATACCGGGTATTACCTTCAGGAAGCCCGAAAACTATCACTCGAATCCCTGCATGAGCAGAATGGTGCCAGATGGACCACCTGCTCCCACCACAATCCTCTGTGACTTTTTGACTCTATCCACTTTTAGAACTTAAAATAGTAATCAATAATCAACTGACCAACTCAGCTCAAACCAAACCCAAAACTCTGCCTAGAGAACTCTCACTTCCACGTTTACATATCTCTTTGTATCTTGTGAGGACCGTGAGGAGAGCAGAGCCTAGACCTAGTCGGGTCAGGTGACTATGTCCCTTGCTCACTCTCCTCACATGGATGGTGAGAGCTGGGGAGCTATGGGATGTTTCATCCGCCACCAAATCCCCCTCACCAATCTTTATTTTCCACCATCTCCACCTCTCCCTTAAACCCCCCTCTCCCTCTTCCCTCTCTCTCTCTCTCTCTCTCTCTCTCTCTCTCTCTCTCTCTCTCTCTCTCTCTCTCTCACCCCCCCCCCTCTCTCTCTCTCTCTCCCTCATCTCTCTCCCTCATCTCTCCCCCTCTCTCTAACACCCCCCCTCTTTCTTATTCCCTCCCCTGCCCCTTTATTTTCACCTTCACAGAGGACAAATAGGTGATCTTCAGCCTCGGCCTACCCCGGCCGGGGGGTAACCCCTGTTGGGTCACCTATATTGAGGATTAAGAGAGACCTGAAGGGGAACCGCCGTGCCACCTAAATCCTCCCCCTCTAACATCTTTTTTAACACTCTAAAATTAGCCAGCTAACCCCACTACAAACAACTTCATCAAAAATTTAAATAATAAATACTTATTGATAACTGACCATCAGTGACACCAGACTAAGCTAGTAAAAAAGGACACACATACATGTGCAGATTTTCCCTTAGGACATTGATCAAATTTACATTTCTGTCTGTCTTTTAGGGAACTGTTCTCTGTTTTTAAGCTCACTTCTGTTTTTTGCTATTTGCTCTTGACACTTCTTTTTTTCCTTTTTTATTCTCCTTTCCCTTTTGCAATCCACTTTTGTTCTTCTTTTATTTTTTATTTTTTCATTGTTTTATATTATTTTATTTTATTTTATTTTATTTCATTTTAGGGTTCCTGTGCTTTTGTTTGTCTTCCCCCCTCCCCTCTTTTTTCTTAGGAAGGACTGACTCCTGAGGTTCTCATGCCAGGAAAAATGTACCTCCCTCACTCACGGTTTTACCCACAATCCTTTGCTGCAACAGGGAGATTGATTCCCAAGGCTCTCATGGCAGAAAGGAAGTACCTCACTCACTCACGGTTTTACCCACAATCCTTTGCTGTAACAGGAAGATTGATTCCTTGGGCTCTCATCCCTCAGAACTAAAATACCCACAATCCCTTACGATTGCATACAAATTTAATGTAGCAAAACTAAATTTAAAACAAATAAACTACATTAAAATTAACTTAAAACAACTTGAAAGTTTAAAATACAACCAAGAGACATCCATTCTGGAATACAAACATCGAGAAGAGAACACAACCATGTCTGAGAGGAACAGCACAAACCATTAATCGAGCCCAACTCTGGGGATGTCTTCTCCTGTCAAAAGCACATTTAAGTGCTGTGCACTAAAGAGCAATTCCTGTTGCTGTAATTGAGACAAAGCACTGACCACTGGACCAAGAAGACCGACCACCGCCTCGAGGAAGACGCTGCGCCGCCACCTGAAAGAAGACGCCGCACCTCCATCACTCCAAGCCGCCCACCACCGAGCTTCGACCCGCCGACGGCACCGAGTCCCAGCAAACCTTGCCGCGGAGCGCCTATCTTCTTTCCCCCGCCGAGGACCCCGGACTTCAGACACACCGCTGCCGCCGCGGCTGGACAGCTGGAACCTTTTCCCCCCTCCAACAGATTTTAGACTACTGGAAAAGAAACGCCTCACATCAACAACAACATAGGACCACTAGGGTAAGTCTACAAAAAACCTCTCAAACACCTCAAAATTACTCTAAATAGTTAGTTTTGTTTTTGAACTTGAGTTTGTGTCGTGTTTGAAGTTTGTGACAACTTATGAACTTGAGTTTGTTTCGCTTGATTTTTTGGCAATTGTTGAACTTGAGTCTTTGGTTTTTAGTGAACTTTAGTTGGTGGCAATTGTTGAACTTGAGTTTGTGGCGTTTGTTGAACTTGAGTTTGTGTTGTTTTTTAACTTGAGGTTTTGGCAATTGTTAATCTTTAGATTTGGGTGTTGGTTGAACTTAAAACTTTGACATTTGTTGAACTTGACTTTGTGGTGTTCATTTAACTTGAGTTTGTGGTGTTTTTGGACTTGAATTTTTGTGTTTTTTTTAACTTGAGTTTGTGGTGTTTTTGAACTTGAATTTGTGTGTTTTTTGAACTTGAGGTTGTTGCAATTTTTGAACTTGAGTTTGAAGAACTTGAGTTTTTGGCAATTGTTAAATGTGAGTTTAGGTCATTTGTTGAATTTGAAATTTTGGCATTTTTTGAACTTAAGATTGTGGTGTTTGTTGAACTTGAGTTTGTGGCAATTGTTGAACTTGAGTCTGTATTTTTCCCTGAACTTTAGTTTGAATTTTTGTGTGTTTTTTGAATTTAAGTTTGTGGCAATTGTTAAACTTGAGATTTGGGTGTTGGTTGAACTTGAGTTTGTGGTGTTTTTGAACTTGAGTTTGTGTGTTTGTTTAACTTGAGTTTGTGGCGTGTTTTGACTTGAGTTTCTGTTGTTTTTGAACTTGAGGTTGTGGCAATTGTCAAACTTGAGATTTGGGATTTGGTTGAACTTGAGTTTGTGTCATGTTTGAACTTTGGTTTGTGGTGCTTTTTAACTTGAGTTTGTGGCGGTGTTGAGCTTGAGTTTGTGGCGTGTTTTAACCTGAATTTTTGTTGTTTTTCTTACTTGAGGCTTCGGCAATTGTTAAACTTTAGATTTGGGTGTTGGTTGAACTTAAAACTTTGACATTTGTTGAACTTATGTATGTGGTGTTCATTGAACTTCAGTTTGTGTCTTGTTTGAACTTGACTTTGTGGTGTTTTTGAACTTGAGTTGGTGGTGTTTTTGAACTTGAGTTGGTGGAAATTGTTGAACTTGAGAATTGGGTGTTGGTTGAACTTGAGTTTCTGGTGTTTTTGAACTTGAGTTTGAGTTTGTTTGTTTGTTGAACTTGAGTTCGTGGCGTGTTTGAACTTGAGTTTGTGTTCTTTTTGAACTTGAGGTTGTGGAAATTGTTAAACTCACCCTCCTCGAGCCATCATGAAGGCGGAGGTGGCGGGGGTAGAGCAGCAATGAACAAAACCCCCCTGGAACAGGAGCGCTTTAAGGACAGCGGAGCAATTAGCTGGCACGAGGGTGGAGCTGGTGTGGCAGTGTGTTGCTGGTTTGCTGTCAGAACAGAGGAAGAGGCTGGGTTAGTGCAGTTTTAAATAAGGCACTCTATAGGCAAAGAACCAATAGGATCTAGGTGTGAATCAGCTGATTATCATCTGGTTGAGGTGGCTACTAGCCATTGGCTGTGGATCAGCGCTTGACGTTGTGTCCTGACAGAACTAACGCTATGCTTCATTTCAGTCAGGTACACTTTGTCCAAATTTTTAGCTTTATTGTGCAAGTTAGATTTGGCGGCATGATTCTGTTCCGGGTCCCTGCCCTTCCACGCGCTTGTGTGGAAGCCCAAGGCAGGAAGAGCCCCTTCCTGCCTTTCACGAGCCATCATGAAAGGCGATAGCAGGGAGCGCACGCGAGGTTCTGTTCAGGGTCCCCGTTCTCCACGTTGGCAGGGGTGAAAGGCCAGCGGCAGGAAGAGCACCTTCCCGCCCTCCACGTGCCATCATGAAGGCGGGGGAGGCAGGGGTAGAGCAGCAATGAACAGAACCCCCCCAAAACAACCATGCCGTGCAGTCTAGGAGCTAGCAGGGGAGGTGAGCGCTGCTGAAAGAAAGACGGGTTAGAGAGACCCGTTGCCCAAGCATGGATATTTATCTGCAGGTTGTTTATATATTTCATTTAATTAGCATCTATGTGCCAAAGTTATGGGTACTCATAGTTTTTGGGCTTCGAGAATGTCCCGAGCCTCAGGGCGCAGATAGCGTTTGTACGCAGCTGACGACTATTGGCCCATGGCTTTGAGGGTCGACACAGGAGCCGTCATAGCTGTGGTTGTAGCTGCACCTATGTGAAAGGAATGAGCCGTGTAGCGATCTGAAGGATGTGTGGAGGGCGATCAGCTAAGCTGTCATCTGACTGAGGGCTAGCTTAAGATCAGCTGGCTTTAACCTTTAGCTTGACTGTACCTTGTGTCCTGCCTGAACTACAGCCATGCTTAATTTCAGTCAGGACTACTTTAGTTAGAATCAATTATTTATTACTAGCAAAAAATTTTTAACATTGTCGGTATGGCTCTGTTCTGAGAGTTCCCTGCTCTCTCATGCGCTTGCATAGAATCCCAAGGCAATGAGAGGGAATGCCCTCCCCTCCCTTTCATGTGCATATATGAAAAGCCAAGGCAGAAAAAGCAGCAGCCATACTGGCAACCCTCCCCAGCTTTCATGAGCTACATGAAGGCACCTACAGGGGAGGGAGGGCAGCCAGCAGCGAGAAACTATGAAGCAACCTACCCACCTACAAAGCTTGCATAGTATTGGTTACCCTCACAACATGATCATGGATCAGGATTAATTTAATCCATACACAAATTTATAGTTGGGAATATGCGTAATGCAATAGATATGGGAAAGAATTAAGGAGCAGCAGCAATTTTTTTTTTTGTAGCTAATCGAGCATAGGAATATTCTAATAATAATAATATATTAGCCTTGGGCCTGAGGTATCATTCAAAGGCTGATCGGGACCATTGACCCGTAGCCTTGAGCGTCGAGACGGGGACGATGGAAGATGCAGTTGTAGCTGTGCCTATGCGTGGTGAATGCGTAGAGTTGTACTCAGGTAGGAGCCAACAGGATTGGCAGAGCAGGCAGAGGTGAGCAGAAAGCTGCAATCTGGATATAGGTTTCCCTTCTTCAGTGGCAAAGAGAGACTCTTGCTGGCTGGCCAGTGGCCGGCCTCTCAGGCAGCGGGACATGGAGGATAAAGAACAAAGACAGAGTTAGTTTTGGAAATATTAGAAAAAAAAGAAAAGTGCGAGATTCAAAACTGTGGACTATTAAAGCACATACAATGGATATATTTAGGGCGTTGGGGCTACAGAGAAGGTGGTACAAAAGAGGTAAAGTGAGACCATGCAGAATCGTATAAACTTTAATGCTGATTTTGCTTAACCAGCTCTCAAGTAGCTGTCAACAGAGAGCACTAAGGATTGCAAGGCTGCACTCAGACTAACACAGTCTGAATGAATGGCTTCACGAACAGCCGTTGGGATGCTTTGCCAGTGCCTTCCCCGGCTCAAGGACATTTGACAGAGTAGACAGCTTTGTTCTTTCCCGTTTTACCAGGTGGGTGCGTCATGGGCATGCTGATTTCAGATGCCCGTCCCTGGAGTAACTTGGCTTCTCCGAGTAGTAGGCTTAGAGAGGCTTGGGTGGTTGGCATGTAGCCACAGTTTTAGGGCACCGATTAGAGGTGTGGGCAGGGGTGGACAAGGTAGGATAAGGTTCCTCCAGGTACTGTACCCGTAGACTTTGTACAAGAGGAGCACACCCAAGTTAAGCGAGTTGCTGACTCCGATGCCACAGTATCATCATCTGCTGTATCTCTCTCTTAAACATAAAATTATTATTATTATTATTATTATTATTATTATTATTATTATTATTTTCCTCTGCATTTTGTCTTATTTCTGCATTAAGATTGAAGCAGCTGACTCTTTAAAAGTTCCCTCCTTCTGCAAAAGGCGGAAGGCGGGCCCCTGCACCTAGGCAACCAGCGTCCAATCAAAAGTGCGCACTGGTGCTCCCACTTGGAGTTTATTTGTAAGCAAATACCACTCACTCTCAAGCGGCATGGTCCTATTGGATTACTTCGGTTATAACGCAGAGTGCAGACTGATGTGCAGCAACAGACTAAGCCTAGATACATGACAGGGGTGAAAACTTTAAACAGCTGATTATGTCTTCCCGAAATGGCGTACTGCTGCGTAATGGCTTACTTTCACCTCCAGGTGAGAGAAAGACCCGCAGATTAAGCAGGAAAAAGCTTGATGCTCGGTGAATTGTTAACTGATTAGAGCCAGGTCGACTACGGACTGATCAAGTCTTTGGCTGAATCTTTGAATGTACTTAGCAGCTTTGCTGAAAATGATTTGTAATGTTCCTAGAATAATGATCCTCCCTATGTCATGGCTGAATCAGAAATAATGGCGAGATATGTGTCCAGTTCAGTTCTGCGTGCTGAAAACACTTTACATATGACATCTACAAATACGCTGAAAGCTATGAATTCAGCCAAGGTCGGAGATTTAAACAGCCGGGCATCACGATATTTAAGCATCACAGGCTCATCTCCGCAATCCACAATGCGTCTATCATTGTAGTCTGAGCACAGCAAGACTAATGTCAGTACCTGCAAGGATTTGGCTCCGCGGATTAGGTGTAATTGCAGCCGCGACCAGGTCGCGTCGCGTGGTGCTCTGGTGTGTTCACACCGGGTCCAAAGCTGCGGTCGCAGGACACGGCTGGTCGCTGCTGACCCGCTTCTCCTACCTTCCATCTCCCTCCTTTTCTCCCTCATATATACATCCCGCAGCCCAGTTCAAATATTTGAACTTTGGTAGCGACGAGACTTGGCGTCCTGCGACCTCGGAAACGCAACTTCGGCAACGCGACGCAGGTAGCCAGCGGTCGCCAAGTCGCGTCAGGTCGCGGCTGTCCATAGACTTTGCATTGGGAGCCATCGCCGACGTCACCGAAGTCGCGTTTGGTCTGAACACCCCTTAACGCTAAGCTTCATATTTGGGTATTGGTTGACTTGAGTTTCTGTGTTTGTTGAACTTGAGTTTGTGACATGTTTGAACTTGAATTTGTGGTGTTTTTGAACTTGAGTTTGTGTGTTTGTTGAACTTGAGTTTTAGGCGTGTTTGAACTTGAGTTTGTGTTGTTTTTGAACTTGAGGTTTTGGCAAATGTTAAACTTGAGATTTGGGTGTTGGTTGAACTTGAGTTTGTGTCGTAATTGAACTTGATTTTTTTGCAATTTTTGAACTTGAGTTTGTTGAACTTGAGGTTGTGGAAATTGTTAAACTTGAGAATTGGGTATTGATTGAACTTGAGTTTGTGTGTTTGTTGAACTTGAGTTTGTCTCGTGTTTGAACTTGAGTTTCTGTTGTTTTTGAACTTGAGGTTGTGGCAATTGTTAAACTTGAGATTTGGGTGTTGGTTGAACTTGAGTTTGTGTCATGTTTGAACTTGAGTTTGTGGTGTTTTTGAACTTGAGTATGTGTGGTTTTTTAACTTAGTTTTGTGGCAATTGTTAAACTTGAGATTTGGGTGTTGGTTGAACTTGGGTTTGTGGTGTTTTTGAACTTGAGTTTGTGTCTTTGTTGAACTTGAGTTTGTGGCGTGTTTTAACTTGAGTTTCTGTTGTTTTTGAACTTGAGGTTGTGGCAATTGTTGAACTTGAGATTTGGGTGTTGGTTGAACTTGAGTTTGTGTGGTTTTTTAACTTAGTTTTGTGGCAATTGTTAAACTTGAGATTTGGGTGTTGGTTGAACTTGGGTTTGTGACATGTTTGAACTTGAGGGTGTGGAATATGTTATATTGAGAAATTGGTATTGGTTGAACTTGAGTTTTTGGTGTTTTTGAACTTGAGTTTTTGGAAATTGTTAAACTTGAGAATCAGGTGTTTGATGAACTTGAGTTAGTGTTTGTTGAACTTGAGTTTGTGTCGTGTTGGAACTTTGTCTCGTGTTGTTTGTTGAATTGAGTTTGTGTGTTTTTTGAACTTGAGGTTGTGAAAATTTTTAAACTTGAGAATCAGGTAATGGTTGAACTTGAGTTTGTGGTTTTTGTTGAACATGAGTTTGTCTCGTTTTTGAACTTGATTTTTGGTGTTTTTGAACTTGAGCATGTGTTGTTTTTGAACTTGAGATTGTGGAAATTGTTAAACTTGAGAATTGGGTATTGGTTGAACTTGATTTTTTTGTTTGTTGAACTTGAGTTTGTGTCGTGTTTGAACTTGAGTTTGTGTCGTGTTTGACCATGAGTTTGTGTTGTTTTTGAACTTGAGTTTTTGTGTTCGTTGAACTTGAGTGTGTTTCATGTTTGAGCTTGAGATTGTGGTGTTTTTGAACTTGAGTTAGTGTGTTTGTTGAACTTGAGTTTGTGTTGTGTTTGAACTTGAGTTTGTGGTGTTTTTGAATTTAACGTTGTGGCAATTTTTAAACTTCAGATTTGGGAATTGGTTGAACTTGAGTTATTGTGTTTGTTGAACTTGAGTTTGTGTCGTGTTTGAACGTGAGTTTGTTGTGTTTTTTAACTTGAGGTGGTTTCATGTTTGAACTTGAGTTTGTTGCGTTTGTTGAACTTGAGTTTGTGGTGTTTGTTGAACTTGAGTTTGTGGTTTTTGTTGAACTTGAGTTTGTGTCGTGTTTGAACTTGAGTTTGTGTGTTTTTTGAACTTTTGTTTGTTTCGTGTTTGAACTTGAGTTTGTGGTGTTTGTTGAACTTGAGTTTGTGTGGTGTTTGAACTTGAGTTTGTAGCGTGTTTTACCATGAGTTTGTGGTGTTTTTGAACTTGAGTTTTTGTGTTCATTGAACTTGAGTTTGTTTTGTGTTTGAACTTGAGATTGTGGTGTTTTTGAACTTGAGTTAGTGTGTTTGTTGAACTTGAGTTTGTGTCGTGTTTGAACTTTAGTTTGTGGCATTTGTTGAGCTTGATTTTGTGTCGTGTTTGAACTTGAGTTTGTGGTTTTTGTTGAACTTGAGTTTGTGTCGTGTTTGAACTAGAGTTTGTGTGTTTTTTGAACTTGAGTTTGTGTGGTTTTTGAACTTGAGTTTGTTTCGTGTTTGAACTTGAGTTTGTGGCGTTTGTTGAATTTGAGTTTGTGTCATGTTTGAACTTGAGTTTGTGGTGTTTTTGAACTTGAATTTGCTTGTTTGGTTAACTTGAGTTTGTGTTTTTTGAACTTAGGTTTCTGTTGTTTTTGAACTTGAGGTTGTGGAAATTGTTAAACTTGTGAATCAGGTGTTGGTTGAACTTGAGTTTGTGTCGTGTTTTTGAACTTGAGTTTGTGTCGTGTTTTTGAACTTGAGGGTGTGGAATTTGTTAAACTTGAGAATTGGGTATTGGTTGAACTTGAGTTTGTGTGTTTGTTGAACTTGAGTTTGTGTCATGTTTGAACTTGAGTTTGTGGTCTTTTTGAACTTGAGTTTGTGTGTTTGTTGAACTTGAGTTGTGGCGTTTGTTGAACTCTAGGTTGTGGCAATTGTTAAACTTAAGATTTGGTTGTTGGTTGAACTTGAGTTTGTGTCGTGTTTGAACTTGAGTTCGTGTTGTTTGTTGAACTTGAATTTGTGTGTTTTTTGAACTTAATTTTTTTGAACTTGAGTTTGTGGCAATTGTTGAACTTGAGTCTGTGGTTTTTGGTGAACTTTAATTGGTGGCAATTGTTGAACTTGAGTTTGTGGTGTATTTGAACTTGAGTTTGTTTCGTGTTTGAACTTTGTTTGTGGTGTTTTTGAACTTGATTTTTTGGTGTTTTTGAACTTGAGGGTGTGTTGTGTTTTTGAACTTGAGTTTGTGGTGTTTTTGAACTTGAGGTTGTTTCGTGTTTGAACTTGAGTTTGTGGCGTTTGTTGAACTCTAGGTTGTGGCAATTGTTGAACTTGAGATTTGGGTGTTGGTTCAACTTAAAAGTTTGGCATTTGTTGAACTTGAGTTTGTGTGTTTGTTGAACTTAAGTTTGTGTCTTGTTTGAACTTGAGTTTGTGGTGTTTTCAAACTTGAGTTTGTGTGTTTTTTGAACTTTAGTTTTTGGTGTCTTTGAACTTGAGTTTGTGGTGTTTTTGAACTTGAGTTTGAATCGTGGTTGAACTTGAGTTTGTGGTGTTTTTGAACTTAAGTTTGTGGTTTTTTTGAACTTGAGGTGTTGGAAATTGTGAAACTTGAGAATTGGGTATTGGTTGAACTTGAGTTTGTGTGTTTGTTGAACTTGAGTTTGTGTTGTGTTTTAACTTCAGTTTGTGGAGTTTTTTAAGCTTGAGGTTGTGCTGTTTTTGAACTTGATTTTGTTGTGTTTTGTACTTGAGTTTGTGTTATTTTTCAACTTGAGGTTGTGGAACTTGTTAAGCTTGAGAATCAGGTGTTGATTGAACTTGAGTATTTTTTTTTTAACTTGAGTTTGTGTCGTGTTTGAGCTCGAGTTTGTGGTGTTTTTGAATTTGAGTTTGCGTGTTTGTTAAACTTGAGTTTGTGTTTTTTTTTAACTTGAGTTTGTTGTTTCTGAACTTGAGTTTGTGGCAATTGTTGAACTTGAGTTTGACATTTGTTGAACTTGGGTTTGTGGTTTTTGTTGAACTTGAGTTTGTGGTGTTTTTGAACTTGAGGTTGTGGAATTTGTTAAACTTGAGAATTTGGTATTGGTTGAACTTGAGTTTGTGTGTTTGTTGAACTTGAGTTTGTGTCGTGTTTGAACTTTGGTTTGTGGTGTTTTTTTGAGCCTGAGGTTGTGGTGTTTTTGAACTTGAGTTTGTGTTGCTTTTGAACTTTAGGTTGTGGCAATTTCTAAAATTGAGATTTGGGTGTTGGTTGAACTTAAAAGTTTTTCATTTGTTGAACTTGAGTTTGTGGTTTTTGTTGAACTTGAGTTTGTTTTGTGTTTGAACTAGAGTTTGTGTGTTTTTTGAACTTGAGTTTGTGTGGTTTTTGAACTTGAGTTTGTTTCGTGTTTGAACTTGAGTTTGTGGCGTTTGATGAATTTGAGTTTGTGTCATGTTTGAACTTGAGTTTGTGGTGTTTTTCGAACTTGAATTTGCTTGTTTGGTTAACTTGAGTTTGTGTTTTTTGAACTTAGGTTTCTGTTTTTGAACTTGAGGTTGTGGAAATTGTTAAACTTGAGAATCAGGTGTTGGTTGAACTTGAGTTTGTGTCGTGTTTTTGAACTTGAGTTTTTGGTGTTTTTGAACTTGAGGGTGTGGAATTTGTTAAACTTGAGAATTGGGTATTGGTTGAACTTGAGTTTGTGTGTTTGTTGAACTTGAGTTTGTGTCATGTTTGAACTTGAGTTTGTGGTCTTTTTGAACTTGAGTTTGTGTGTTTGTTGAACTTGAGTTGTGGCGTTTGTTGAACTCTAGGTTGTGGCAATTGTTAAACTTAAGATTTGGTTGTTGGTTGAACTTGAGTTTGTGTCGTGTTTGAACTTGAGTTCGTGTTGTTTGTTGAACTTGAATTTGTGTGTTTTTTGAACTTGAGTTTGTGGCAATTGTTGAACTTGAGTCTGTGGTTTTTGGTGAACTTTAATTGGTGGCAATTGTTGAACTTGAGTTTGTGGTGTATTTGAACTTGAGTTTGTTTCGTGTTTGAACTTTGTTTGTGGTGTTTTTGAACTTGATTTTTTGGTGTTTTTGAACTTGAGGGTGTGTTGTGTTTTTGAACTTGAGTTTGTGGTGTTTTTGAACTTGAGGTTGTTTCGTGTTTGAACTTGAGTTTGTGGCGTTTGTTGAACTCTAGGTTGTGGCAATTGTTGAACTTGAGATTTGGGTGTTGGTTCAACTTAAAAGTTTGGCATTTGTTGAACTTGAGTTTGTGTGTTTGTTGAACTTAAGTTTGTGTCTTGTTTGAACTTGAGTTTGTGGTGTTTTCAAACTTGAGTTTGTGTGTTTTTTGAACTTTAGTTTTTGGTGTCTTTGAACTTGAGTTTGTGGTGTTTTTGAACTTGAGTTTGAATCGTGGTTGAACTTGAGTTTGTGGTGTTTTTGAACTTAAGTTTGTGGTTTTTTTGAACTTGAGGTGTTGGAAATTGTGAAACTTGAGAATTGGGTATTGGTTGAACTTGAGTTTGTGTGTTTGTTGAACAAGAGATTGTGTTGTGTTTTAACTTCAGTTTGTGGAGTTTTTTAAGCTTGAGGTTGTGCTGTTTTTGAACTTGATTTTGTTGTGTTTTGTACTTGAGTTTGTGTTATTTTTCAACTTGAGGTTGTGGAACTTGTTAAACTTGAGAATCAGGTGTTGATTGAACTTGAGTATTTTTTTTTTAACTTGAGTTTGTGTCGTGTTTGAGCTCGAGTTTGTGGTGTTTTTGAATTTGAGTTTGCGTGTTTGTTAAACTTGAGTTTGTGTTTTTTTTTAACTTGAGTTTGTTGTTTCTGAACTTGAGTTTGTGGCAATTGTTGAACTTGAGTTTGACATTTGTTGAACTTGGGTTTGTGGTTTTTGTTGAACTTGAGTTTGTGGTGTTTTTGAACTTGAGGTTGTGGAATTTGTTAAACTTGAGAATTTGGTATTGGTTGAACTTGAGTTTGTGTGTTTGTTGAACTTGAGTTTGTGTCGTGTTTGAACTTTGGTTTGTGGTGTTTTTTTGAGCCTGAGGTTGTGGTGTTTTTGAACTTGAGTTTGTGTTGCTTTTGAACTTTAGGTTGTGGCAATTTCTAAAATTGAGATTTGGGTGTTGGTTGAACTTAAAAGTTTTTCATTTGTTGAACTTGAGTTTGTGGTTTTTGTTGAACTTGAGTTTGTTTCGTGTTTGAACTTGAGGTTGTGGTGTTTTTGAACTTGAGGTTTCTTGTTTGTTTAACTTGAGTTTGTGTGTTTTTTGAACTTGAGTTTGTTGTTTCTGAACTTGAGGTTTTGGCAATTGTTGAACTTGAGTCTGTGGTTTTTAGTGAACTTTAGTTGGTTGCAATTGTTGAACATGAGTTTATGGCGTTTGTTGAACTTGAGTTTGTGACGTGTTTGAACTTGAGGTTGTGGTGTTTTTGAACTCGAGTTTTTGTGTTTGTTGAACTTCAGTTTTTGGCGTGTTTGAACTTGAGTTTGTGGTTTTTTTAACTTGAGGTTGTGGTTTTTTGAACTTAAGTTTGTGGAAATTTTTAAACTTGAGGATTGGGTGGTGGTTGAACTTGAGTTTGTGGTGTTTTTTGAACTTGAGGTTGTGGTGTTTTTGACTTGAGTTCGTAGCGTGTTTGAACTTGAGGTTGTTGCAATTGTTAAACTTGAGATTTGGGTGTTGGTTGAACTTAAAACTTTGCCATTTGTTGAACTTGAGTTTGTGGTGTATGTTGAACTCCAGCTTGTGTTGTGTTTGAACTTGAGGTTGTGGTATTTTTTAATTGAGTTTGTGGCGGTTTTTGAACTTGAGTTTGTGAAAATTGTTAAAACTTGAGAATCAGGTGTTGGTTGAACTTGAGTTTGTGGTTTTTGTTGAACCTGAGTTTGTGGTTTTTGTTGAACTTGAGTTTGTGTCGTTTTTGAGCTTGAGGTTGTGGTGTTTTTAAACTTGAGTTTGCGTGTTTGTTGATCTTGAGTTTGTGTGTTTTTTGAACTTGAGTTTCTTGTTTCTGAACTTGAGGTTTTGGCAATTATTGAACTTGAGTCTGTTGTTTTTAGTGAACTTTAGTTGGTGGCAATTGTTGAACTTGAGTTTGTGGCATTTGTTAAACTTGAGTTTGTGACGTGTTTAACTTGAGTTTGTGTGTTTTTGAACTTGAGTTTTGTGTGTTTTTGAACTTGAGGTTGTGGAAATTGTTAAACTTGAGAATTGGGTATTGGTTGAACTTGAGTTTGTGTGTTTGTTGAACTTGAGTTTTTGTCGTGTTTGAACTTCAGTTTGTGTGGTGTTTTTTGAACTTGAGGTTGTGGTGTTTTTGAACTTGAGTTTGTGGCGGTTTTTGAACTTGAGGTTGTGGCAATTGTTGAACTTGAGTTTGTGACGTGTTTGAACTTGATTTTGTGGTGTTTTTGAACTTGAGTTCGTGGTGTTTGTGGAATTTGAGTTTGTGTCGTGTTTGAACTTGAGGTTGTGGTGTTTTTGAACTCGAGTTTTTGTGTTTGTTGAACTTCAGTTTGTGTCCTGTTTGAACTTGAGTTTGTGGCATTTGTTAAACTTGAGTTTGTGACGTGTTTAAACATGATTTTGTGGTGTTTTTGAACTCGAGTTTGTGGTGTTTTTGAACTTGAGGTTGTGGAAAAACGTAAACTTGAGATTTGGGTGTTGATTGAACTTGAGTTTGTTTCGTGTTTGATCTTGAGGTTGTGGTGTTTTTGAACTTGAGGTTTCTTGTTTGTTTAACTTGAGTTTGTGTGTTTTTTGAACTTGAGTTTGTTGTTTCTGAACTTGAGGTTTTGGCAATTGTTGAACTTGATAATTGGGTATTGGTTGAACTTGAGTTTGTGTTTTGTTGAACTTGAGTTTGTGTCGTGTTTGAACTTGAGTTTGTGGTGTTTTTTGAACTTGAGTTTGTGGTGTTTTTGAACTTGAGTTTTTGGTGTTTTTGAACTTGAGTTTGTGGTGTTTGTTGAACTTGAGTTTGTGACGTGTTTGAACTTGAGTTTGTGGTGTTTTTGAACTTGAGTTTGTGGTTTTTTTGAACTTGAGTTTGTGTGGTTTTGAACTTGAGTTTGGTGTTTTTGAACTTGAGTTTGTGTGTTTGTTGAACTTGAGTTTGTGTTGTTTTAACTTGAGTTTGTGGAGTTTTTAAACTTGAGTTGTGCTGTTTTTGAACTTGATTTTGTGTGTTTTGAACTTGAGTTTGTGTTATTTTTAACTTGAGGTTGTGGAACTTGTTAAACTTGAGAATTGGTGTTGATTGAACTTGAGTTTTTTTTTTAACTTGAGTTTGTGTCGTGTTTGAGCTCGAGTTTGTGGTGTTTTTGAACTTGAGTTTGTGTTTGTTTTGAACTTGAGTTTGTGTTTTTTTGAACTTGAGTTTGTGGGTTTTTGAACTTGAGTTTGTTGAATTTGTTGAACTTGAGTTTGTGTTTTTTTGAACTTGAGTTTGTGGTTTGTTTGAACTTGAGTTTGTGTCGTGTTTGAACTTGAGTTTGTGTCGTTTTTGAACTTGACTTGAGTTGTGTGTTTTTGAACTTGAGTTTGTGTTGCTTTTGAACTTTAGGTTGTGGCAATTTCTAAAATTGAGATTTGGGTGTTGGTTGAACTTAAAAGTTTTTCATTTGTTGAACTTGAGTTTGTGGTTTTTGTTGAACTTGAGTTTGTTTCGTGTTTGAACTTGAGGTTGTGGTGTTTTTGAACTTGAGGTTTCTTGTTTGTTTAACTTGAGTTTGTGTGTTTTTTGAACTTGAGTTTGTTGTTTCTGAACTTGAGGTTTTGGCAATTGTTGAACTTGAGTCTGTGGTTTTTAGTGAACTTTAGTTGGTTGCAATTGTTGAACATGAGTTTATGGCGTTTGTTGAACTTGAGTTTGTGACGTGTTTGAACTTGAGGTTGTGGTGTTTTTGAACTCGAGTTTTTGTGTTTGTTGAACTTCAGTTTTTGGCGTGTTTGAACTTGAGTTTGTGGTTTTTTAACTTGAGGTTTTTTGAACTTGAGTTTGGTTTTTTGAACTTGAGGTTGTGGAAATTTTGAACTTGAGGATTGGGTGGTGGTTGAACTTGAGTTTGTGGTGTTTTTGAACTTGAGGTTGTGGTGTTTTTGACTTGAGTTCGTAGCGTGTTTGAACTTGAGGTTGTGAGATTTGGGTGTTGTTGAACTTAAGTTTGTTTGTTGAACTTGAGTTTGAACTTAGTTTGTTGTTTTGAACTTGAGGTTGTGGTATTTTTAACTTGAGTTTGTGGTGTTTTTGAACTTGAGTTTGTGGTTTGTTTGAACTTGAGATTGTGGCTTTTTGAACTTGAGTTTGTGGTGGTTTTTGAACTTGAGGTTGTGAAAATTGTTAAAACTTGAGAATCAGGTGTTGGTTGAACTTGAGTTTGTGGTTTTTGTTGAACCTGAGTTTGTGGTTTTTGTTGAACTTGAGTTTGTGTCGTTTTTGAGCTTGAGGTTGTGGTGTTTTTAAACTTGAGTTTGCGTGTTTGTTGATCTTGAGTTTGTGTGTTTTTTGAACTTGAGTTTCTTGTTTCTGAACTTGAGGTTTTGGCAATTATTGAACTTGAGTCTGTTGTTTTTAGTGAACTTTAGTTGGTGGCAATTGTTGAACTTGAGTTTGTGGCATTTGTTAAACTTGAGTTTGTGACGTGTTTAAACATGATTTTGTGGTGTTTTTGAACTCGAGTTGTTGGTGTTTTTGAACTTGAGGTTGTGGAAATTGTTAAACTTGAGAATTGGGTATTGGTTGAACTTGAGTTTGTGTGTTTGTTGAACTTGAGTTTGTGTCGTGTTTGAACTTCAGTTTGTGTGGTGTTTTTTGAACTTGAGGTTGTGGTGTTTTTGAACTTGAGTTTGTGGCGGTTTTTGAACTTGAGGTTGTGGCAATTGTTGAACTTGAGTTTGTGACGTGTTTGAACTTGATTTTGTGGTTTTTTGAACTTGAGTTCGTGGTGTTTGTGGAATTTGAGTTTGTGTCGTGTTTGAACTTGAGGTTGTGGTGTTTTTGAACTCGAGTTTTTGTGTTTGTTGAACTTCAGTTTGTGTCCTGTTTGAACTTGAGTTTGTGGCATTTGTTAAACTTGAGTTTGTGACGTGTTTAAACATGATTTTGTGGTGTTTTTGAACTCGAGTTTGTGGTGTTTTTGAACTTGAGGTTGTGGAAAAACGTAAACTTGAGATTTGGGTGTTGATTGAACTTGAGTTTGTTTCGTGTTTGATCTTGAGGTTGTGGTGTTTTTGAACTTGAGGTTTCTTGTTTGTTTAACTTGAGTTTGTGTGTTTTTTGAACTTGAGTTTGTTGTTTCTGAACTTGAGGTTTTGGCAATTGTTGAACTTGATAATTGGGTATTGGTTGAACTTGAGTTTGTGTGTTTGTTGAACTTGAGTTTGTGTCGTGTTTGAACTTTGGTTTGTGGTGTTTTTTGAGCCTGAGGTTGTGGTGTTTTTGAACTTGAGTTTGTGTTGCTTTTGAACTTTAGGTTGTGGCAATTTCTAAAATTGAGATTTGGGTGTTGGTTGAACTTAAAAGTTTTTCATTTGTTGAACTTGAGTTTGTGGTTTTTGTTGAACTTGAGTTTGTTTCGTGTTTGAACTTGAGGTTGTGGTGTTTTTGAACTTGAGGTTTCTTGTTTGTTTAACTTGAGTTTGTGTGTTTTTTGAACTTGAGTTTGTTGTTTCTGAACTTGAGGTTTTGGCAATTGTTGAACTTGAGTCTGTGGTTTTTAGTGAACTTTAGTTGGTTGCAATTGTTGAACATGAGTTTATGGCGTTTGTTGAACTTGAGTTTGTGACGTGTTTGAACTTGAGGTTGTGGTGTTTTTGAACTCGAGTTTTTGTGTTTGTTGAACTTCAGTTTTTGGCGTGTTTGAACTTGAGTTTGTGGTTTTTTTAACTTGAGGTTGTGGTTTTTTGAACTTAAGTTTGTGGAAATTTTTAAACTTGAGGATTGGGTGGTGGTTGAACTTGAGTTTGTGGTGTTTTTTGAACTTGAGGTTGTGGTGTTTTTGACTTGAGTTCGTAGCGTGTTTGAACTTGAGGTTGTTGCAATTGTTAAACTTGAGATTTGGGTGTTGGTTGAACTTAAAACTTTGCCATTTGTTGAACTTGAGTTTGTGGTGTATGTTGAACTCCAGCTTGTGTTGTGTTTGAACTTGAGGTTGTGGTATTTTTTTTGAACTTGAGTTTGTGGTGGACTTTTTTTTTGAACTTGAGGTTGTGAAAATTGTTAAAACTTGAGAATCAGGTGTTGGTTGAACTTGAGTTTGTGGTTTTTGTTGAACCTGAGTTTGTGGTTTTTGTTGAACTTGAGTTTGTGTCGTTTTTGAGCTTGAGGTTGTGGTGTTTTTAAACTTGAGTTTGCGTGTTTGTTGATCTTGAGTTTGTGTGTTTTTTGAACTTGAGTTTCTTGTTTCTGAACTTGAGGTTTTGGCAATTATTGAACTTGAGTCTGTTGTTTTTAGTGAACTTTAGTTGGTGGCAATTGTTGAACTTGAGTTTGTGGCATTTGTTAAACTTGAGTTTGTGACGTGTTTAAACATGATTTTGTGGTGTTTTTGAACTCGAGTTGTTGGTGTTTTTGAACTTGAGGTTGTGGAAATTGTTAAACTTGAGAATTGGGTATTGGTTGAACTTGAGTTTGTGTGTTTGTTGAACTTGAGTTTGTGTCGTGTTTGAACTTCAGTTTGTGTGGTGTTTTTTGAACTTGAGGTTGTGGTGTTTTTGAACTTGAGTTTGTGGCGGTTTTTGAACTTGAGGTTGTGGCAATTGTTGAACTTGAGTTTGTGACGTGTTTGAACTTGATTTTGTGGTGTTTTTGAACTTGAGTTCTTGGTGTTTGTGGAATTTGAGTTTGTGTCGTGTTTGAACTTGAGGTTGTGGTGTTTTTGAACTCGAGTTTTTGTGTTTGTTGAACTTCAGTTTGTGTCGTGTTTGAACTTGAGTTTGTGGCATTTGTTAAACTTGAGTTTGTGACGTGTTTAAACATGATTTTGTGGTGTTTTTGAACTCGAGTTTGTGGTGTTTTTGAACTTGAGGTTGTGGAAAAACGTAAACTTGAGATTTGGGTGTTGATTGAACTTGAGTTTGTTTCGTGTTTGATCTTGAGGTTGTGGTGTTTTTGAACTTGAGGTTTCTTGTTTGTTTAACTTGAGTTTGTGTGTTTTTTGAACTTGAGTTTGTTGTTTCTGAACTTGAGGTTTTGGCAATTGTTGAACTTGATTATTGGGTATTGGTTGAACTTGAGTTTGTGTGTTTGTTGAACTTGAGTTTGTGTCGTGTTTGAACTTTGGTTTGTGGTGTTTTTTTGAGCCTGAGGTTGTGGTGTTTTTGAACTTGAGTTTGTGTTGCTTTTGAACTTTAGGTTGTGGCAATTTCTAAAATTGAGATTTGGGTGTTGGTTGAACTTAAAAGTTTTTCATTTGTTGAACTTGAGTTTGTGGTTTTTGTTGAACTTGAGTTTGTTTTGTGTTTGAACTTGAGGTTGTGGTGTTTTTGAACTTGAGGTTTCTAGTTTGTTTAACTTGAGTTTGTGTGTTTTTTGAACTTGAGTTTGTTGTTTCTGAACTTGAGGTTTTGGCAATTGTTGAACTTGACTCTGTGGTTTTTAGTGAACTTTAGTTGGTTGCAATTGTTGAACATGAGTTTATGGCGTTTGTTGAACTTGAGTTTGTGACGTGTTTGAACTTGAGGTTGTGGTGTTTTTGAACTCGAGTTTTTGTGTTTGTTGAACTTCAGTTTTTGGCGTGTTTGAACTTGAGTTTGTGGTTTTTTTAACTTGAGGTTGTGGTTTTTTGAACTTAAGTTTGTGGAAATTTTTAAACTTGAGGATTGGGTGGTGGTTGAACTTGAGTTTGTGGTGTTTTTTGAACTTGAGGTTGTGGTGTTTTTGACTTGAGTTCGTAGCGTGTTTGAACTTGAGGTTGTTGCAATTGTTAAACTTGAGATTTGGGTGTTGGTTGAACTTAAAACTTTGCCATTTGTTGAACTTGAGTTTGTGGTGTATGTTGAACTCCAGCTTGTGTTGTGTTTGAACTTGAGGTTGTGGTATTTTTTAATTGAGTTTGTGGCGGTTTTTGAACTTGAGTTTGTGGCGTGTTTGAACTTGAGGGCGTGTTTGAACTTGAGTTTGTGGTGGTTTTTGAACTTGAGGTTGTGAAAATTGTTAAAACTTGAGAATCAGGTGTTGGTTGAACTTGAGTTTGTGGTTTTTGTTGAACCTGAGTTTGTGGTTTTTGTTGAACTTGAGTTTGTGTCGTTTTTGAGCTTGAGGTTGTGGTGTTTTTAAACTTGAGTTTGCGTGTTTGTTGATCTTGAGTTTGTGTGTTTTTTGAACTTGAGTTTCTTGTTTCTGAACTTGAGGTTTTGGCAATTATTGAACTTGAGTCTGTTGTTTTTAGTGAACTTTAGTTGGTGGCAATTGTTGAACTTGAGTTTGTGGCATTTGTTAAACTTGAGTTTGTGACGTGTTTAAACATGATTTTGTGGTGTTTTTGAACTCGAGTTGTTGGTGTTTTTGAACTTGAGGTTGTGGAAATTGTTAAACTTGAGAATTGGGTATTGGTTGAACTTGAGTTTGTGTGTTTGTTGAACTTGAGTTTTTGTCGTGTTTGAACTTCAGTTTGTGTGGTGTTTTTTGAACTTGAGGTTGTGGTGTTTTTGAACTTGAGTTTGTGGCGGTTTTTGAACTTGAGGTTGTGGCAATTGTTGAACTTGAGTTTGTGACGTGTTTGAACTTGATTTTGTGGTGTTTTTGAACTTGAGTTCGTGGTGTTTGTGGAATTTGAGTTTGTGTCGTGTTTGAACTTGAGGTTGTGGTGTTTTTGAACTCGAGTTTTTGTGTTTGTTGAACTTCAGTTTGTGTCCTGTTTGAACTTGAGTTTGTGGCATTTGTTAAACTTGAGTTTGTGACGTGTTTAAACATGATTTTGTGGTGTTTTTGAACTCGAGTTTGTGGTGTTTTTGAACTTGAGGTTGTGGAAAAACGTAAACTTGAGATTTGGGTGTTGATTGAACTTGAGTTTGTTTCGTGTTTGATCTTGAGGTTGTGGTGTTTTTGAACTTGAGGTTTCTTGTTTGTTTAACTTGAGTTTGTGTGTTTTTTGAACTTGAGTTTGTTGTTTCTGAACTTGAGGTTTTGGCAATTGTTGAACTTGATAATTGGGTATTGGTTGAACTTGAGTTTGTGTGTTTGTTGAACTTGAGTTTGTGTCGTGTTTGAACTTCAGTTTGTGGTGTTTTTTGAACTTGAGGTTGTGGTGTTTTTGAACTTGAGTTTGTGGCGGTTTTTGAACTTGAGGTTGTGGCAATTGTTGAACTTGAGTTTGTGACGTGTTTGAACTTGATTTTGTGGTGTTTTTGAACTTGAGTTCTTGGTGTTTGTGGAATTTGAGTTTGTGTCGTGTTTGAACTTGAGGTTGTGGTGTTTTTGAACTCGAGTTTTTGTGTTTGTTGAACTTCAGTTTGTGTCGTGTTTGAACTTGAGTTTGTGGCATTTGTTAAACTTGAGTTTGTGACGTGTTTAAACATGATTTTGTGGTGTTTTTGAACTCGAGTTTGTGGTGTTTTTGAACTTGAGGTTGTGGAAAAACGTAAACTTGAGATTTGGGTGTTGATTGAACTTGAGTTTGTTTCGTGTTTGATCTTGAGGTTGTGGTGTTTTTGAACTTGAGGTTTCTTGTTTGTTTAACTTGAGTTTGTGTGTTTTTTGAACTTGAGTTTGTTGTTTCTGAACTTGAGGTTTTGGCAATTGTTGAACTTGATAATTGGGTATTGGTTGAACTTGAGTTTGTGTGTTTGTTGAACTTGAGTTTGTGTCGTGTTTGAACTTGATTTTGTGGTGTTTTTGAACTCGAGTTTGTGTTGTTTTTGAACTTGAGTTTGTGGTGTTTGTTGAACTTGAGTTTGTGTCGTGTTTGAACTTGAGTTTGTGTCGTGTTTGAACTTGAGGTTGTGGTGTTTTTGAACTCGAGTTTTTGTGTTTGTTGAACTTCAGTTTGTGTCGTGTTTGAACTTGAGTTTGTGGTGTTTTTTGAACTTGAGGTTGTGGTGTTTTTGAACTTGAGTTTGTGGCGGTTTTTGAACTTGAGGTTGTTGCAATTGTTGAACTTGAAATAAAAACCCAAATATGAACCCAAATATATATTTTTTCTTTTTACATTTTTTTTGGTGTAACCAACTCCAAAAGGTCTTAAACATGTTCCTAAAAATGTTTTGGACAGTGATATTAAACCTAACGCCAAAAACCTTAAACCTTACCCTAGCCCCATAACCTAATACACGGGTATTACCTTCAGGAAGCCCAAAAACCCCAAATATTTTTTTTTCATTTTTCATTTTTTTTTGGTCTAACTAACTCCAAAAGGTTGGAAAAGAGGTCCTACAAAGGTTTTGGACAGTGATTTTAACCCTCACGCCAAAAACCTTAAACCTTACTATAGCCCCATAAAATAATACCCGGGTATTACCTTCAGAAGCCCAAAAACCCCAAATATTTTTTTTTTATTTTTCATTGGTTTTGCTCTAACTAACTCCAAAAGGTTGGAAAAGAGTTCCTACAAAGGTCTTGGACAGTGATTTTAACCCTAACGCCAAAAACCTTAAACCTTACCCTAGCCCCATAACCTAATACCCGGGTATTACCTTCAGAAGCCCAAAAACCCCAAATATTTTTTTTTTATTTTTCGTTAGTTTTTGCTCTAACTAACTCCAAAAGGTTGGAAAAGAGTTCCTACAAAGGTTTTGGACAGTGATTTTAACCCTAACACCAAAAACCTTAAACCTTACCCTAGCCCCATAACCTAATACCCGGGTATTACCTTCAGGAAGCCCGAACACCCCAAATATTTTTTTTTTCATTTTACATTTTTTTTTGGTGTAACCAACTCCAAAAGGTCTTAAACATGTTCCTAAAAAGGTTTTGGACACTGATTTTAACTCTAACGCCAAAAACCTTAAACCTTACCCTAGCCCCATAACCTAATACCCAGGTATTACCTTCAGGAAACCCGAACACCCCAAATATATTTTTTTTCTTTTTCTTTTTTTTTTGTCTTACTAACTCCCAAAGGTCTGAAACATGTTCCTTAAAAAATATTGGACAGTTATTTTAACCCTAACGCCAAAAACCTTAAACCTTACCCTAGCCCCATAACCTAATACCCGGGTATTACCTTCAGGAAGCCCGAACACCCCAAATATATATTTTTTATTTTTCTTTTTGTTTTGGTTTAACTTGCTCTCAAAGGTTGGAAAAGAGTTCCTACAAAGGTTTGGGACATTGATTTTAACCCTAACGCCAAAAACCTTAAACCTTACCTTAGCCCCATAACCTAATACCCAGGTATTACCTTCAGGAAACCCGAACACCCCAAATATATTTTTTTTCTTTTTCTTTTTTTTTTGTCTTACTAACTCCCAAAGGTCTGAAACATGTTCCTTAAAAAATATTGGACAGTTATTTTAACCCTAACGCCAAAAACCTTAAACCTAACCCTAGCCCCTTAACCTCATACCCGGGTATTACCTTCAGGAAGCCCGAACACCCCAAATATTTTTTTTTCATTTATCTAATTTTTTTTGTCTAACTTATTCCCAAAGGTTGGAAAAGAGTTCCTACAAAGGTTTTGGACAGTGATTTTAACCCTTACGCCAAAAACCTTAAACCTAACCCTAGCCCCAAAACCTAATACCTTCAGGAAGCCCGAACACCCCAAATATATATTTTTTCTTTTTAAATTTTTTTTGGTGTAACCAACTCCAAAAGGTCTGAATCTTGTTCCTTAAAAGGTTTTGGACAGTGATTTTAACCCTAACGCCAAAAACCTTAAACCTTACCCTAGCCCCAAAACCTAATTCCTTCAGGAAACCCGAAGACCCCAAATATTTTTTTTTCTTTTTCTTTTTTTTTTGTCTAACTAACTCCCAAAGGTCTGAAACATGTTCCTTAAAAAAATATTGGACAGTTATTTTAACCCTAACGCCAAAAACCTTAAACCTAACCCTAGCCCCAAAACCTAATACCTTCAGGAAGCCCGAAGACCCCAAATATATTTTTTTCTTTTTTCTTTTTTTTTGGTCTAACTAACTCCAAAAGGTCGGAAAAGAGTTCCTACAAAGGTTTTGGACGGTGATTTTAACCCTAACACCAAAAACCTTAAACCTTACCCTAGCCCCAAAACCTAATACCCGGGTATTACCTTCAGGAAGCTTGAACACCCCAAATATATTTTTTTTCATTTTACATTTTTTTTTGGTGTTACCAACTCCAAAAGGTCTGAAACATGTTCCTACAAAGGTTTTGGACAGTGATTTTAACCCTAACGCCAAAAACCTTTAACCTTACTATAGCCCCATAACCTAATACCTGGGTATTTCCTTCAGGAAGCCTGAAGACCCCATATATTTTTTTTTTCATTTTACATTTTTTTTGGTGTAACCAACTCCAAAAGGTCTTAAACATGTTCCTAAAAAGGTTTTGGACACTGATTTTAACTCTAACGCCAAAAACCTTAAACCTTACCCTAGCCCCATGACCTAATACCCGGGTATTACCTTCAGGAAGCCCAAAAACCCCAAATATTTTTTTTCATTTTTCGTTTTTTTTTTGGTCTAACTAACTCCAAAAGGTTGGAAAAGAGTTCCTACAAAGGTTTTGGACAGTGATTTTAACCCTAACGCCAAAAACCTTAAACCTTACCCTAGCCCCATAACCTCATACCCGGGTATTTCCTTCAGGAAGCCCGAAGACCCCAAATATATTTTTTTCTTTTTTCTTTTTTTTTGGTCTAACTAACTCCAAAAGGTCGGAAAAGAGTTCCTACAAAGGTTTTGGACGGTGATTTTAACCCTAACACCAAAAACCTTAAACCTTACCCTAGCCCCAAAACCTAATACCTGGGTATTTCCTTCAGGAAGGCCGAAGACCCCAAATATTTTTTTTTTCATTTTACATTTTTTTTTGGTGTAACCAACTCCAAAAGGTTATAAATATGTTCCTAAAAAGGTTTTGGACACTGATTTTAACTCTAACGCCAAAAACCTTAAACCTTACCCTAGCCCCATAACCTAATACCCGGGTATTACCTTCAGGAAGCCCAAAAACCCCAATTTTTTTTTTTCATTTTTCGTTTTTTTTTTGGTCTAACTAACTCCAAAAGGTTGGAAAATAGTTCCTACAAAGGTTTTGGACAGTGATTTTAACCCTAACGCCAAAAACCTTTAACCTTACTATAGCCCCATAACCTAATACCTGGGTATTTCTTTCAGGAAGCCCGAAGACCCCAAATATATTTTTTTTCATTTTACATTATTTTTTGGTGTAACCAACTCCAAAAGGTCTTAAACATGTTCCTAAAAAGGTTTTGGACACTGATTTTAACTCTAACGCCAAAAACCTTAAACCTTACCCTAGCCCCATAACCTAATACCCGGGTATTACCTTCAGGAAACCCGAAGACCCCAAATATTTTTTTTTTCTTTTTCTTTTTTTTTTGTCTAACTAACTCCCAAATGTCTGAAACATGTTCCTTAAAAAAATATTGGACAGTGATTTTAACCCTAACGCCAAAAACCTTAAACCTTACCCTAGCCCCATAACCTCATACCCGGGTATTACCTTCAGGAAGCTTGAACACCCCAAATTTTTTTTTTTCATTTTACATTTTTTTTGGTGTTACCAACTCCAAAAGGTCTGAAACATGTTCCTACAAAGGTTTTGGACAGTGATTTTAACCCTAACGCCAAAAACCTTTAACCTTACTATAGCCCCATAACCTAATACCTGGGTATTTCCTTCAGGAAGCCCGAAGACCCCAAATATTTTTTTTTTCATTTTACATTTTTTTTGGTGTAACCAACTCCAAAAGGTCATAAACATGTTCCTAAAAAGGTTTTGGACACTGATTTTAACTCTAACGCCAAAAACCTTAAACCTTACCCTAGCCCCATAACCTAATACCCGGGTATTACCTTCAGGAAGCCCAAAAACCCCAAATTTTTTTTTTCATTTTTCGTTTTTTTTTTGGTCTAACTAACTCCAAAAGGTTGGAAAATAGTTCCTACAAAGGTTTTGGACAGTGATTTTAACCCTAACGCCAAAAACCTTTAACCTTACTATAGCCCCATAACCTAATACCTGGGTATTTCCTTCAGGAAGCCCGAAGACCCCAAATATATTTTTTTTCATTTTACATTATTTTTTGGTGTAACCAACTCCAAAAGGTCTTAAACATGTTCCTCAAAAGGTTTTGGACACTGATTTTAACTCTAACGCCAAAAACCTTAAACCTTACCCTAGCCCCATAACCTAATACCCGGGTATTACCTTCAGGAAGCTTGAACACCCCAAATATATTTTTTTTCATTTTACATTTTTTTTTGGTGTAACCAACTCCAAAAGGTCTTAAACATGTTCCTAAAAAGGTTTTGGACACTGATTTTAACTCTAACGCCAAAAACCTTAAACCTTACCCTAGCCCCATAACCTAATACCCGGGTATTACTTTCAGGAAGCCCGAACACCCCAAATATTTTTTTTTCTTTTTCTTTTTTCTTTTGTCTAACTAACTCCCAAAGGTCTGAAACATGTTCCTGAAAAAATATTGGACAGTGATTTTAACCCTTACGCCAAAAACCTTAAACCTAATCCTAGCCCCATAACCTAATACTTAAACCTGAAGGGTATTACCTTCAGGAAGCCCGAACACCCCAAATATTTTTTTTGTCATTTTACATTTTTTTTGGTGTAACCAACTCCAAAAGGTCTGAATCTTGTTCCTTAAAAGGTTTTGGACAGTGATTTTAACCCTAACGCCAAAAACCTTAAACCTTACCCTAGCCCCAAAACCTAATACCCGGGTATTACCTTCAGGAAGCTTGAACACCCCAAATATTTTTTTTTCATTTATCTATTTTTTTTTGTCTAACTAATTCCCAAAGGTTGGAAAAGAGTTCCTACAAAGGTTTTGGACAGTGATTTTTACCCTCACACCGAAAAACCTTAAACCTTACCCTAGCCCCATAACCTAATACCCGGGTATTACCTTCAGGAAGCCCGAACACCCCAAATATATATTTTTTATTTTTACATTTTTTTTGGTGTAACCAACTCCAAAAGGTCTGAATCTTGTTCCTTAAAAGGTTTTGGACAGTGATTTTAACCCTAACGCCAAAAACCTTAAACCTTACCCTAGCCCCAAAACCTAATACCTTCAGGAAGCCCGAAAACCCCAAATATTTTTTTTGTCATTTTACATTTTTTTTGGTCTAACTAACTCCAAAAGGTCTGAAACATGTTCCTTAAAAAATATTGGACAGTGATTTTAACCCTAACGCCAAAAACCTTAAACCTAATCCTAGCCCCAAAACCTAATACCCGGGTATTACCTTCAGGAAGCCCGAACACCCCAAATTTTTTTTTTCATTTTTCATTTTTTTTTTGTCTAACTAACACCAAAAGGTTTGAAAAGAGGTCCTACAAAGGTTTTGGACAGTGATTTTAACCCTCACGCCAAAAACCTTAAACCTTACCCTAGCCCCATAACCTAATACTTAAACCTGAAGGGTATTACCTTCAGGAAGCCCGAACACCCCAAATATTTTTTTTGTCATTTTACATTTTTTTTGGTGTAACCAACTCCAAAAGGTCTGAATCTTGTTCCTTAAAAGGTTTTGGACAGTGATTTTAACCCTAACGCCAAAAACCTTAAACCTAATCCTAGCCCCATAACCTAATACTTAAACCTGAAGGGTATTACCTTCAGGAAGCCCGAACACCCCAAATATTTTTTTTGTCATTTTACATTTTTTTTGGTCTAACTAACTCCAAAAGGTCTGAAACATGTTCCTTAAAAAATATTGGACAGTGATTTTAACCCTAACGCCAAAAACCTTAAACCTAATCCTAGCCCCAAAACCTAATACCCGGGTATTTCCTTCAGGAAGCCCGAACACCCCAAATGTTTTTTTTCATTTTTCATTTTTTTTTTGTC